TGCATTTACAAATGAGGGGGTGAGGAGGTATTTATAGCCTCCCAAATCTACTTACAAAGTTTCTACACTCTTCTATAACCTCCTTAGGTCCTAGATATTTCTTCTTCTTCTTCTACAACTTTCTACAAATTATCTTACAAGTTTATCCTAATCTCTAGAACTCTCTAACATAATATCTAGATTTTTGTCTTACAAGAACTAGAAAGTTCTACATAAATATCTAGAGAGTTATCTAGTAGAATTCTCTAGAAAATTTGAGGAAGTGATGACCTCTTATGATGTTTCTAGAGAGTTCTAGAACTTGGGCCTAATTTTGGGTTTAATAATAATTTGTTTATGGACCCAAAATTAAACCTTGATCAAAATCAAGTTTAATTTCAATACTCCCCCTTAAACTTGATTTTATCAACCATCCCGAGTTTCGAGCGAAGTAACTCGAACTGACCTTTTGGTAGTGACTTGGTGAAGATATCTGCAACATTATCCTCACTTCGAACCTCCAAAGCTTCAATTGTTCCATCAAGCACCTTCTCCCGTATGAAGTGATGTTCCAACTCAATATGCTTCGTCCTTGCATGGAACACCGGATTGTTAGCCAGCTTGATAGCACTTTGGTTATCTCCATATATGGCAACCGGCTTGTTGATTGGCTCAAACAAATCTTCAAGAAGCCTTCGAAGCCAAATACACTCTTGGGCTGCGAGCGTCGAAGCTTTATACTCCGCTTCAGTGGTAGACAGCGACACCGTTGCTTGTTTCTTGCTGCACCATGAAACGCTTGTGTCTCCACACAAGAACACAAAGCCCGAAGTTGATTTTCGACCATCTAGATCTCCACCAAAGTCAGCATCCGTGAAGCCATAGAGAGAGACCTTGGCATTGTACTTGTACATTAGACCCATGCCAAGAGTTGTCTTCACATACTTCAAGATCTTCTTTGCCGCTTCTAGATGTGGCTTCCTTGGTGACTGCATAAACCGACTTACAAGACCAACCGCGAAGGAAATGTCAGGTCTTGTAATGGTTAAGTATAGAAGACTTCCCACAAGAGAACGATAAGGCCGAGGATCGGGTAGCAAGGATCCTTCATCGCGCTTCAGCTTGATGTTCGCATCCATCGGAGTAGTACGTGTCTTTCCTTCGTGTACCCCGAACTTCTCTACAATCCTTCTTGCGTAGCTATGTTGGCCGATGAATATTCCATCCTTCATCCTTTCAACCTCCAAACCAAGAAAGTTGTTCAGCTCACCCAACATCTTCATCTCAAACCTTATCGACATATCCTCTTGCAGACGAGCAATTTCCGCTTCATCATTCCCGGTAATTATCAAGTCATCCACATAAAGAAGGACTACCACGTGGACTCCTCCATTCTTCTTGAAGAACAGACTCGGATCAGAGTTCGACGGAGAGTAACCGCAAAACTGAAGAAACTGAGCAAGCTTTCCATACCAGGCCCTTGGAGCTTGTTTTAACCCATACAAAGCCTTCTTTAGCTTGCAAACATAATCGGGATGCTCTTGTGATATGTAACCAAGTGGTTGCTCCATATAGATTTCTTTATCAAGTTCTCCGTATAGAAAAGCGTTCTTCACATCTAACTGCCATAACTTCCAGCCAAAGCTTGCAGCTAAAGATAAGAGTGTACGTACCGTAGTCATCTTCGCCACTGGACTGAAAGTCTCATCATAGTCTTCTCCATACTTCTGAGAAAATCCCCGAGCAACCAATCTTGCTTTGTGTCTATCAATGTTTCCATCCCTCTTACGCTTGATCCGGTACACCCATTTGCATGAGACGGGTTGGACATCCTTGGGTTTTGGAACCAAATCCCAAGTTTCATTTTTCTTTAGAGCATCCATCTCCTCCTTCATTGCGGTCTCCCACTCTTTAACTCCTTTTGCTTCATCATAAGATGATGGTTCTTCTTCATCAAAAGGAGATGCAAAGTAGCATGAGTAAGTAGTAACAAACCTTTCATCTCTGTACCGAGCAGGTTTAACGATGTCCCGTTTTGGTCGTTGATTAGCCAAGGAACCATGATCTTCCTCCTCCTCTTCCTCTTGGTTAGTGCTCCCCCTTTCACCTTGCATCTCTGGTTCAGAAATTCCACCATCACTTGGTATCTGAGCAGCTGGTTCATCGTCTTTAAGTGAGCCCGCACCATCTTGCTCAACCAAGACTTGAGGAGATCCGTAATATGAAGACACTTCATCAAAGACAACATCACGAGATACAGTGTATCTGTGTGTCTCTGGATCCATACACCTCCACCCCTTCCTTTGTTCATCATAGCCGACAAAGATGCACTTTTTCGCCTTTGCCTCCAGCTTGGTTCTTTGAGAGTCGAACACATGGACATAGCAGATAGATCCAAATATCCTGAGATGTTTCACTGTTGGCTTCTTCCCATGAACCATCTCATAAGGAGACTTCATATTATTTGGACTAAGCGGCATCCGATTGATGACATAGGCTGCACATCTCATCCCTTCTGCCCATAGAGCCTTAGGCAAATTCTTCGCATGTAGCCAGCTTCTACACGTCTCACTTAGATGCCTTATCTTCCTTTCTGCTACTCCATTTTGTTGAGGTGTGTATGGACATGAAAATTCTCTCTTGATACCATGCTTTCGGCAGAAAGAGAGAAACTCGTTTGACATAAACTCCCCTCCATTATCCGTCCTTAAGGTCTTGATTTTCCGACCCAACTCTCCTTCCACGGTAACCTTGAATTCTTGAAACTTGGAGAATACTTCTGACTTTTCCTTCACAAAGTATACCCAGGTGTACCGTGAGTAATCATCAACGAACAACAGCATGTAGCGGAACCCGGAATAGGAGGATGTTCTCGTCGGACCCATCAAATCACTATGGATCCTCTCCAACGGAGCATTGCATCGTGAAGTAGAATTGTCAAATGGAAGTCTATGTGATTTTCCATATTGACAACCTTCACAAAGCTTTCCTTCATCTTGAATCTTCAACTTTGGGAGCCCATTAACCAGATCTTTATTCACCATAGCCTTCAGCTTAGTCATATTTATATGGCCAAGCCTAGCATGCCAAATAAAAGCATTATCATTCGTACTCATCTTCTCAATGTACGAATTTGAGGCCGATAAGACATAAAGATCTTTAACCCGTGCTCCGGTGTGAACTACGTCCGCCTTTAACTCTTGAATATTCTTCAAGAATTTAACGTCTTTTGGTCCAAATAAAACGTAGTTACCTGAGTCCACCGCATTCACCACGGAAAGAAGATTCTTCTTAACTCCAGGGACATGGTATACGTTCTTGAGAGTGATTGGGCCTCCTTCTTCTCCTTCAATAACAATAGTCCCTTCCTTCTCAACCCGGTGGATTGAATTATCCGCAGTGATGATAGCTTCTTTCCCGTCATGACGTTGAAGACTAGAAAATAACTTCTCGTTTCCGGTAATATGATGGCTACAACCCGAATCCACAATCCAATCATTTCCAAGATTTTTAGTTGTGGATGTACCTGAAGATGCAGCCTCCACCGTGAAACATTTCCCCCAATCTTCGTCTTCAGTATGACTTTTTGATTCCGCCATATTGGTTTCCTTCAGCTTGACCCGACAGTCCTTTTTGAAATGCCCAAGCTTTCCACACCGGTAACACTTGAACTGCTTCTTGTCTCCCGTAGAAGATCTTTCCCGTCCATCATTATTCTTTACACCATCATTCTTGGTTTTTCCTTTGTAGCTCTGTTGCCTCCGAGCTACAAAAGCGCTCCCCGAGTCATCATGGATTTTGACTCCCGCCATTTGCGTGGCTAAGGATTCTTGCGAAGCTAGCAGATTTTCAAACTCCTCCAAGGAAGGTTGTGTAGCCCATCCTTGAACGGAAGTCACAAACGGTGTATATTCGGGTCGTAAACCACGAATAATAGACCGCTTTAACCGAGCTTCCGAAATAGACTCCTCCGGATTAAGAGTGTTAATCTCAGAGCAAAGGTTCTTTACCTTGATGAAGAACTCTGAGATTGAAGACTCCCCCTGCTTCGCATTCGCCAACTCGTTCTCTAACAGTTGTAGACGAGCCTCATTCTTCTTGTTGAACAGTTGGTCCAACGCTTGCCAAATGGAACTAGCGGATGTGCACCTTGAGACATGCTCAAATACTCCCGAGGATATTGACCTCTTCAATGCAAACTCCGCCTTGGCATTCTTCCGTGTCCATTCCTTTGTCGCTTCCGCTGTCGCAGCAGCTCCCATTGGTGGTGTGGTGCTACTGCCGCCGACGACATCCCATAAGTCCTCACTCACCAAGTATGACTCCATACATGACTTCCATAACCGGTAGTTAGATTGGTTTAAGATCTCCATTCCCAATCCAACAACACGACCCATTGATTCCATACTTAGAGTAAACCCGAGTTCTCCTAAATCCCGATCTTGATGAGCACAAGATTAGAATGGCTCTGATACCATGTAGAGAAACCAGCACCGATAGTGCTTAGCACTAGCCCAAGACCGTAATACCCGAGAAACCCGAAAGAAACAATAAACCCTCTAAGTATGAAGAGAAATATGGAAGAACACAAGAGAATACTTGAAAGACTTTTAAGAAGAACAAGAGAGAACTTAGCTTTAGAACACTCTTTATTAACTTGTTCAATTTCTTGTGCATTTACAAATGAGGGGGTGAGGAGGTATTTATAGCCTCCCAAATCTACTTACAAAGTTTCTACACTCTTCTATAACCTCCTTAGGTCCTAGATATTTCTTCTTCTTCTTCTACAACTTTCTACAAATTATCTTACAAGTTTATCCTAATCTCTAGAACTCTCTAACATAATATCTAGATTTCTTGTCTTACAAGAACTAGAAAGTTCTACATAAATATCTAGAGAGTTATCTAGTAGAATTCTCTAGAAAATTTGAGGAAGTGATGACCTCTTATGATGTTTCTAGAGAGTTCTAGAACTTGGGCCTAATTTTGGGTTTAATAATAATTTGTTTATGGACCCAAAATTAAACCTTGATCAAAATCAAGTTTAATTTCAATAGCTGTTTACGGAAAAGCAAAGCCAGTTTCCCACCGTAACTCACAGTCTCTGACCAACCTGAACATCTCCTATCAAACAACAATTCTCTCAAACCCTTAACCACTCCCCAACACCTCTTCTTTGGATCATACGTTCTTAACTTGCTCCCATCGTAATAGTACAATACATCATCAACAACGCACGATCGCACCCACCTCTTTGAATTTAGCATCTCGTCTGTTCCCCATGTACTCTCCTTTGGATCGTAAACAAAGGTGTTATCATTACCTTTCACATACATATTATCAGCCATCACCACCACATGACCAGGTAGCACCGGACATATTTCCATTTCGGGCTTTATTATCTCTGGCTCCCACATTTGTGTTGTTGTATTGAACACCACCATTTTAATCTTCTTCCACTCTTTATCGCAGTATCCAATTATATATATTTTCCCATCGATGAAATCGACGACTGTACCAGCTAAAGGGATAGGCATGCTCGGGAGGGTTTGCACCTTGTGAGATATACAATCGATTGTTATGGCACTCGCTGTCATATTGTGATCCTTATCAGTCTCACCAAACACATATATCTTCAAGCCCACCGCCACGTACCTTACATTGTTAGGCATAGTGGGAAGAAAAGGGATAATGACCAAGCGGCCGTTAGTTTTCCGGCGGCGGTTAGTTTTCCGGTGGAGAATATAACAACGGAGATCATCATCAGCATTGTTGTTTAAGAGGAAAACGTAGAGACACGGTTTGGCGAAGCCCAACAGGGATCGACTCGTGTATAGCTCAGGCGACGCAACAAGTGACCGGAAGTGCTTACAAACAAGAGAGAGTGTTGGATAGTGGCATCTCGGTACACGCGCTGTGATGTCAACTATGATATCTTTGGGAAGTGACGTAAACAAAGACGGTGGTTGTTTCTTCGATGCCCTAATTTTGGTAGACATTGCTCACGGTTCTATATGATCTGCCCTAATATTATTTATATACGTATAGGTATGATTTGTTTCTTTTGTTACAATTAATCTTTATTATATTATTAATTGAGAAGTACATGAAAATTTTATGACCAAAAAACCAATCTAATTATGAAGAGAAAGTGTTTGGCAACAGATTTAATGAGGGTCAATTTAGTACATTGTAATGTTTGGATACAAAAATAAGAGAAAAACCTATTTGGATAGAAAAATAAATGGAAAAAAATTGTTTGGATACAAGAATAATAACTTAAAACAAACCGATGGTTTAGAAAACTTCAGTTTTCCAGCTCTTAAAAATCTCCAAAAAAGAAAACTTAACATAATCTAACTATAATTCCAAATAAATAAAATATGATTTTTGGATTTCTGGTTTTCGGGTTTAGATATATTAAAAAAGTTTGAGTATTTTAAAATTTTGATTAGGGTATTTGGGTCGGGTTCCGGGTGAAAAAGTTTTCAGATTTTTTTTGTTCAGTTCAGGGTTTTCGGGATTCTTTTGATTTCGGGTTTAGACATATTTAAAAATTTTGGGTTTTTAAAATTTTTTATTATGGTTTTTTGTCGGGTTCAAATTTAAGGTTTAAATTTTCTACACAAAACCACAACGTCACACCGCACAAACGTACGGGTACTCTACTAGTTGGTTTTATAAAAAAAGCGAAACAATATTGAAATACTGTACGGTACGGTTCGATTTTCTTATGATTTATTCCATTTTTTTTTTTTTGACATCTGCTTTTCCTTAAAATAGCCCTATGTGATCATCGTGAAGCAAAGTTGATATACAAGAAGTGACATAGTAATATGAACGGAATGGTTCTTTTGCTAATCGATCAGCCCACTCTGTTTCCACTTCTTGGTATCCATTTGACTTGAAAATCTTGAAGTGTTTTGCTCCGTACTCTTATCTCTCGTCCCCAATTGTGAAGGGCAAAATTATGTGATAGTCCTTCAATGAGTGCAGCCACCTTTTGGTTATCACCTTCAAATATGACTTGATAACCTTTGCTCCATCGACATCAGCAAATCATAAATAACCCTGATTCATATCATGAACATATTTAGTCTTCAAATAAAAAAATTATCGGAAAGTATTTTGTACAAATGAGCAATTAAATATAACTATATAAGTAGCTAGCGGTCAGATTATGAGAGTGACGATTTAACGTGCTTCTGAATCAGCTTTGATGTTGTTCTCGGGAATAGCCAACAATTCAACGTAGATTTAGCCCAGCAAGCGTTCAGGCAACAAGCTCAAGTGATTATATCTTTGAGTAAAGCAGTTTAAATTAAACGAGGTGCATAAACAAGTTGGGTTTGCCTCAACAGCAAGCAAAGAAAGTGATCAAGAGTATAACTTATTTTGCCACAAAATGGTGCATGTGTGAAAAGGATAAAGGCGTAATGCAGTGACGCTAAAGCGCGCTAAAACCATAACAAGCTTTGCTAGAATTCTCTGAAACTACAAGAAACGATGCAGAAACCTCTGAAATATAAAAACGAAATTAAGAAAGTAATCAAGAACCAACAAGGTCTCTATTGTTTGTCAATTTCAATTAAAAAATGACATTTCAGTTGGTGAGAACTAATCAGTTGCAGCTTAGCCATATATATTTGTAAACAATAGAGAAAATTAAAATTGCCATCAGTGGCAGCATTAGTTGCTTCATCCCCATTGATCTTTGTTGGTGCCAGCTTCCATCTACTATCTAGGAGATACTTTTGTTTATGATATTGAAAACACCAAAGAAAAGCACATCTTAAGACGTAGCCAATTAGCAATGTGGCAATGATCCAGAGTGCCTGAAGAAACTCTCATCTAGGCGTTTGGGTAAAGCTCAACAAAGAAATTTCAAATTTCCAAAACGACAAATAAAATAATAAAACCAAACACAATTCATGAAATAGAGTTTCAGCATCAAAGCATAACAGCTAGAGATTGTCTTAAGTGAAAATTCCTACCATTCGTAACATGATTACACCCCTTAGGTTTACCCCAAATATTATCCCCTCCTTGTCTTCTTTCCAACAAAATCTCCGCACACCAAATCTGATTTGTTATAATCTTTCCCAAATATATATGAAAAAACAAAACCAGTTTCCCACCGTAACCCACAGTCTCTAACCACAGTGAATCTCTCGTCTCAGCAAAAAAGCGTTCCAAACCATTAACCACTCCCCAACACATATGCTTTGGATCATACGTTCTTAACATGTTCTCAACACGATCGTAATAGTACAATACGCCATCAACCACACACGCATTCTCCCACCTCTTCGAACTCAGCATCTCGTGCTTTTTCCATTTACCTCCCTTTGGCTCGTACACGAAGGTGTTATCACGACCTCTCACATACATCTTATCAGCTATCACCACCCCATAAATAGGCCCCGTGAGATCTATCGCAATATCTTGCTTTATAATCTCTGGCTCCCAAATTTGTGTTTCTGTATTGAACACCACCATCTTAACCTTCTTCCACTCATTATTGCAATATCCAATTATATATATTTTCCCATCGATAAACTCACCCACTGTAACAATCAAGTTTGTAGTCATGCTCGGGAGGTGTTGCACGGTGTTTGATCTACAATCGATGCTTAAGGCACTCAGTGTCATATAATGATGGTTACCAAACACATATATCTTTGAGCCCACCGGGACGTACTTTATATGGCTAGGCATAGCGCGAAGCGAAGGGTCAAGAACAAAGGTGCGAAATACGATGGTTTTCCGGCGGAGAGTATACAAACGGTCCTCATAGGTTTCGCTGTTATGTAGGACAACATAGAGACAGTGTTCGGTGCAGCCCAACAAGGATCGACTCGCGTATAGATCAGGCGACGCAACAAGTGACCGGAAGTGCTTAGAAACGAGGGAGAGTGTTGGATAGTCGCATCTCCGTACACGATGATGTCAACGATGATGTCTTTGGAAAGTGACGTAAAAAAAGACGGTGGTTGTTCCTTCGATGCCCTAATTTTTGTAGACATTGCTCACGTTTCTATAAGATCTGTCCAAATATTATTTATTTATATATATGCAATGGTTTGGCGTGGTTTGTTTTTTTCGTTACAATTAATTGGTTTAATTTTTTTCCGTGAAACCATATAGCAGACGGTTCGATTAAGTTTTTGATTTTGATTTTTTTTTTATGGTTTATTTCTTTATTTTCAAATCACATAAATAACCCTGCTGCATATCATGAACATATTTACTCTTGAAAGAAAATATTTCTCGGCAAATATTTGTTGTACAAAAGAGTAATACAAATTTATGTTGAACAATGAAGAACATGAAGAACTCGTGAAGAACTCGGTTCCTGCTCTGCTGCATTTTTTTTTGGTTTTAAAATGTGAAAACCGTGAAGAACTCGGTTCGAATTTTCCTCCGGTTAAACTGGTGAACCGGAAACCATAGCTGTGTGGGACGTTATTCATTCATAGTGTAACAAACTAAAACTACATCACGAACAAAAACATTATCAAATTCTTTGATCTATTATTTAGCGTAGTTGCTTCTTCATCTTGCTTTGATTAGATTATCAAATTATTTGATCCAATAAGGAGTTATGCCTCATTATATCAATACTCTGGATCTAATTTAAAGAGTAAAGACCATAAGAGACATTGGTATTTTCCTTTACAGAATATTCTTGGAAATTTTATCATCCCTGTAACCAAATCCCAACAAGTGAATGAACACGCACACGGCACCACACACACACAAAAATTGCTACTTAGTGATCTTGGTGAATATTGCGAATTGCAGCAGTGATTTCCTTGCAATCAAACTCCATCGTCTTCATCCAATTCTCAAAATCTCCTATTTCCTAACAATTCATGGGCACAAAGACACATATCGACCATGAACACACAAGCAACCAAAAAAAAAAAAAAAAAAACTAAGAGCGACGAAACGATACCTTAACGGCGCTATTAACGGCGTGAGTTGCGGCAAGCCACTGATCCGTCTGTTTGCCGAATCGCGCCACCGTGACCGCCAGAGTTCTTATCTCCGCCTCAATCCGTTTCTCGTTTACGAAACATTCCTCCACTCCTCCGTTCACCGCCTTCACAAGCAGATCCGCCGTTCTCGCCGCGTGTCTGATCGCCTCCTTCCTCGATCTCTCTGTTTCCATATTCCTTTTCGTTGTGAAAAAATCTCACTTCTATTTCTCGATTGTAATCTGAATAAGCAAGCGGAGGAATTTACGTACCGGTCTTTTCCCGGAGCTGTAACGACGATCGACGGTTGTCATCGATCAGCTGTATGAGACTCGATTCCAGCGTTCCGGACTCTTCTCCCGATCTCTCCTTCTCTGAAAACGGTAACACCCGCCCACGCGCCGGCGACACTGACATCGGCGAATTCGTTCTTTCTCCGATTTTATTTCGGACTAAATCAATTGCTTATCATCGTAAGTCAAAACTTCTGTCTTGTTGCACAGCAAGCCGCTTAAGTCTCACGGAAACGGCAGGCATTCTCACGTTCCAAATAATGGATATCACGTTTTTTATGTTCAAATGTTTAGCCAAAATTCGTTGGTCAGTAAATCAAACAATACTATATAACATTCAGATCGTACAAAACGTACTAAAAATAGAGTGGGTCTAGATTAATTCCTTAAAGAAGGTGCAGCCCACAAATAAACCCTTTTTCAGATATTTAAATGGATTCGTAAGCAAGGATCTATATCCGTGTAAATGTCCATCAACAATGTTTTGTAGTTTCACGTAGTAGGTGAATTGAACTTGAAACGTCTTAACATCCCAAGCCCATCTCCTTACCACTTGACCACAAAGCCCCGGACAAAATACAGTGACTTTGAAAAAATACAAAACATCATGTACTGTAGATTTAAAACTGTGGAAATTTGATCTGTTATAAGTTAATAATCTGTCGTATTTTTTGCATTTAGGAATATAGTGTGTGTGTTTATGAATATTTTTACAAATTTGCTGAAGTAAAATTTATAAAAAAACAAAAATTATTTGTGTCGGTGAAAAAGTTACCAAATAATTAACGAAAGTGGAATGTAAATTAAACAATAATTTTTGATTTTTTTTTTACACGATTAAGTTAATTGAACAAGTGCATGATTTAATTGAATCTCTCAAAACAAATTTAATTGGTATAACGAAGAGTAAAAGACATTGGTCGTTGTGACAGTGTCGGAACACACATGATTAACTGGCTTAGATCCTTGAGACTAATTCCCTCCTATACTTAGACTTCATAAAAGGCTCTTGCTAAAAATAAAATGCATTACTTTGCACGAGTACGGTGTAAAACCATGAATAAATTATTCATCATGGTTTTCTTTACAGATTTTATTCATCATGCATGTAGTTGATTTTTATCATATGACTTTTCCTATGACATAGTCATGCTAAAATAATGAAAATAATGCTAACAAAAACTACGATTGCAATATGAAACAAGTTTTGAATAAGAACATACTCTATTACAAAGTTATAACAACCAAGAAAAAAAACTAAAATACGTGAAGAAAATTGGAGAGCACTAGGATGAACAATGATGATTTGGTCTTTTGGAGAAAGTGTTTATCAATAAATAAACAGTAATAAAAACTAAAATAAAAGAGTTTTGTCTATCCTAAGATTCCTAACAAGCTTTCCTTGAAGTCTATTAAACTAAAAGAAACGGAGCAAAAAGCTCTCACCTCAAATTCTTTGAAAATTTCATTGAAATTTGAAATGAAAGAAGGAAATCAAGAACCAATGGTTTATGTTTTCTAATAACTTGAGGCAGCTAATGTGTAGGCTTGGGATAACTTGCATGCAGACTTGAGGCAGTATGTATGCAGAACTGGGCACCTTGTCCTCAGATTTATAAAATTTGGAGTTTAAATTTTCTGTTCTTGGATTTTTTCCCGGTAATATTTCATAAGATCGAGAGGAGGAAGTGGAGGGAACAAGTCTTCGTTCATCTTCTCAGTCATGGCATGCACTGGCATAACCTCCTCTGCTGTCATATTTGTATACGTCGTCATAGAACCAATGGTTTATGTTTTCTAATAACTTGAGGCAGCTAATGTGTAGGCTTGGGATAACTTGCATGCAGACTTGAGGCAGTATGTATGCAGAACTGGGCACCTTGTCCTCAGATTTATAAAATTTGGAGTTTAAATTTTCTGTTCTTGGATTTTTTCCCGGTAATATTTCATAAGATCGAGAGGAGGAAGTGGAGGGAACAAGTCTTCGTTCATCTTCTCAGTCATGGCATGCACTGGCATAACCTCCTCTGCTGTCATATTTGTATACGTCGTCACTACCTTGAGCTCATTATCTACCACAGAAACTTTGAAGATGGCTGAGTCATTGGAAATGACATAGCCATTGTCATTGTCGTTGTCATCCACTTTTCCGTTCACCACCTGAACACCGCTTCGGTTCCACGCATCGACAAAGGTTACACTGCTTCTCCTACGGCAATAAAAACAAAAATAAAAGTCTTATCTACCCTAGTTGTGTAAACTGCTCAGCAATTCATGAAACTCCAATGTTAATAGAACAATTTAAGAATATATATCAACAAAATATAATAATTTTGTCATTTTTTATTATATTTTGCTCATATTTTGCTTATGTTATGCATATTTTTGTTAATTTATTTTTTTCATTATTTTTCAAATTTTTATAGTAATAATATTGATAAAAAGATATTTTAATTAAAAGTACAATCACTTTGTTGTTTTGAAAATATTTGATAAGAAATTATATTAGTTATATAAAGGTGACCATATTAAACATTTAATTTCTATGTTAGGCACTTGATTGAATCTACATAACTAATAAGGCTTGAACACTCTCCTGCTCGGGACACGTGGCACGTTCTTTTTTTTTTCCCTTCCAACGCAAAAAGGACGTCGTTTAGTGTTCTCATTTTTTTTTCCCGTCTAACACCAAAACGACGTCGTATAGTGTCTTCCTTTTTTTCCCCGAAATTTTACGGGTAACACCAAAACGACGTCGTTTTGCGTTTTTTTTTTTTTCTTTTTGGAAACCAGAAACTTTTTCCTGCTGTTTTCTTCCCTTCGTCACGTTTCGCCTCCTTTTCCTAATCGAATCGGTACCCAAAACAAAGACGGTGACATTGCTGCAATAAATTAATTCTATTTCATGTGAGAAGATAAGGAATTTGATGCGATCGGCAGAGTCACGGCATAAGCACCTTCTCAGATGATTGTATTGGGGCTCTTGACTCCTATTCTCACCAGGTTCGTCTTTCTTCTGTTCAAATAATCGATGCAGTGATTTGAGGCTTCTCTTCATCTTTTTAGATATCGATTAGGGTCCATACAAATATGGATTAGATTATGTCTGATTTTGATTTGAGGATAATATTGTAAAGATATACTACCCGTTCCTTGAGTATTGTTCTTACAGTCCAGGATTTTACGGTTTTCAGGGTTTCCTCGGTGTGATCTTATTTGTAAAAGTTAGTTTGTTTCCAAGATATCAATGGAAGCGTCTGAGGGGAATAAGTACTTGCATAGGCTTAACAAACCTGCTGTTTGGGAGCATTCAGGTTTTGAAAACTCTCTCTTCTTTACTACTATGTGATTTCTCTGTTTTCAGTTCGACTGAATACGAAGAACTTTCTGGTATATATATATATATATCTCAAGTTTTGTTCTTTTTGGACAATTTTAAGTGATAGTCTAAATTTACAGTAGAATTGACCATGTTTGATAGAAGTTACGTTTTTCTTCAACATAGCCCAAATGGAGATATAATAGACTGGGTTCCTATCTCAAAGCAGTCGGGGTTTTGTTTAAGATCACCCATTTCTTAACGACGTCTACAGAACCAAAAAATCTCTAAGGTGTGACGGGGGTTTTGTTTGATTTTTAATGTGGCACTGGAAAATTGTAGACGAGCAATCATTTCCTCTAGAAACACCAACATGTCCTATACAGTCGACGATGCCACTGAGATTGTTAGGTAACTATTGGCTTCGAGTTGCTAATTCCAAGTCCTCCATGCATATTTTGATCATCCGAGTAAATGGCTACATCAACTCTTCTTTTTGCTTACTACTATTCCTTATTTTACAATCTCTCCCTTTTGGTACCATGGTCTGTTTGTGATCTCCTCTGCGAAATTTTGTCAAAATGAGAGGTTCTTTCTTAACTAACTCTGGAGTCTGGAGCCTAAAATTTATTGTTATGGAAAGCAACTCCTATTAAATTAAGCTCAGAATGATTTTAAATGGTTTCTGTTTGATTTCTGTTATACTTCTCATGTTGAGGTATTGATTGCAGGTATTAACGTCATGCCTGAAGTAGAAGTCCCTGGCCATCCTAATCATGGTAAGAATAAGAACTTTGTAATCCTTCTCAATACTGTATCATAGAATGTTAATTCGTAAGCTTTTAAAATTTGGAAAATTGGTAAGTCGTCCATAAAGAAGAACACTTTTGGTGGTGATTTTGTATTCAGAACTGTTTCTTGATTATGACTCTTCTTATCTTGATAGTTGTCGGAGAAGTTGTCGGCCAAAGCACCCTGGTCCAACAAAAGTCAAGATTTTGATGGGAATTGCTACGGAGCATAATGTTGTATAGGAGGCAAAATCTTTTATGCAACCAGATTATAAAGGCACTGAGTTGTTGGTTAATAACGTTTTTCTTTAGTGTAATGGCATCGGTTGTTTCATCTATTTGCTAAACGTTAACCGTAACTTTTACTCTACTTGTGTTTTAGAGAGGAGCAAGCGCGTTTCAGTCAACAAGTAGTATAAACGTGGAACAACCTCGAAACGCACAAGCACCAACTCCTGTAATATAAACAAATTCTATCGCTTTTGTATATGTTTAATTTTTTGTGTGTGTTTATACACTCTAATTTGTTTGTAAAATTTCATGAATAGGATTTGGTTAGATCGATATAACCGTTAATGCTAATTGCAGTGAGCACCACCGAAATAGCCGGCTGCTCGTCTAGCCATTCTAAAATCTCCGTTGCTTCTTCTCCTTACAATCACCAACTTGATCCAATAACGGTCCCACTGGATAAGCAAGAGGCGTATCAGTTATCACATATGAATAAGAGTAAACATATGAATTGCGTCAAAGGTTTTGGAGTGTTGGAAACCAAATTCAACATACATATGTTGCAACTCAAATAGATCCAATTAAACATACAGATGTTATCATCATGTTTTGATTTGTTTTTTTTTTTTATGTTTCTGTTGTTTGTGTTTATATAAATTTAAAAACTTTGGAAAAAGGTAATTAATTTTTAAAGAACTCCACAATCACTTCTACAATATGGAGCTAAAATTTTAAAAATTCATTGAAAACTTTAAACTTAAACTATTAATATTTTTGTTATTAAAAATTACTAAAGAACTTCATTTGGAAAGAAACTTTAAATATTTTTGATATTTTTGCTGGTGGTCTAACTTATTAAGTTCATCATAATATTTAAAAAGAAACAAACTCTTATACTATTTCAAAAGAAACAAATTCTTATTTCAAAAATTAACTTTTCCTATTTATACAAAGTATATATAAACAAAACAAAATAATATCAAAAATAACAATATTTTTTTTGAAATATAAACCCGCGCATTGCGTGGGTACTCTCCTAGTCTTATATATAATAGGAGAGTGCTCTCTCCATCTAGCCTATCCACATCAGCCAAAAATTCTATTTAAGAAATTTAATGTATGACTGTTCATATTTTTTATATATATAATCCAAAGAAATACATAAAATAAAATAATAAAAATACACAAAAAATAATTAAGAAATATAAAGTATATAATAACTTAGTATCAAAATTTAACAGATATTTTAATATCAATTAGAGAAACAAAAATGAAATATCTTATATATAATTAGGGAGTTGCTCTCTCCTCTTAGAGTGTCCACATCAGAAAAAAAAATAAAAATTAATTAAATCAAAATTAATGATTCAATTAATACATACACTTTCATAATATCATAAAAGATTTATTATTCAACCAAAAATATAAAAATGTATTAAAAAATGATTAACAAAAATATAAAAGACAAAATTAAATAAAGATTAGTTGAACTTAATATTTAAAAGATTAAAAGTTAATTTTTAACAGTAGATGCAAGAGATTTGTTTTAAAAGAAAAAAATTACTGAAAATTTAAAATGTCTAAAATTCATAATAATATATATTATGTAAAAAGATAGTGTATGTAATAAAATTTCATGGAAAATGTTTAACTGTTGAAAGCTAAGCAGTTAAATTTAAGTAATAAAAATAAGTTATATATAAAACTAAATTATTGATTTTGATGTTAAAAAACTAAAGTATTGACTATTTCTAACATTAAAAAAAAACACTCAATTTTTTTTTTTGTATAAATATTTAATAAATAAACATGAATATCATATATACAGAACAACACATAAAGGAAAAACATTAAAATGACAGTTTGTAAAGTATATAAATGATAATGAATAACCAAAAATATATGCAAACAACCCCGCGCACTATTAAGAAAATTAAAAGAAAATATTATTAAATTAAAAAGGCTGTTAAGAAAATAAAAGGAAATACTAATAAGTTAAAAAGCTGTCAAAACATATGAGTGTTATCAAATTAAAAAGGCTGTCAAGAATTTAAAGGAAATTTATTTTTCAATTTCTTCCACATTTCAAACTCTATGGCCTCCAATGCATGCATAAACCATTAAAGAAATAAATCCAAATATATTCCAAAAACACAATCTGAAATTTTGTAAATGACAGATCATCAAATGATTTTTTTTCTTTTTACTTTAATTAAGAAAAATAAAAAGAGTGGTTGACACCATATAAATAACTTTTATTTTATATTCTTATTGAAGAGATGTAAGAATTCTATGAATAGTCAAAAATATTTTATATTTTCTTTTTTTACATTATTATATTTCTTTATAAGTCTCTAACTAAAAATGGAAATTTGAAGAATACATCTATTGTAATTTAGCAGTGTATTCATTTGAAGATTATTATATATGAGTACTGAAACAAGTCCAAAAGACAAAAGTTCACAAAAAATCACATAAACATCTGTTCGAGAATGCGCTAGGTGTTAATCGGGTGCTCAGGTAAGGTCTAACGCCTAAAAAACTAATCGGAAAATAATTGATTATTTCAGAAATTTGGGGTGTGTGAATACTTTGATTTCTGCTGATTTGGTAGCAGAAGCCGGAATCAATCAAATACTGATCTACTGGGATAAACATCAAGTAAGGATTTTGGATAGCTAATCTAAATAATCAAGGTAATTTTTATTACAAAGTTTGAGTAGTTTTCTGTTAGTAATTTTCATAAAACCTGTGTTCGAGAATGCGCTAGACGTAATCGGGTGTTCGGGTAAGGCCTAACACCTAAAAAACTAATCGGAAAATAATTGGATATTTCAGAAATTTGGCGTGCGTGAATACTTTGATTTGGTAGGAAGCCGAAACGGAATCAAATCAATACTGATCTACTGGGACAAACATAAAGTACGAATTTTGGATAGTTAATCTAAATACTCAAGGTAATTTTTATTACAAAGTTTGAGTATTTTTCTGTTAGTAAATTTTCATAAAATCTGTGTTCGAGAATGCGCTAGACGTTAATCGGGTGTTCGGGTACGGCCTAACACCCAGAAAACTAATCGGAAAACTATCGGTTATTTCAGAATTTTGGCATGTATGAATACTTTGATTTGTTAGGAGAAGTCAAAACAGAATCAAATACTGATCTATTGGGATAAACATCGTAAACTAATTTTGATAGATAATCTAAATTATTAAGGCAATTTTTATTATAAAGTTGGAGTAGTTATCTGGTAGTAAATTTTCAAGCTTTTTGTCATTTGAGAATTTTTGTTTATGTTTTTGAGTAAGTAAAATGATATATTTTTCAAGTTTGGTGGGTGATTTAGTTTCTTGGTTGAACTATTCTTACATTTATCAAATGTGATATGAGAAGAGATTAGAATGAATGAGTAGGATACACACACAATATATATATTCATTAATCGTTCATTGCACACTAATATAACAAAACTTATTAAATTTAATGTTCTTCCAATCTGCAGAACTATTTTAAATCCAAAATTACACTAATTGGATTTTTAGATGGTCATCTCAACCGTCTAAACCACCATATAGTATTGATTTAGGATCCTAGCCACCACGTAGCACATGAACATTAATATATACTCATCAATGTATTAGATAATTTGTTATATGTTTTTTTTGTTGCAGACTAATTGGTGTTTTTTGGGTGATTCAATTTTTAACTAGCATTAGTAATTCACATTTTTTTGTTCTATCACATATTTAGCACAGCTGCATTGTGAATTTCCATCGCGATGAAGTTTATAATATACATTTACAATGTCTAAGGTACAGTATTTTAGTTTTAAAAAAGAAAATAATTAGCCTAGCCTATATCACAATCTTTATAAAACTCATTTTTGTTACTATTCAGATATTGGCTGATTACTTTTATACGTATATTTTGTATGTTAGGCTGAATAATAAAGACTGTGTTCTATTGAGATGTCAAATTATTCTACCATCGTTTATTTTCTTTATTTCATTAAATATCCCGGCATAAAAAAATTATGTTGTCAGGTTGATGCCAACAATTTCTCTTCTAATGATCATAATTTTACTGCAGGGTTAAAATCCAATTTGAAATCGTATCACATGTTCACCAAAGAGATGTTGACTGAGCAATTCAATCAAGTGGTAATTAGCAAAGATGAAGACAGTGGAAAAGACATTGTTCCGTTGTCTGGATCAGAGGATTCAAAGGTTAATGCCGAACAAACGGTAAGGAAGCAGAGTAAGCGAAAGAATGAAAATACCGAGAAAAGACCGATGAAGAAGAAAAAAGAGTTGCAGTGGAAACGAGAGGATTGTGCGCAGCCAGTTGGCAAAGTGATTAAGTTTACTGGTACAGGACTTAAGAAGAAAGGCCACTACAAGAAATTTGAGTTTCGTGGCATAAAATATGAACTGGTGAGTTTTGTTTTCCTTAAGATTTCTTAATTTTTTTTCTGTCTAATTACAACAGCTTTTTAGTGTTTAAAAGAAAACTCACATAACAATTTGGACAACATTTTAATAAAAACAAAAGCTCCAATTTATATATTTTATACCATTTTTTTGCATAGGAGGATTCGGTGTTAATGAAGGCAGAGTCCGCAACCAGAAGCCCTATGCCGCTATCATAAAGGTTAAAAATCAAAAGAGAATTGTTGACATAATTTTCAGTTTTTACCTTATATTAATCAATTTATATTGTTGGACAGGACATTTATATAATAGGCAAAGAAGGATACGTGAAGCTTGTAGTGCAGTGGTTTTATCGTCCAGAAGATGTCGAGGAAGAATATCTCGGAAAATGGGAATCCAAAGATGCAAGGGACCTCTTCTACAGTTTCCATCGCGATGAAGTGTTTGCTGAATCCGTGAAGCACAATTGCGTTGTGAATTTCGTGCCGGATAACAAGGAAGTCCCAGACAGTAAAGATCATCCTGGCTTTATTGTGCAGAATCTTTACGATTTTGTTAAGAAGAAGCTGCGAAAGTTCACTGATAAGGACTTTAACAAGCAGCAAAAGCAAGAGATTGATGCTCTCTTGGCACAGACGATGTCGCGAGTTGGCGATCTTCCTGACATTGAGAAGGAGCAAAACATTAAGAAATCGAGGGGTAAACAAGCTGTTCCTGAAAGGACCATCAAGAAAGCTAGGAGACTGAGTCCTATCTTGGAGAAATTTGGTATGTTAACCGGAAATTTGGATCGTGACAATAGATTGGATGAGCTTCTAAAGGCGGTGAAGCACAAGTGTCGTGTAACAAAGAAGAAACAAGCTGGTGATTATGATCCTTTCTGGCCAGATGATGCAGTTCCTGTGGTGCGTACTCTTGAGCATGTTTTATTTGAGTCTTTCGGAGAGGATATGCCAAAGTACAATAACATATCGAAGGAGCTAGTTGATACACTCAAGGTTAGTTTAATTCCATTCTCTCCATCATTTGTTTGTATGTGTGTGTGTGTGTGCGCATGTTCTGCTTATAATCCATAGGATGTGACAATTATGTCATTCATATAGTATGAAATGTTGCTGGTTTTGGAAGTTGATATAACAAACGAACGATGAAAAAGATAAAATATGCTATGCTCTATAGAAAATACATAAATTATTGTGTGAAATTCCACACTGATATTTGATGATTGAACTAGAATAGGGAATCTATTAGATTTTGGGGATCCTATAAAGGAGTCTTATTTTATATAGGAGTATTTTATATTCCAGGTATGATATATTTTCCGTAAAATTATTGTTTGTATTCAGTGGTATTAGTTTGCTACAAGTATCAATTTAAGTTAGCATTTATTTTATTTTGTATTTTGAGTGATAATAGTAATTTCCTCTCGTTTGTTTGTAGAGCTCACGAGTGCTTGCTGAACGAATCCTCCGTGGCGAATTAAAACCAGAACAAGTTAAAACGATGACGAGCAATGAGCTAATGGTAGTGTCTCTTTTTCACATACTTTCTTCAATATGATGTGATTTTACATGTTGAAGTGACTAATAAGATTAGTTTTTTTTTTCATTTTTTTTTGTCAGAATGGTCATACTCTTGACGAGATAACAACTGTCATCGAAGAACCACCACTGAAGAGCGATGATCCATCCACTTCCGGTCCAAAAGTATAAGGCGCTGATGTTTCCTCGACAATTACAGATATCTAGTGGTATCTTGATCATCTTAATTTGTGTTCATCTAAATCTCTAGACGAGTTCTTTATCCAGAGTTCTCGTCGATCATGACTTCTTCTTTTTCTTTTCCTTTTTTTCTTATCTAAAACTCCAGTTATTTAAGTTTTTATCTAAAACTCCAGTTATTCAAGTTTTTTATATTCATTTGGCATCAGTAACATGTGTTAGCGCATGTATTCAACATTTCAACTGAATTATGAAGGGTTATGAATCAAAAATATTATGAACCATTTTTTTATGGGCTAATTCCTAGTTAGTCGAATCTCTTACACGTTCTTCAATTTTGTACGACAACCCCTCTGTTATGATCTGATGTGGATCTAATTATCATTATCAAAGATATTTATGCCATTTGTTTTCTTGTATGTTTTGAAGCTAATTATGAATCTAATTAAATACACGGTTAGGACATAAAAAGACAATGAAATAATGAATCCATTAAGCAATCTAAATTACATGTGTATATACTATATAACGTGGAAGCAAATCGCATCCTTGCGTCAGAAATATAAGCTAGAAAAATTAGTCAATGTGTTGTACTAGTTGGAGTAAAGAAAGGTAACATGTTACATATAAGAATTCATGTAAAATTTAGAGATATGTCAAGAAACTATAAAGTTCACCCCAAAAATACCATACTCATATCATATTCAAATGTAATGCAATTGTTGAAATATTGTGGTAAGAATTTCCGATTTCTTTTGTTAAAAGAAGATTCTTGAATCTACATAGTTATCACGTAATCTCGCCAATTCAACATTTCTAAGCATAAAGTTCTGGACTGGAATCGTTTAAAAGGTACAACTATATTTCAAAACTAAAAACATTATCATTAGGTTTAGTTTAAGCATATATACAAATGTAAATGCTGCAGGTTGAAATTTATTCGAATTAAAAAATTCCATTTTGTTTTCCATTAACATGCAGTTTACTAGTATTTTACTAGGTTTGAATACAAGAATATTTCACGCGATATCCTTAATATGGATCAACACTCAACTTGTAGCTCATGAAGAAAACATAATCAAGAAACACGGATTCTGATTTAATCGTGGAAAAGAAAAAAAACTAATTTAATCAAAGTAATGAACATTATTATCACTGGACAGAGAATTACTGTATCCAGCCGCCGAAGACGGAGGAGGATTATACATAGAATTTGTAGCAGAGGAATTAGAAGACGAAGATGACGACACAACCATCGACGGAGACGGCAACGAAGCCGGTGGCGTAGGCGGCGGAGCCGGCTGAGACAACAGCAACCTTGGTGGTCGTGGTGGAGGAGGAGGCGGCGGTGGTGGTGGGAGCAAAATAGCCCCCGCGAGACCATGATCGGTCACTGATGTTGTAGTGTTATTGTTGAAGTTGTTGTTTTGAAGGGAAGTGATCGTGGCGGCTTCTCGGTATTTGTGGCGGAGGATGTCTGTACGGACAGTGGTGAGTTCGGATTGGAGAGACTGAATGTGGTGTTGAAGAGCAGAGATTGCTCCCATGCAGCCGTAGATTGGATCTCTGAGTCTAAGGTTGGCTTCGTATACTAAACTGTTCGCTGCGTCTCCTCTCTGACTCTCACCCACTTCCTGCATCATTTAGTCAATATGTCATATGTATATACAAACATGAATATCGATGTTTTTGCATGAAATGAAATAATTAATTTTTTCTTTTTTTATAACCGGAGAGATCATCATAAGCCGAAACTCAAAATAATCTCCCAGACTAAAAAAAAAAATATTATGGAAATTCTTGAGCAAAAGATTATTTTTATGTACCGTGATTTTTTTTCAAGACACTGAAAATTGAACTACTGTTGAATATATGAAAAACTGATAAATTTTTGTTTTGTTATATGCAATAAACAAAACAAAAAGCAAATTCCTTTAGCTTCTCATATTACCAAAAATTGTTTTTTTTTTTACCAAAAGGCAATTACCAAAAAATATTTGATTGCCTTTATTTACAATTTACAACGGTTGCAACTAGCAACTACCTAACTGATATATGAAAGACAAATGTGCATCAGATCCAGTAGAGAGGAAGATGATAGATATGCAAAATGGAAAGTTGATATGACTAATAGAAAAATAGTTTGTTAATAAAATTACGTTAATCTACTTGAAACGATTGAAATATTTAATCTACTACTAGTATGCGTAAGTTCACTAAGTTGTAAACCGCAAACAAATTGCGAACAAACAACGAATCAAATACAGCATGTGGTGATAACGATTTTCTACCTCTGCCTATTTGATAAACACCTAGAATATGACAAATTGTTCAAAATGGAAATATATAGTTTTGAATAAATTCGGAAAAAATCAAGTCAAACAAAAAAAAGATGTAGATCCCTTAAACTATATCCTAATATATCAAATACTATGGTATATGGATCCGAGTAATTAAAGAATAACAAAAAAACTTTCAAGAAGAGAAAAGAAATCAAATAGAGTACCAGAAGCATCTTGGAGACGTTACTAGCGCCGAAGACTTTGTGAACGGCGGCGAACTTGTGAGGTTCGTGCGGCGAAAAGTAGGGCGAGAAAGGACACTCCTCCGCGCAACGACGGCGGAGTAGCTTACAAGCGGCGCATGGAGTCACGGTGTTCAAAGTCGTCCCAGGAGGCACCGCCACGTGTCTCCTGATACCCATCACGGCATGATCCGTCGTTGTTTCAAAGGTTGGATCTTTCTTTATCTTCTTTACGGTCTCGTAGTACTCTCCAAATCTTTCCCTAATATCTCCAATCATTTTCACCACCACCAATATTGATTAATCGACTATTTTCACCAAGATTATATAGGTTGTTGATTGGATTTTACCTGTCTCTGGACATTCAAGCATGCTAAATTGCTAATTATAAGTTTGGTTTTTAGAGCATCAATGGAGGAAGAGAAGAAAGGAAGAAGAAGAAGAAATAGAGAGGTTTCTTATAGAAGGAGAGTCATTAGGGTGAATGAAGTTGAGTTAATTAAATGGTCGGTCTTTATTTACTTAATAATTATATTGTCTCCGACGATAACAAAAACAAAAAGTCGTAATGTCTTACTCTTGTACGTTAAGATATTAATTATCAAATTCTGACTATGCTCGAGATTTGCAAGAGTTAATTATTTATGCTGTTTATCGTGTATATATTACTTGTTTTTTGGTTATTTATTCTGACAAGAAGATATATATCTAATCGATTCCAAATTTAAGTAAACTAAATTTGAATAAGATCGAGCCCCAATGATCAAAACTACATAAAGTTTCTAACCTTAGACTTTAGAGCTTGTGTGTGGTTTGTTAATAATATAAACTTAAAGAAAGTTGGTTGAAGAAGAAAAAAAAGGTTAGTTCCTTGTACGTGGGCTCATCTTAGTCAATGCTCAATATTCGAGCAAGCACCATACCGACTCTACAACCACCATACCGACTCTAATCAGATTCACTTGGTTACAATGCTTATATTTTGAAATTATATGGTAAACCGAACCTAAATTCGTGCTAAACCAAGAAAATCACATAGCTAAATTCTTGTTAAGATTAAAGAAATATCCGATTATAAACTGAATACGAATCGGAAACCATATAAATCAATCCAAACTGGACTCATTTTTAATGTTCTTGGAATTACATCAAATTAGAATGGGAGAAACCGAACCTTTTCATTGTTTTTTCTTAGGTCAACCTCTTCACGTGTGCAATAGATGTCAAACTGGCAAAAAAGGGAAATCTAATACATACATACACACATGTGGCTGCACGTGAAGGATGTTTCCGTCTAAGAACCCAAATTAAATGCTTTAACCAGTTTATAAGTTTAAATCATTGACCGTAATTACTAAATCATTGTTCGTGTTTTTGTTTTTTCTCTACTCTCACGTCTTAACATGCACACAAATATTAAGTCAAGATCAAGAACATGTGGGCACACTAGATCTCATCAATTTTCACACTCTTCGGAAATCGGAATACGATTATTCCTTTTTGAAATGTAAATATGTTCACAATCTCTTCACTATTTGTATTTTATAAAAAAAAAAATGTAAATATGTTTGAAAGCTCCTCAGAATAATGGAATTGTGCATCCATATACAGCATCTAAAAACTCTACATCAAAAATGTTTTTTGATTAATCAAATTCAATACATGATTTTGGCTGCTAACGTTAGACAAGAACTCGTCTAATGAAGATTATCAATTATCATCCAACTCCACAACTCCACAACTTTTACGATTAATGAAGATTATCAATTATCTGAAAATCATCCAACTCCACAACTCAAGTTAGTCAGCATTTGTAAAATCTCTAACGAGATAGGATTCAAAATATAGATTTTGGTTAGGCTTTTATATTTACGAAGAAGATTAGAGCCTCATTCAAATTCAAAAGGTTTGAAATTACATCATATAAAATTACAGCAATGTTGAATTCGATTTGCACACAACTCTTTGAGTATTAATATTATTATTATTATTATTATTATTATTATTATTATTATTATTATTATTATTATTATTATTATTATTTCTACAACTCTATGAAATTAGGAGACCTTGTCAAATCAACAAACTCAGAAACTCGTCTCCTCTGCATAGACGATCCAACTCTGCAACTCGGTGAGGGAGTCATCAGATCAATCACCTCCACCTCATTAACGGTTGATGTAACAGGGTTGCTTCTTGTCCAACAATCTCTAATGGATCTTAAAGTGCCATGTGATACTTCATCTTCAACACTCTCATCTACCAAGCCAAAACCACTGAAATTTGCTAATCTGTCATGTAATACAACCTCAGGCTCTTTCTCTATAGCTTCATCAATGTATACTCCTACAGTGCTATGTGAAACTTCATCTTCAACACTCTCATAATCTAACAAGCCAAAACCAGTGAAGTTTGCTAATCTGTCATCAAGTACAGTTTCATGTACTTTCGCTTTCTCAAAATGTCGGTCATGACGTTCTTTTTCATTCTTAGGCTGGCTTTGATTGCTACAGCCATCATCATCATCATCATCATCATTCCTATCATCAGGACTCTCTTCATCTTCGGGTTGAGAACTGCTGTCTACATGTGTGAAACACGGAAGATCATCCATAGCACAAACTTGGACTTTCATTTGCAACGGCAAAGGTGGAGAAAGACCGCCGTAGTGAGCATACTTTGTTGAGAAATAGTTGACTGTAAGGTTTAAACTGGTCACACAACACACACTAATAAGTCATGTCCACAATCCAGTAAGCAAAATGGATTTCTAAACTATAACAACAAGGATAAGCTTCTTTACCTATTCCAAGCTGGAAGATTAAGCATTGTGTAAGCAAGCTTGATCTTGCTTGCAAGTCCAGTGAATGATTTGAAAGCAGCAGCAGCTTCTCTCACTGCAAGTGACTCTCTCGGATGCTGCCATGCCCACTCAAACTGCAACCAAGAGCAAACAACAGAACAAGAGGCCACAACTTCAGAGAACAAATGGGAAGTAAAAAGCAACAATCTTTAGCCAGGATTGTTAAATCTATTATCTAAAGCTTGAAGCTTTCGGGGTAACGAAGACAAGATCTGTATGAATGTGAATCTGCTCTGACCTGAAGAGCAGAGACGTTGGTGGGGAAACCATAGATGCAGAGGACCATTTCCCATGGCCGTTTCTTCTTTGTTCTATATGCTCCACTTGTGATCTCTCCGTTGTGCTGCCTTATTCTGCGCCTCGGGTTAACCGTGAACCTGCAAACAACCGGATCATGTAATCGGAAAACGGTTAATGATTAAACCAACATCTACAAGTCTGATTAGAAAGATAGAATCTTGGTATTTGATCTGACTTTTATCAATCTAACTTTTCAGATTACACAAAGATGGAGTAATTTACTTCGATTGAAACTAAGAATCGACATGAGTATATCCCGATAACTTGATAATCGAATATGATCGTCAAATGCGAATCGAATTGGGTGGAAAAAAAATTGGACGGTGAAATCGAAATACCCGATATAGGTGTGAGTCTTGTGGCGAGGGCTAAGGGAGGTCAAGATATAGCAGGCGAAGAATCCATTCCCATCTTTACCGGTGACGTCTCCACGAGTCTCGTCATCATCATCAGCGACGGGATCTAGGGTTTTCGGATTTTCTCTTCTCCCCCTTTTCTTTCTCATCTCTCTCTCTCTCTCTCTACTCTCTGCGTCCATTCGACCGTTGGACGAAAGATGAGATAATATGTAGTAGTAATAAGACTATTTGGGCCTCTATGTTTACCAGGCCCAATATTAGCACGGAATGGCCCAATTTTGAAATTAGAATCTCCTCTCGTCTCTTCCGTAATGAAATTAGAATTCAATTAGGGCAAACATAAAAGTTAAGCTGAAGAGTTTTTTTCTGGATTTAATTTTGGTAAAGAAAGAGAGAAAAGGGATCGACTTGTGTCGGAATCTCAATCCCTTCTCCGATCGACGGTTTCTGTAGGCGAGAGCTTAGTCGGAATCGTCAAGCAAATTTGTTCCCTATTTCAGGAAATTCTAGGAATTGGTCTCATCGATCTTTCTCCCCAATTTACTCGCACAGATCAAACTTCCAACTATCAAATTCCGGAAAGTGTTGGAGGCATCTCCAGTTTCAGGCAAGCGTTTCTCTCACTTTTCCTTTTAAGAACTCTTATGCTTCGTGTTTAATCTCGGGTTATTTGCTTCGGAATGTCAAAAGTCGAAAATATACATAGTTAGTGTTTAAACCAACTTCAAGCTGCTATTTTTTGGGAATGACATAGGTTACCTTTTTTTTCTTTCCTTCTTGTGAATAGGCTGAAGCATTTCGAAATGGAAAGTATGACAAAACATTTCCTTCTAGTTGGCTTTTTAAAGTTTCTGTTTTTTCATTTCTGATTTTCTATTAGTAGTATTCGTTTTGTAATTGTTGACCTATGTTCATTTAGCTATAAAGTCTTGATGGAGATTAATCCGATCCATTATGCCCATATGTTGATGTTAAGAGCGAGGATTTGCTGAAGAAAGTGAATTTAGATTAAAAAGTCTTGACATGTATATTTGCTTTTGCTAAAGGAGATTGTTGGTTTAATTTTTTTTTTTAAATGAGTGGATTTGCTTGGTGTTACGTGCAGAGCGTCACAAGCTTACTCCATTCTTGCCTGTGCTTCCACATGTCTGTGTAAAAGATTTAAGATCCTCTGTTTTCTGCTTTTGCAGGAATCGACCGTTGTGGCTTCATGGGCTTCAGTTTCATCGTGGGCTTCATTTGTTTGTGAACTTGGGCTCAAGTCTCTACTGAAGCTGCACTGTCGTTTTGCTTCAGCTCTAACTTGCTGTTGATCTTCTGTGTTAGTAGTCTGCTGGCTGATGAACCAAGCTTAAGCCTCTTCCTAATTTCAATTTCGATCGAAGCAAATTCGGAATGAAGCGCGATTTCGACGAAATCTCGGAGGAGGAGTGGTCGCAGCACTCGTTTAACGCTTCGCGGGTGCTTAAACGGCCACGGGCTCCAACGAGGACCCGTCCGGCGAATCCGTCGCCTCCGATTGAGTCGTTTGCGTTCCGGAGGCCGTCCAAGGCAGCGGTTGCGGGAGGAGGAAGAGAAGAAGAGAGTAACAGCAGCAGCGACGATTGTGTCGAGGTGGAGGATTTAGGAGAATCTGATTCGGAGGTGAAGGTTGTGAATGGCGATGATTTGCTGTTGGAGGACGAGGAGGACGCGAAGGTCGTGGTGCGAGCTGCGAGAGCTGGTCGGCGATTTGTGATTGAAGACGACGAAGCGAGTGAAGATGAGTTTGACGATGATGATGAGGTTGCGCTTAGCTCTAGTGATGACGAAGGTGGGAAAGGAGGGAGAGGAGGAGGAGAAGAAGATGTCGTTGGGAAGGCTCTGCAAAAGTGTGCCAAAATCTCGGCGGATCTTCGTAAGGAGCTTTATGGCAGCTCTTCTGGGGTTACTTGCGATAGGTACTCTGAAGTGGAAACCTCTACTGTGAGGATTGTCACACAGGTACTGCAATTATCACTTCTCTTCTTAATAGTTTTATATTCTTAGGAGATTTAGTGAGCTATATTGAATACATAATCTAGAATGGGTTTTGATTAGATGAAATGTTTGATGGGTTGATTCTGTGATGATCACAGACTGATATTGATGAAGCATGTAAAGGAGAGGATTCTGATTTTCAGCCTATACTCAAGCCGTACCAGTTGGTTGGTGTGAACTTTCTTCTTCTCTTGTATAAGAAGGGAATTGAAGGAGGTAAAATATTTTACTAGGTTTGGATCTGTAAGAGTTCTCTAGCTGCTGATACATCATTTTGTGACTGACATTTTCAACTTCTTGTAGCTATTCTAGCCGATGAGATGGGTCTTGGAAAGACCATTCAGGTGCGTTGTTCTCTGTGCCTTTTGTTTCTTTCTCCTTTATATTTATCAAGAGACTAATGTTGCTCTCTTTAACAGGCAATCACATATTTAACTCTTCTAAACACCTTAAACAATGACCCTGGTCCTCACTTGGTTGTATGCCCTGCCTCTGTCCTGGAAAACTGGGAGAGAGAACTCAAGAAATGGTGTCCATCGTTTACTGTACTTCAGTACCACGGGGCTGCGAGAGCAGCCTACTCGAGAGAATTGAATTCTTTGTCAAAAGCTGGGAAGCCGCCGCCATTCAACGTGCTTCTTGTGTGCTATTCTTTGTTTGAACGACATAGGTACAACTTAAACTACTATTGATGCTCTATCTGCTTCTCTTTTTACTCACAGATGTTTGAATCTTACACAGTGAACAACAGAAAGATGACCGTAAAGTACTGAAACGGTGGCGGTGGAGCTGTGTTTTGATGGACGAAGCCCATGCTTTAAAGGATAAGAACAGTTATAGGTGGAAGAATTTGATGTCTGTGGCCAGAAATGCAAACCAGCGCCTGATGCTTACAGGAACGCCTCTACAAAATGATTTGCATGTACGGTTTGTTGGTTTCTCTTCATCTCTAATTACCTAATATTTGGGGATATATGTTTGATGTGGTGATACAAAATATGCAGGAACTATGGTCGCTTCTGGAGTTCATGTTGCCTGATATATTTACCACGGAGAATGTCGACTTGAAGAAGTTGTTGAACGCAGAAGACACGGAGTTGATTACTCGAATGAAATCCATTCTTGGTCCTTTCATCTTGAGGCGTTTGAAATCTGATGTCATGCAGCAGCTTGTTCCAAAGATACAGCGAGTATGTCTACGTCTATATATATCTGTGCATGTTTGGTTAGAAGATATTGTTGCAATCTCTCAACAATCCAATGCAGGTTGAGTATGTCACCATGGAGAAGAAGCAGGAAGATACATATAAAGAAGCCATAGTGGAATATCGTGCTGCTTCGCAAGCACGTGTCCTAAAGCTTTCCTCAAAATCCTTAGCCAAGGCACTTCCAAAGCGTCAAATCTCAAACTATTTTACTCAATTCCGAAAGGTAAGCGATCACAATCCCCAAGCAATGTTCTTATTATGTTGGTGTAATTGAGTTTTCTTTTTTTGTTCATATATTAATCTTGGTGGTACAGATTGCGAACCATCCATTGTTAATTAGGCGAATATACAGCGATGAAGATGTCATTCGCATTGCGAGGAAGTTACACCCAATCGGTGCATTTGGATTTGAGTGCTCCTTGGATAGAGTCATCGAAGAAGTTAAGAGTTACAACGATTTCCGTATCCACCAGGTGAATTTTCTCTCTTTCCAAAAACAATGTTAATCAAACATGTTATTATACAAAGCTAACTAGTTTCTCTCTCTCAGCTTTTGTTCCAATATGGAGTTAACGACACCAAAGGAACTCTCTCAGACAAACACGTTATGCTCTCAGCAAAATGTCGAGTAAGCAAATTATTTCTAAATCGAATAACTAAACCCTAACTGAATAACTAAACCCTAAACTGTCTCTTTTATGTGTATCAGACGTTAGCAGAGCTTCTCCCAACAATGAAGGAGTCAGGCCACCGCGTTCTGATATTCAGCCAATGGACATCGATGCTCGATATCTTAGAATGGACACTCGATGTGATCGGCGTTACGTACAGAAGACTCGACGGAAGTACTCAAGTCACGGACAGGCAAACCATAGTGGACACATTCAACAACGACAGGTCGATATTCGCCTGTCTGCTATCGACGCGAGCAGGTGGGCAAGGTCTGAACCTGACCGGAGCAGACACTGTTATCATTCACGATATGGATTTTAATCCGCAGATCGATCGGCAAGCTGAAGATAGGTGCCATCGTATCGGTCAAACAAAACCAGTCACTATCTTTAGGTTTGAGCTTCTTTTTCGTTTGTTATTATGTGTTAACGTCAGTTTTTCATTCACGTTACTGTGTGTGTATCTGTATTGACTCTGGCAATGTTGTTTTGGGTACAGACTGGTGACGAAATCGACGGTTGATGAGAATATTTACGAGATTGCGAAGCGGAAACTTGTTCTTGATGCGGCGGTTCTAGAGTCTGGAGTTCACGTCGATGACGACGGAGACACGCCTGAGAAAACCATGGGAGAGATTCTTGCTTCTCTTCTCATGGGATAACGATTCTTTTTTTTTTTTTTTGGTGGTAAAATGAGCTGAGAAACGAAAGTAATGTGTTATTGGAAACATGTGTAACATTAGCTTTTAGACTTTTAAGTTAAGTTATCATAGTTAATATAATTTCGTTTATGCATGTAAATTGAAATCGAAAGGGGAAAACGACTAATGGACATAGGACGACGACACTTGATCAAATTAGAAAGACAAATGCGCATCAGATCCAGCACAGAGAAAGATGATAGATATGCAAAATGAAAAGTTGATTGAAGTATGTAGTCTACAATTAGAAAGATGATAGATATGCAAAATGTGTTGTAGACCGATGAGACATGAGAATTTCATTTTCAAAAGGTTTGAAATCTTTTTATCACATCATATAAAATTACAACTCTTTGAGTATTAATACTATTATTATTTCTACAACTCTATGAAATTAGGAGACCTTGTCAAATCAATAAACTCAGAAACTTGTCTTCTCTTCATAGACGATCCAACTCTGCAACTCGGTGATGGAGTCATCAGATCAATTACCTCAACCTCATTAGTGGTTGATGTAACAGCGTTGCTTCTTCTCCAACAATCTCTCACCATGGCGTGAATGGATCCTAAAGTGCCATGTGATACTTCATCTTCAACACTCTCATCTAATAAGCCAAAACCACTGAAATTTGCTAATCTGTCATGCAATACTACAACCTCAGCTTCTTTCTCCATTGCTTCTTCAATGGGTCCTACAGTGCTATCTGAAACTTCATCTTCAACACTCTCATCATCCAATAAGCCAAAACCAGTGAAGTTTGCTAATCTGTCATCAAGAACAGTTTCGTGTACTTTCGCTTTCTCAAAACGTCCGTCACGAAGTTCTTTTTCAGCGGGATACAAGTCATTCGATGAGCATGTAGTTGGATTCTTTGGCTGGCTTTGATTGCTACTACCATCATCCTCATCATCTTCTTCATTACTATCATCAGGACTCTCTTCATCTTCGGGTTGAGAACTGCAGTCTACATGTGTGAAACACGGAAGTTCATCCATAGCACAAACTTGGACTTTCATGTGTTGAGGCAAACTTGGAGAAAGACCACCGTGGTGTGCATACTTTGTTGAGAAATAATTGACCGTAAGGTTTAAACTGGTCACCGATACACAAGTTATAACAATCCGGTAAGTAAATTGGATGGCTAAAGTACAACAACAATAAGCTTTTTCTTTACCTATTCCAAGCTGGAAGATTAAGCATTGTGTAAGCAAGCTTGATCTTGCTTGCGAATCCAGTGAATGATTTGAAAGCAGCAGCAGCTTCTCTCACTGCAAGTGACTCTCTTGGATGTTGCCAAGCCCACTCAAACTGCAACCAGGTTTCAAAACATCAGCAAGCGGAAACAACAGAACAAAGAGGCCACAACTTCAGAGAAGAGATGGGAAGTAAAAGCAAAAATCTTTAGCCAGGATTTGTAAAACTACTATCTAAAGCTTGAAGCTTTAAGTAGGTATGAATGTGAATCTACTCTGACCTGAAGAGCAGAGACGTTGGTGGGGAAACCATAGATACAGAGGACCATTTCCCATGGCCGTTTCTTCTTTGTTCTATATGCTCCACTTGTGATCTCTCCATTGTGTTGCCTTATTCGGCGTCTCGGGTTAACGGTGAACCTGCAAATAACCGGATCATGTAATCGGAAAATGGTTAATGATCTCACTACAACAGTTTATTGCCATGATTCAATTCAAGCAGTAAACCAACATTTACCAGTCTAAATAAAAAGCTTTAGTTTTTGGTATTTGATCTGAATTTAAGAGATAGTATTCAGGAAACAGAGTGGTGATTTGAATCAAACACTTTTTGTCAAACTAACTTTTCAGATCACACAAAGATGGAGTAATTAGTTTGATTGAAACTAAGAATCGACATCAGTGAATCCAGATAATTTCAGATCGATTGATTTTAATAATAGAATTGGATCGTCAAATGCGAATCTAGTTGGGTGAAAGAAAATGGAAGATGAAATCGAATTACCCGATATAGGTGTGATTCTTGTGGCGAGGGCTAAGGGAGGTCAAGATGTAGCAGGCGAAGAATCCTTTCCCATCTTTGCCGGTGACGTCGACATCATCAGCGACGGGATCTAGGGTTTTCGGATTTTCTCTTCTCCCCCTTTTCTTTCTCATCTCTCTCTCTCTCTCTCTCTCTACTCTCTGCGCCAATTCGACCGTTGGACGAGAGATGAGACAATACGTAGGAGTGAGATTTGTTTGGGCCTATAATCAGGCCCAGTTTTAAATTTAGAATTAAGGCAAATCCATTTGTTGGTAACTAGAATTCTTGGCCACGTTAATAGATTAGTGGTCTGAAATAAATGTAGTAGAAATGAATCTTCCATATTTAATAAAGAAAATGCATTATCGAATCTCAACTATTGCTTTAAGTCTTCACTTTAATAAAGGTTCAAAATCTCCTTCAACGAGACTAAAGCAAAAATGTATGCAAAATCATCCGCAGAAAGAAAAAGAAAAAACAAATAAGATATGTTCGTAAATATTCACTAGGCATAATGGACTATCTCTAATCATCATACGTGAACCTTCAGCAGTTACATATTGGACTAACCTAGACAATGAAACATCACTAAAGTAGGTGTGAACGTTGGTTTTCACTCAAAGTTATTCACATGTCGGCTATAAATCATGAAAATTAATCTAGATTTCATTATCAAATTCTTCATCAACCACATTTCCCCTTTATCTACTTTCCTAATTCACACCCAACAACCTAATTTTTTTCCCTTTACGCCCAAGACCAAAAAAGTGGGCAGGAGTTCTACTTTGAGTTTTCAAGGATTATATGAAATAAAATAATTAATAAATGTTATTTTAACAACAAAATGGGCCAACAATTATGAGATGAATGAGAAAGGTTTGTGGTTATGATGATGCTTCAATAATGATACTGATTTCTTAGCTTTCACTCCTTTTTACTTGTAAAATTGTGTAGTCAAGTGGACAATAATAGCTTTCCTCACCAGAAAAAGCTACATTGTTCTAATTTTTAAGTTTTGTAACAAGGTACTGTACAAACCTTTTTATCCATTTTCATTACCGGATGTGATACTCCCATGCAATTATTTCATGTGTTCAATAATAGAAAAATATGCAATATTGAATTGAAGAAGCACAATTATGGAAGTATCTCAGTAAAATTGGAAATTCAAACTGTAAACAGAAGAACATTTGACTACATTGTACAAAAGAGTAAGTATCTGAGTAAAATAGAAAATCCAAACCATAAAGAGAAGAACATCTGACTATATTATACAAAAGAGTAAAGAATCTGAGTAAAATAGGAAATCCAAACCATAAAGAGAAGAACATTTGACTATATTATACAAAAGAGTAAGTATCTACAAAATGCAATTTAGACTTGTTGTACATAGTGAGTAAATACATTTTTATCAAAAAGCAGAAAATAGATACAGACAATTTGGTAATAGACACATTAATTAATTTGTTTTTTTCCTTTTTCGGTGATAACTCTAAAACTTAGTAGAACGCAAATCAATCCAAGCCAATCGATTGGCGTTTGATTTGAATAAACACAGCAGGAAAATATCCGTAGCGTTTTTAAATTGTTGCGGTTGGCGTTTGATCGCAAACGCGGATAAGTTGAAGCCTGAGTTTGTTATTCCACATCTCCTTGTAGCAATCGGCGTCGCCACCTCTCCGCCTTGCCTCCACCACAACGAGCAAATCGTTCAGCCGCGAAATGTATATTCCGATTGTGAATTTCCCGTTTTGCCCTTCCATTTCGAACCCACATTCCTCCTTCTTCTTCGTCACCCTCAGCTTCTCTGCATTTGCGAATTTCTCCACTTCCTCCGTTAGATTCTCCGGCGATTTCTCCGAGAGGAACCTCTCTGATTCTCCCATCGAATTGCTGCAACCGGCGAACAAACCGGAGAGATCTAATCCCGACGAGTAAGAAATCAGATCAAACGCGTTTAGACTCTTCACCGCGTCCGATTCTCCTCCTCCTCCCTGATTTGCAGGATCTTCCTTTCCCTTGACCAAATCGGAATCCTGATCAACCTCGTCGTGGAATTTAATCGGTTGTAAACCGCCTTTCACGAACCACGGATCCTTCAGGATCTCATCAATGGTGATTCTGGTTGCGGGATTGATGTCGAGGAGACGGGAAATGAATCGTTTCAGATCCGGAGACATATATCTAGGGCATCGATATTCCCCTTTGTAAATCTTCCTATACATGTTCATCAGATTCGGATCGTTAAACGGCAAATAACCGGCGGCGAGGACGAATAAGACGATGCCACAAGACCAGATATCGACCTTGGCCCCTTCGTATCCCCTTTTCGAGAGAATCTCCGGCGCCACGTAAGCCGGCGTACCGCACAAGGTGTGCAAGAGACCGTCGGATCGGATCTGATCCGTCAAGGCGCTGAGACCGAAATCGGAGACCTTGAGATTCCCGTTCTCGTCGATCAGGAGATTCTCCGGCTTGAGATCGCGGTGGTAAACGCCGCGAGCGTGGCAATAACCGACGGCGGAGATCAATTGCTGGAAATACCTACGGCTGAGATCTTCGCTGAGGCGGCCGTATTTAGAGATCTTATTGAAAAGCTCTCCTCCTTTAACAAACTCCATGGCGAAGAAGATCTTAGCCTTGGTCGCCATTACCTCGTGGAGCCTGACGATGTTTGGGTGAGCCAAACGTCTCATGATCGAGATCTCGCGCTTGATGTTGTTGGCGAGGGCTGGGTTCGCGAGGAGCTTCTTCTTGTTGAGGATTTTGACGGCGACGCTCTGGCCGGTACGGCGATCTCGAGCGTGGAAGACCTTGGCGAAGGCGCCGCATCCGAGAAGCTTGCCGAGCTCGTATTTGCCGAACAAGGCGTTGTTGTTGCTGTTGTCGTCGCCGTCGGCGACAATCTCGATCTCTGGCATAGTTTGAGAAGCCAGAGATCGATTGAGAGATGATTGATCTATAGAAGAAGAAGAAGAAATGATGGTCCTCGCTGGAGAATTTGAAACTTCTTTTGAATTGCGCGTAATTGAGCGTGTGAACACGTAAGCTAATTAATTCGTCGTCTTCTTTCTTCTTTCGTTGGGGATGTTTTTTTGGTTTTTTTTGTTTACTTTTTATGGAATTGAGAATAAGGTTTTTAAAAAGGAAGTGGTTAGGTATTTAAGAGGAGGAGGTTTATGGTGAAACGCAGAGAAGAATATTTGTTTTTGGTCAGAACGGATTTTTTATTTTGTTAAGTAAGTTAAATGGGATAAAGATGCCTAAAGCTGGAGTTTAAGCTGATTCATTTGTCTTTTTATCCTATAAAAACTGGGGAAATTGATGTGTAAAATGTAAAGGATAAGTTTTAAATAAATATAACCGTTACACAATTGTGAACCAGGAAACAAAAGTACCTTCGATATGACAGTAAAAACATTTCTTTCTCAAAGAAAAATGAGAATTGTAATGACACATTACGTTACATTCCACTAATTTAAAGTTTTAAACTGACATTATTCACAGTATTTTGTCTCATTTTGTTCCCACTCAGTACATAGGCCATATCCACCAACATGATACAAACTGCTGCGGTAAGACCGCGAGGACTTCACTGACGTCTGATATTGAGATGAAAACTACTCCTATGTATAAATTAGGGTACTATTATATTGATATGTTAATTCGTTTGATTACAGTTGCTAAAATTTTGTTTCGATGTCTACGATTTACACACTTTATAATTAAATTTGGAAGTAGTTGCCTGCCGGGATGGGGTCAACGATTTTGTTAAGTTAAGAAAACTAAAACTTTAAAATAATACAACTAGTTTCAAACAAGCAATTGGTAAACGTCGGCATGACTTTTTTTGAGCAATGGATAGCGTGTGTCGAGGGCTACGAAATTGGTAAACTAGAGTCACACTGTATAAAAATTGAAATACTTTTTCTTTCTCATAATTCATGAACAACAAACTCTACCGTCCTGAATAGATATATATACAAAAAAAAAACTCATACAAGAATATACAAACCAAGGCTTGAAATTACACCAGATACAAATTATCATAAGTCAACGGTATAAATAAATAAGCCAATAGTTCTAAAGTAAGTTGATAAATTTCAAAAATAATAAGTTTAACAGTAAAATTATCTACAATGTTAAAAATTCTTTCTTTTCCATAAAAAAAATTATAGAAGTCAACCGTTGGAAACCTGTTGTACAAATCTTTACTTTACAAATCTTTACTATCATGATTTTCGTTTTATGTAGCTTTGTACGATCGATATACACTTAAATTCTACTCCAAATTATTACGTAGTCTTTTGTATCACTCAATTATTATGCTGTCGATGGGTTTCTACTTCTTTACTTCTGTCTATACGCGTGATTATTTCACCTAACACCTCATGGCTTCTCTCGTACTTTTTACATCACAAATCAGCTTTGTATGCATGGTAAGAAAAACACGTACATCAGTAAGTAGGTGTTTTTCGTATATGCGTGTCTCATCTCATGTGGTTTTGATTTTTGATTTTTTTCTTTTAGGTGATGAAGATAACGACTTGGGTAGTTACATTAATTCAAGACAAAACATGTTCCACGAGATTGTGGCAGGTGTCTTTACAAATGAAATGATGGCACGTGGCAATATCCAATCGGTGGAACAAGTCGACGCCGGCCACCTGCTGGATGGTTCTGGATGTGGGCCGGTTGATTTGAAAATAAGTGTTAGAATATGCTTCTATTATTTATTTAAAGTCTTAACGGAGACTAATCATTTCTCTATTATTCAATCAGATTAGAGAATAGAGACTATTATTTCTCTGGAAAATTAGTACAAGAACAAAAAACACGTTTAGTATTATTCTATGGTTCGGATGGACCAGAACCCAAACCAAAAGAATCTTTGGTCGTCGTCAGTAATCTGTTTATTTTTAAGTAGAATAAGATAGAACATGAACCGTATCATATTCACATCGGGATTGAATTTCAGAAAAGAGCCTCTTACTTTCAATAGGAAAAAAAGAACTAGTCAGTAAATAACTAACGAGTAACGACTTTCATATCATTAAAAACTATTCTATGGTTACGTGACTAGATTATTTGAGTGTGTTGATATGGTTACAAAATGTAAAGGCAATCAACGAGTCCCGGAAATATATGTTTATAGTTTTCCGACGTAGATGTTTAGTAGTTTACTTTGATATAATGCATATCGTTGATCGATCATATGTATATGTGCCAATGGATAAATGTTATTGGGCCTCTTGATTATTAGTCCTTACATTATGAGCCTATGTTACATTAGGAAGCCCGTATGGACTAATATCGTATAGACGGACCCATATACGAACATTATCAATCAATCATCAAATGTTTCACGTAGTAGTTTGTTCTAGCAAACATGTTTTACATATAATAAACATTTCAGTAGACATAAGACATGGCCATGTAATTAACCTGCATAAATCATATATAATGTATATATGTGAGTATATATTATATATAAGATCATCATGGCATGTAATACTTGCCGCCGCACTTGCACCTCCAAGCTTCCGGGTAGTATTCGGCGGTGACAGGCGTGCCCGGAGGCACCGACACACGCTCAGGCTTGCATGGCCTGCATCTTCCACACCTGGACAAGCACCGTGGTGGAGATGACCCCAATCCCCGTAAAACCCTCCGTAGGTCCGCCTCTTTGCTCCAGCTACCACCAATCTTCCTCATCTTCTTTATCACCAGTGTACTTTGGCCCTCCTCCTGGATGAGAATTAAGCTAATTAATCATGAATACATAAATTTAACGTTTTCTTCCGTGAAAAAATTGAACTCAGCTGATCATTATAAGACAGCAGCGAGAAAAATATGTTATTAAAGTACCATTTTCTGCTAAAATGTGCAAAATATTGCTAACATGCGCGTGATTTTTGTTGTTTTCTCTAAAATACGCATATTAGGTAAGTACGTTTTGAAGACCATGGCTTTGGGAGTGAGACAAGGACCCGGGAAAACCGCTCCGGAAAAAGCGCTACGCACATTACCAAAAAAAGCCTGAGAGATTGAGAAGTTCCAAGAGGTTGTCATACGTTAACGTGCGCCGTGGGGGCGAGTGATTAGTAACATTACCAATCGATCGAGGTCCAAACACAGACAAAAGCCAAAGGCAGGGTCCCACAAGTGGTGAACGAACCAAAGTCGAGTACTGTCCTTGTCCTCGTGTGCTGAAGCGAATCGGACGGCTTAGATTCTTTTTAGGAGTACATGGCATCACTGCAGCCCAGTCAGTCTCGACATGCCATCACAGTCGCTGACTGTTCATGCGCATTTTAGCCTTAACCCTTATTGTATGTGTAGTCCTTTTAGAGATCCCCACATTATAAGCTTATTTAAATGTTCTTTAATGATGAATCAACATCAATCTTGTCTTCGAAAGCTACTTGAATCAGGAGAAATAGGTACTAAAGCTATTTTGGATTTCATATGAGATATAAAAGTAAAACACGCTATTTAATCCTAATTAATTATTGATTAACTTTTTATATTCAACCGCAGAAAAACAAAGGTTAACTTTTATATTTGATCACGCAAGAGAGTAAAAGAATAAAACAGCTTACTAACCTGTGCATAGAAGTGCCCTAGCTTCCCAGAGTTAGAGTTCCTAATATCTGCATTTGTACAACAATATAAAACATATTTGGATGGTAATTTAAGTTGGAGAAAGATAATTAAGAAACTAAAGATCAATAATATTAATGATAATATATACTCTTTTTGTGTGTAATAGTAAAGATAATATATACTTTTTGTTGACGAAGAAAGAAAGAGGGCTTACATGGGGAAGACAGTGAAGAGGGAGTAATGAAAGTGGTAATCACACAGACGACAAGGCAGAGTAGGAATATATAGAAGAGACTGAACTTGGCCTTTGAAGTTTCTGATGTTTGTAATGATGATGGTAATGATGATGGTGGTCTCTCGAAACCCATGATTACCAAACTTTCTGAAAACCCCACCAAACAAGAAGCAGAGATTAGTTATGACTCCTCATCCATGATCGTTTCATGCGCAAAAAAATAATAATTGGTGGGATTATAAAAACCAGAGATGAAAATGGAAAGCAAGAAAAAAGATTATACAAAAGGATCGATATTTAAATGTCTTTTTGGTTTCTTATGATTTGGGTTTTGTCAAAAACGAGAGGAAGGAGTGGGAGTGGGAGTGGTTGTGAGGGAGAAAGAACAAAAGGAGTCGATTATGAGAGAACGAGGAGGGGTTTACTGTAAAATGTGCAATTACATTTGGAAATTTTAATATAACAGGACAATAAAATATAGAGAGATAATAGAAGAGAAAGAGTGTAGGAAGAGAGAAGTAATTAAGAAAGGTACCTAAGCATTGCTAAGTTTGGGAGTTAGATTCTCCTGCACTCTATTCTCTCTGTCATTGTACCCTTCCTTTCCCCAGAAATTGCTTTTAGCAATCTTCCAAGCTATACATACACACATATGTGTCTCTCTGTTTTTTTAAACAGCGATCACACAAATATGTTTTTCTATTTTATCTTCTTGTATATATTTTATAGTTCTTAATAAAGTTATTTTACATGCATGTGTGTAGTATAGTGGTGTGTGTCACATCACATGATAATAGGTTAAATTTTCGCGTGATTAGTAATAAAACAGTATAATCTTGATTTTTTACTTCCCTTGCGTTTAAGACTATCGATTAGGGTTTTATATGATATATTGTCTATCAGGGATTTGTTCATTATATTTATCGGAAAGAGATGGGAGGTGACTGATTTGAAGAGGAGAGGGATAAGGGAGGGCCGTAGGATGAAAGACGAGTGAGATTCCAAAGGCAAGAAGGTATGGACAAAACATCCAAACAAATGTGTAAGAAGGGTTCCATGTTCATATTCCTCATTTACACATTAATTTATATATGTCTTATCAATCAATTATACTCAATTCACACAAAAGGTTACAGTCTAAGGATTCTTACAAGTAGAAACGGCAAAAACAAAATTTCAGCTGTAAAAATTGTAGTATAAAAGTTTATAGATGGAGACCGAACATGTAGTCTATATAATGATTTATGATAGTGTTGTGGATATGTCATCTATGTTTAAGCTTGTCTAAAGCATGTTCATAAAAAATGATGAAGTCTCTGCATGTTGATAACAATATCAACTAATTTTTGTTAGTTAAATAATATTTTATTTGTCCCATATTATAAGCCGTTGAGCAAAATGTATCTGGAAAAAGTGGAAATATCCATTTTTTTATAGATACATTTTGCCAAATTGCTTATAATATGGGATAAAGGGAGTAAATGTTCAAAGTTGTGAATATTAGTACTAGCATATTGAAGATGAGTGAAACAATTAATTTCCAGAAAAATATATAGGGTTGAATGTCAAATATATCAATGTTTTTAACTTGTTACTGTAGATACATTTGGCATTACTTTTAATTGCTATCTAATATGTAACCATATAATCATCGCAATGCCTAAACATTACCTTTTGGAGATCTTGGAACGGTTTGACCTTAACGAGAATGAATAAAATGCGTTAAATGCATTAAAGTATGAAACAGTTTCACCGACAATTCCTACTATTGACAACCTAATTTTGTATCATTTGTCATTTGTAGTCTTTGAAGTTTTGTAATTCAACCAATTTGATTTCTACGTCACAATCTTCATACTTTTAAAATAATACATATCCATACACTGATACACAGTACTATAATTTATAAGGATTATTTAAAACATGACTTCCGGAGTTGATATTTTCCAGATTCTCATGTTTGCACCCACACCGTCTCCATCACAAATAAGGATTTTACACCATCTTCCAATTTAAAATACATCTCTATGTGATTCGATCAAAACTTTCGAGATGAATACAGACAAACATTGGGCGAAATATTTGTCACCCGTACCCTGAACACCAGTAAAACAACACATGAGCTTATACTATACTAGAATGGTAATAGAATATTGTTTATCATCCTCTTACATATATTATAGTTGAATATCACAACCCTAATAGTAGAAGAAGAGAGAATACAGAAATATTCGTGTATAAGAAAATCTTGAGAAGGTCACATGCCAAGGTAAGTAGCTCTATCCCTGACACACCATTTCTCAATTATTTTTATAATAAGATTTAGCCCAAACATCTGACACACTCACACATTGTATCCTTTTTCAATTTATCATGTTATTGTCATTGAAATTTTCATTTTGTATCTTGATTGAGATAGATAGGACTTGCATTGTTTCCTATCTATGTATGATTCAAAGATGTCAATTGTACCAAAACACTGTATTTTCCTTTATGCCAATGAAGTAAAAATAAAACCACATATCATTTCTTACGATCTAAATGATCACGCATTCACCACATTCAAATGTAAAACGAGTCACACCATTCATTTCAAATTATGTGTTTCAAATAGAATATTATACAATAAATAAATGTGCCCCGCATAGAAGAAAAATGAGCACATTCCGCAGGTGGTGTGTTCTATCTCAAATCGCAGGTATTTGCAGGACGCTGGAGGCATGACTTTTCCTTCTCAATTATTTCCCTATTATATTTAAAATATTTCATAATAATGAATGAGTTTGTTAAATCGATCAGTATTCTTTTATACAAATTTTTTCTCTAGAGATTTATTATAGTTTTTTTGTAACGAGGAAGTTTTTGGAACCTTGGTTCAAAATCTTTGTAGACAAGAGACGAGTCGTTGATAAAACTTGTAGTACGTCCACAAACGTAAATAATCTCATTCCCAAATGTAGCATCAATGTTTCAAACTCGGGTGATATTGAAATTGTTGAAAAGAATTAGTTCAAATTTCGCTAATCAGTTCATCAATATTTACTTACCACAAAAGACAATATTTGAGACGAGACTTTCTATTCCAAAAACCTCCGTAGCTAAACAGAAACATTGCAATTCCAACCAATCCAAAAATTGTTGTCACTAATTTTGAGACAGATTTAAAACTTTTGTTTTCAAATTTTCAAATTCTAAAAAGCATATAAGATGACGGGTCCCGGTGGAGGAGGTTAGGAAGTTGGTGGTCCGTTTGTGGGCCGAACGGCGATGGATCCGACCCGTCAAGTCAATGTAATTTTATTGATTCCAATTATCGTAAACTCACATGTAGTTATATTTATTAATTACCTACTTATCTTTCTAATATATACTTTTAGTGATTTTGGATTGTGTTTTGTAACGAATTAGTAACAAAATTACGACTTATATTTAAAGATAACCGATTTTCTATGTTATTTTACAGTAAGAAGAATGAATTTGTTTCAACTTCACCTTTTTAGGTTGTCTTTGAATCGAGGTTTCAACAAGAAAATAAAGCAAAAAATTTAAAACGACTGAGAGATTGGAGATACCTAGATACGCAATATAGTCGCGTGCTGAAAACTTTATATTGGTAAGTTCGAAAATTAGTTAGTTCGCAAAATTTATTCTGTAATATACATTTTAATTAGTCCCAAGTTAACCAATATTATATCCTCCACAAAAAACTTTGCTAGATTTCACGACAACTGTGTTTATACTAGTTTTCTTGATACTAGTAGCTAGATAAGTCTTCATCGTATCTCATACGATATCTAGATACGTTCTCTTCTGTCGCACCATGTAAATATATTTATAAAAATGTAAGGAAAAATAAAAAAACAGATTGGGTACTGCTAAAACAGGTCCGAGGAGAGAAAAAGAGAAGATAAAGTATGGCAGATGGAGGGAAGCCAAAAGTTGGAAAGACAGAAGAAAGGGAAAGAGACAAGAGATGCACGAGTGTGTTGAATTCTTGCTTTGTGTGTTTTCAGAATTTGGACCACATTCTCTTTTCTCTAATTCTTCTTCTCCTTCATTTATTATCAAGATCAAATATTTATAGATTGTTAATAGGTACGTAATACATATAGTCCTAATAAAATCCATGATCTTAGGGGTTGAAGACCACTACTAAACAAAGATTTGCCTTCTTGGAGTTGAATAATCCAATGAAAATTGAGATATCATATTTTCAGTGAATTTCTAGTTTGTTAGCGATTTTTTGGTGAGTCTAATTTGTGTGTGTGTGTGTGTGTATGAAACTTATAGATAAATGAAACATTCGTCCTGTAGCAACGTGTGCACAATCTTTGTGGTGTGAAAATGTGTTGCAACTATGCATGTATAAAAGTCATTGATGATCAGTCCGCATCCAATCTTTTTTTTTTTTTTTTTTTTGTTAATACGCTTATCGCCATGAATTTATATATACTAGTAATAATGAATTTGTTTGGATCACTTGGATTTCTGAATTTCGGCTATATGCTTGATTTGTGGTGAGTTTGCGGAATACATTTGTCAAAATTCTTGCTTACTTTCAGTTTTGAATAGTCGGCAATCGAATACTCAAAGTCTCAAAACTAGTTTTATGAAATATATGGAGACATATCGCAATTTTAACCTAAAGCGTAAAGAGTGCTCTATAGTCTATACAAATAAGGCAATATATACGATAAAAGAAAGAGATTGTGTACACATATACAAGAGAATTGAGCACTTAACTTAAGAAGAAAGTTATTGAAGTTCAAGGCCTTGATTCATGATATCGCCAATTGAAGAGCGATAGATCAAATGACGAGTAGGAGACCAAGCCGTTGAGATAGTGTTTTTTTTTCGAATTGGAAAAAAAAAAAAGCGTCGACAGCAGGATTCGAACCTGCGCGGGCAAAGCCCAATTGATTTCGAGTCAATCTCCTTAACCACTCGGACATATCGACCAAGCCGGTTGAGATAGTGCCCTTAAAGAACTTAGTAAAGATCTTGATATGCTTCTTTCGCTTGTGAAATTTTGGGATCGCTCCAACCTCTTAAGGTACGTATAGCGACCATGTTGTCAACAATGTAAAAAGAACCGGTGCGTCGTGAGTCGTGACTCGTGAGATATCCCAAAGTAGTCAAGAAGTAAATATTTGAGCAAAATGATCTTAATGACCATATAAGCCATGGATCTAAATTTAACTCGCCCAAAGAGAAAGAGAGCATGCGGTTGGTAGATTGTTTTCCAAGAAACTGGAATATTGCCATTGCCGTGAGAGATTTTCAAGAGTTGGCAGATTTGTTTGCTCCCAAACGTCACGTGCCTAATCATTTTCTTATCTCATCCTATTTTTTATAGAGGGGCCAGATATGACCCAATAGCTTTGAAGATAAAATGGGCCTTAAAATGAGGCCTAACAAGTATTTACTTGGGGGAAGCACAAATGCACTTGGTGTTCCGTTTTCAGTGCTAAGGCAAAAATATGACAGAAACTCGCGTGAAATCTGCTTTCACTTCTTTTTCTACTTTGCTTTTCTTTCTTGTCCCTTGGATGTTTTTGAACATCTGAGTAAAACAATTACTGTTGAAGAAATTAACAATTTAATCTAGTTTAAGATTATTTAACAAAGAAAATAGGACAAGCTCGAAGGAAGGAAACAAAAGAAAAGGGAGACAAAGGTTTTTGTTTCTCCGCGACGGTGTCTGTGAAGATTCCATGCTGATTCATTCAAAACAGAAATAAAATATAGATATATTTTGAAACTTGGTGAAGATCAAAGCTCTTCTCAGTACTTCCAAACACGCTCTGTTTTCGATTTTCGGTAAGAATAAAACAAAATAAAGGAACTAAACGCCAATTATAGTCGATTTATGGTTTAGGAATCCCAGAATCATCACCATTAACGAGGCTTTCTTTTCTGTTCAAAAGAAAGTCTTGTTTATTTCGTCTTCTTTATTAGGAGCAAGATCTAAAAAAGAAGAATATATTGAACCTCATTCCAATGTTAAGCAACATGCAATAGCAATTTGTGTGATTGTGTGAATTAGAGAGAGAGAAAGAATCAAAGAAGCACAAAAGGCTTGAGGTTTGGCCTTTGGTCTTCCTCGACCTCAGCTTTTGCTTTGGCTGCTACTAGTGTACAAAAGCAAACAGGTGATTTTGTTTTCTTCTTTTGTTTTTGCTTTGCTTGTCTATTTGTAACCGTTTATATATGCATGTTCAATCTCTTCTATGACTTCAATTGCTAAAACTTGAAAATTCCAAACCGTTTTTTTTTTCTGTTTGTCTTGTCTTGTCCGATTGGTATGATTTATACACTAAAGTCAAAACCTTTTTTTCGTTCGTGTGGATTTTATCCAAAAAACTTGGGGCTTTTCATCTGAATCGAATCCGAATCATTTCTTAACACTAAAACCCTTAAAAATGTCCTTCCTTTTTCTGTTTAGGGTTTCTTCTTGGATCAATGGACAATGCTGTTGTTAAATCAACGATTCCCTCTTCGAATCTATCGGAAATAATCTCCAGATTCGCTAAAGTCTGCAAATTTAGATCCGTTGGTGTGTTCCCTGACCAAAATGAAGTAGAAATCTTGGGAGATGAAGCCAACGAAACGGAAATACTCGATATCAATCACAAACCCTCGAGAAGAAAGGTTCGAAATTTTCGCTGGGATGATGAGATTTCGAAGCTGTTCGACATTGTTTCAGCGCTTAAACTCGCGTACCTCGAGTTTCAACAAGCTCATCTGCCTTATGATCCAGACAAGATCATAGAAGCAGACAACGTCGTTGTCTCTCAGCTCGAGGCCTTACGCAAAATCAAGCGTCTCTTCTTCAAACACGCGAGAAACGAGCTTAACGCCGCTGATGCTTCTTCTTGTTTGAATCGACTGAGAGATGAAATCGAAGTGAATGAGAAGCGATTGGAGAAAGTCAAGGCGCAAGTGAAAGCGAAACAGAGCGAGATTCAGTCTCTGAAGGAGAAACTAGACTGTTTGGTTGCAGAGAATAGGAGGAGGATTGTGAGTGTTTCTTCGTTTGAATTCGCGTTTAGAGCTGCTTCTAAGTCGATCCACGACTTTGCAAAGCCACTGATCACTCTGATGAAAGCTACAGACTGGAATTTGGAGAAAGCAGTGGATGCGATTGCTGGTGGAAATGTAAAATACGCTAAAAACTCTGATAAGAAGTATGCTTTTGAGTCATACATTGTTAGGAGAATGTTTCACGACATAAAGCTTAAACCTTGCGATGTGTCGGAGCTAATGAGTTCCGATGATCCGTTGGACGCGTTAACAGCGTTTCCAGATTCCGCGTTTTCGAGATTCTGCGGTCGGAAGTATCTTTCAGTTGTTCATCCTTCAATGGAGGCTTCTTTCTTTGGGAATTTGGATATGAGGGGGTTAGTTTTGCTCGATAAGCATCCAAGAACTGTGTTTTATCGGATCTTTGCGAGAATGGCGAAGTGGGTTTGGATTCTTGGATCGTTTGCAGCTTCTTTGGATGTTAAAGCTAAGATCTTTGTGGTCAGAGGAGGAACAAGGTTCTCAGGTGTCTACATGGAATCTGTAGTGTGTGATGATGAACAAGAAGAAGGACAAGGAGATTTAAGAGCTGAGTTCATGACAATGCCAGGGTTTAAGATTGGAGATTCAGTGATTAAATCTCAGGTTTATCTTTCTAAATCAAATGGGTATAAGTAAAGATCTCTGCTTTAACATTTTTCTCCAAGAATCATTTGCTTTGTATCTTTGTTCGCATTCAAGTTTTTGGTCTATAGTTAGTTAATAAAACCAAGTTTCTTCCTTTATGTAAAAACCAGAAAAAAATACAATCTTTATACTCCTTAAGATGGTGTGTTCAATGATTGCCAGAACCGTAAAGAAAGATTAAAACTTTTTGTTTTTTTTATCAAATTTTTTTTTGGATATGTTCATTCATTCACCTGAGAACAGGTCTCTGCAGAGCTCTCCATAGAATCTGGAGACGAGTTCAATGAAGACAGGGCTTTTGAGATTCTTCCAACAGTAGAGAAGCTCCTCAATGTCCATCAAGTCGTCCATTTTCCCTTCTTCAACAATGAGATGAATCAGATAGTTCTCAAAGCTTCTGCAAGCGTCTTCCACAGCATTGTCTTCGAATGTCTCTCTTTGATTTAGAGACTTCTTGCTCCATGTTGCGTAAACAGGCGTCGTGATTGGTGAAGTGAACAGTTTCTTGGCTGCTGCTGGCGTAAGAGGCGAGTTCATAAACTTCAATGAATCATCATCCTTCATACTAACTGTCATTGCAAATGGAGAATAAAACAGATCAAAAAGCTAACTCGGAGTTGAACATTTTAGATTCAATTGTAGAGAAAATTGTCTTACAAGAGGAACTTCTCGGATTGGTCTGGCTCATCTCCTGGTCTTTGTTTGTGCTGAGAAAACAGAGACAAGACAGCAAAGAAGAGGAAGAAGAACAGATTGGCTTCTTGGGATGATGATGATGTCTAGGTTTGGCATTGCCATGACGAGCACGACGGAGAGGTCTAATAAAGAGAGGTCTTTTAACTCTGAAGCGGAAGAGAGAGACAAATCTGTTGCATGATTTCGAAAGCTTTGATTTGAAGTTAATCAAAGTTGCTTTCACTCTCATTGTCTTGAACCTTTTGTTGTTGTTGTTGTTGTTGTTGTTGTTGTGATCCTCTTTGGATTTTTGTTTTGTTTTGTTTTGTTATGGTGTGTATAAGCTTAGAGAGAATTGGCTTGTGTTGCGTGGGGTTCACGTCTTTTAGGTGTGAAAGTCATGATGGTGGAGTCCCATGAACTTAACCTTGGAGAATAAATGGGTTTTATTATTAAGTGTTTGGTGGCTCTTGCCCGTGAACAAAATCCAAGATGGTGAAATTGTTTTTTCTTTCTTGTTTGTATACAATAAATAAGGTCGTATTATTGATTGGTGGGTCAATGCAGCAGCATATGTTGAATTGAATATAATTTGGTTGCACGTCTAGTGAAAATAAATAAGATTCTTAAAATGAATGAATCGCCTGTCTCATGGATCCATTACTTAACTCGGTTGATTCAAGCATACATTTTTTGTGCTATAACATTTGGTGTTTCGTTCTAAAGAATGTGTTGGTCACACACACACACACACAAACCAATTATTATTATGTTGCACATATTTTTGCCATTGAATCCGTTTCACAGATATAGGTTGTTAAGAGCAATCACCAACAAAATATCTGAAAGATTTGGTAGCTTTTCTATTCACTTTCAACGTGTGGCTGTGTCTGTCTATGTAAAGATTATGGAAGATGTACCTATATTTTGGATAAAGAAAAAAATAATAGTTGACAAAAATGTTGAGTTGGAAAGGGAATGTACAGAGAAAAGGGTGTTCACAGAGTGTTCGGCGTTAGTGGACATATTGGACCAACATTTTCTCAAAATCATCATTACGACTATTTCATGCATTCAAATATACAGAGATATTTTCAAATGAGAAAAAAAAAAGAAAGGAAAATGCTATTGATTATCCTAATCTCATCATTAGCATATTTCAGTTTTGCATCTCTATCACCTTATTTCTACCTAAAAACAGAAGATTACCAAATTCATAGAAGCGTCGAAAAGAAAGTATACAATTTCATTATTATCTGTACTCTAAAACGGAGATTCATTCACACACATGCACAAAAGTTTATGCTGAATGTTGATCTTTCTTGTTTTTATTATAAATTCTTTATTTGTCCATTTAGGACTAAGGCTGCAAGTGCATATGGTGCTAACATTTTAATGTTTTCAGTCAAAAAGCTTATTTTAGAAGAAGAAAAAAAAGCTGTTTTCCTTTTTGCCATCGCCATTTGGTCATTTAAATAACTTTTCTAGTGGATTCCCTAAAACTGATTTGTAATTTTTTCAACATAAAAAGGTCCATTTGGTAACGTTGCTTTTTATAGGTTAGCTATGAAACAATAAATAAACTAGTATATTTTTATTTTCAAATGTGTATAACAATAATAAGTATTAATCAATAAAAAATTATTCATCAATGATTTTAGTTCATTTGCGACTCTTTATATAATTCACTTATCAGTTGGAGTAATTGGCTAATCCGATATATTTAAAAATTCTTCATAAAGCGATACCAGAATTTAACTGAGAATTTTTATTCCGTTTGTTGATTAATCCTCTTGATGAACTTTGGTTATTCCATCATATAATTTCAAAATCTTTTCCCACTAAATAATCTTTCCGTTGTTTTTGTAGTCATCCAACTTTAAAATCCTCCCTAAATAAATTATTCCACATTACTCTATTTAAATTTTTTAAATATCTAAATGAACTAAAGCGTGTAAAAATGTGATGTCCCAAGTAGTTCATGCTGATGCTGGTGATAATGATACAAAAAAAAGTCATTCTTTAAGCTTTCTCTGAATTGGGTCCCCCAGTATTTCTCTCACTACATACATTCCAATCTTGATCTTCTTCTTTCTCTGTCACATAGAGACTCTGCTTCTTCTGCTTCTTATGCTTATTCTTTAGAACATCACAAAAGCTTGTGAAAAAGAGAGAGATGAGATGGGGAGTTACAAGTTCAAAGTTTCAGATATCATCTCAAAGGCATGGTTTAACAAGCTCAAAGACATGACCAAACCAAAAACCAAATCTTCTAGTTCTTCTTCTTCCTCTTCCTCAAAAAATGGTAACAAGAAGAAACCCTATTCAGATTCTCTTCCTCATCACTCTTTAACCTCTCATCTCCCCAACAGATTAGTAGCCAACGATCCTCACCAAAACTCACCAAGAAACTCTCTTCCCACAAAAAGGATGAGTAAAAGAAAGACACTTTACAAGCCATCTCTTAAACCAATCATTCCTCCTCCTCTTGCATCTGCACGTTTCAATAAAAGCAAGATCAACGGTCAAGATTCTTCTGACTTCTTTTCACCAACTCTCGAAACTTCCCCTGAGTCTTTTGTGTTCAGTTTCTACGAAGAGGAGAATGATGAGTTCGTCGAACCTTCACAATTCAAGATCAACTCAAAGAACAAAGCTTTCACTAAGCACAAGGTCAAAGAGTCTGATTCCATAGGGAAAACTTGTCCCACAAGTAACATAACCAAGAAACCGCATAGCCAACTTTCTGTGAAGATTAATAGAGAGATAGAAGAAGAAGAAGTTGATGAATGTAGAGCCGAGAAGAAAGTGTCCACTGGAAGAAAATCCTCTGCAGGGATAAACCTCAAGAGAGTAAATTCACCTAGAATTCAACTCTCAGGTACACGTAGAAGCACATCAAGATCAGAGAGCAAACAAGTTGTTCTTGAGAGTTTTGCAGTGATGAAGCGCTCCGTTGATCCAAAGAAAGATTTCAGAGAATCAATGGTGGAGATGATTGAAGAGAACAACATAAGAGCTTCAAAAGACTTGGAGGATCTCCTTGCTTGTTACCTTACATTGAACCCAAAGGAGTATCACGATCTTATCATCCAGGTTTTCGAGCAAATCTGGCGCCAGCTTACAAAAACCAAGTAAAATAAATCCGCTTAATGTATTGTTAGTTAACCTTTGGTAACATTAGTATCATTATGTCTTGTGAAATTGTAGTTGTTCTTGTTGATGTTCATAAGAAGTTAGATGGAACTGTGGAGATTCTCTTTGAAGCTCAGTTTTATGTTGTTTTTTCTTTATTTCTCTTTTTATCAATGGAAGCAAATAATGAAAAAAGTTGTTATCATTTTGTCGTTTTAATTCAAACATGATCATTGATCACTAATAAGGGCGTGGAAGCAATGTTTATCAAGACAGAATTGATCACTAAGCATATTTCTTGTCTTGTTTGTGTGATTATGAGCATATAAACAGATTTAAAATACTCACAAAAGATGTTTCAAGATTTACTACTGTTCTTGGAATTTGGGGATGGATTGGGAATGGGCCATTATCCATTTGAATATTTTGAATTTACAAAGTTGAAAATGGCGGTAAAACAAAGACAAGAGAACCAGAAAAAGCCAACAGTGAAGAGACAAGAACAGTTTGAAAACCAACAAGTACGGACTATAGAGATGAAGAGCATAATCGCTGGAGATAGAGAGGACCACTGACACACAAACTGAGAAGTGATTAAAGAAGTAAGAAAGAGAGAGGAGATTTAGTCGTAAGTTTTATTTTGTTTTCTATGAAGAAGAAGGAAGAAGAAGAAGAAGAAGAGGAAGAAGACGAGGACCACTATTACAAATCCCACCTCCTACCTCTGTTTGGCTTGTGAAGTTTCAGCAAAACACATGTGATACGTGTTGTTTCTGAATTCTGAGTGATTTCTCTCGATTAATGAGCAACAATTATTCAAAATATTTCATCTTCATATGCTTAAAGTCTTACAAAATTGAATGTGACTGCATTTTTTACTTCGCATTTCAAATCTCATAATTTAAAATTGACATACATACACATATCGTATACAAAGTAACGCACATGCATTCATGTATATAAAGCATATGTGTTATAGGAAAGGAATTAATTAAATTTAGATTATATCGAATACAAAGTAACGCACATGCATTCATGTATATAAAGCATGTATCTTATAAAGATCTCCAAATCGTAAACGAAAGGAATGGTATAAATAATTGCCAGCTATGTCATCATCACACTAAAGCTACGACTTAATTAGTAACTCATTATGGAAATGTTTACTAATACAGAAAATTTGCACATACTATATAAACAAACCCCCTTTAAAACACAACCAAACCAACATTCAGAATTTCTTGTATTATATTATCTACAGAGAAAAGGAGAAATTCTTTGCATCTTTTCCCCAAAATATTAAATAAAATGGAGAGCAAAAGAGTTATGATGTTGGTGACATTGATGATGATGGCAAACCTTCTGAATCAGATAGAGGGTCAAGAAAATCTAACGTGTTTTCCCCAGTCTTCTAAACTGTAAATATGAGTCATTTCCAGCATACTTAATTTGTCCATTCACATGTACCAAAACATGTCTTCAAGAACCTTCAGGACCATCTATTTCTTCGAACAAAATCGATGAATATGATGCCAACTATTTCTGCAAACTCGGTTGTGCTACGCATCATTGTATTCCCCTTTCTTCCCTCCAAAATCCGAGTAAGTGTTCACTTCTTGTATACATTTTTTTCTCTGTGTATAATTCCATGTCAAATAGTTTAATCAATATATAAGACTCTCCTACGAATCGGAAATTCTAACCTAATGCATCATTTGTTAATATTTTATAGTATGACTTATATCTAAAGATTTATTTTAATAGTTTTCGATGATGTTTATGTTATGGACAGATATGGAGAGGCTATCTGCCTGTGCGGATTCGTGCTCGAGCAAGTGTGCCAATAAATATTAGAAGCACTATTTTTTTTTACTCTACAAAAGTCGATGCATGTCAAAATCAAACATTATTTGTATCAGTTAATTATTTCAATAGAAAGAGATTTCATTTTGTTTTTCGCTTTAGCATACCTTGTGTTACAAGAAACTAAATTGATAAATTAATATGAAATCGGGCAAATTGAGACTCTGTTGCTTCTTCATGAGACAGTCCAAGCATTATCATAACACATGGAGTTAGCTACACTCTTTTATTCTCTCGACAAAAACGAAGAACGAAATATAATAATTTGTCCAATACAGTTGAAATAACACAAACACAAACACTGATATAAAGATACAAAAGCAATAAAAATAAAATAAAAAACTAGTTGCATCAATTTATCCATGTCTCTCTCTTGTCAATCGATATAAGAGAATGTGTTGATCTTCTTATTCCATATGAATATGTTTATATACACAATACATAAGATGTGAAAACCCTAGAGCCTATTGTACGTTAAAGGAATATTAACATATTACAAGATATTCCCATATATTTATATATAATCTTCTAATACTCCCCCTCAAGTTGGAGCATGCAAATCACGTATGCCCAACTTGCGCCTAAGATATGAGAATTGTTGAGAAGCTAACGCCTTGGTAAATATGTCTGCCAGCTGCTCTGTTGTTACGACGTGGGAGGTAGCAAGAGAACCATTCTGTATTTCATCACAGACAAAGTGGCAATCGGACTCAATATGTTTTGTCCGTTCATGAAATAATGGATTTGCTGCAATATAGAGCGCCGCTTTGTTATCACAATAGAGCTTCATCGGTTGTGTATGAGAAACACCAAAGCACTGCAAAAGTTCTCGATTCCATTTCAGCTCCTTGGTAGTAAACGCCATCGCCCTATATTCAGACTCAGCAAAGGAACATGACACCCTATCTTGCTTCTTAGTCTTCCAGGAGATGGGAGAATCACCAAGTAAAACCATAAACCCACTAAGAGAGCGACGAGTCATTGGGCATGCATTATAATCTGAGTCACAATATGCATTGATCTGCAGATCATCGTTAGAGCTCAACAGGATGCCTTGTCCGGGACAACCTTTAAGATAACGCACAACTCGAACCACAGCCTCCCAATGCTTGATCCGAGGATTCTTCATAAGTTGTGCCAAAATATGCACAGCATAAGACAGTTCCGGTCTAGTAGCGGTGAGATATACCAAACGACCTACCAATCTCCTATAACTCACCGGATCTTGATAGTAATCCCTCTCATCCGTAGCCAACATATGATTCTGTTCCATTGGAGTGTGCACCGGTTTACTTCCCAACAAACCACACTCCTTAACAATATCAAGCACATACTTTCTCTGTGATAAGTAAATCCCATCCGGAGCTCGAGAAACTTCAATACCAAGGAAATATTTGACGAGACCCAAATCTTTCATCTTAAAGCATTGGCTAAGATAGCCTTTGAACTTGGCAATAGCTTCAGGATCAGTGCCACCAATCAAATCATCAACATATATGAGAACATAAAGCCTCATAGACCCACGAGTTAGAGTAAATAAGGAGTAATCTGTTGTATTTTGAACAAATCCATACCCTTTCAATGCAGTCGCTAGCTTGGCAAACCAACATCTTGGTGATTGACGAAGACCATACAATGACTTCCTCAATCTACACACCTTCGACTTATCGCCACATTCAAATCCAGGTGGCAATTTCATATAGACCTCTTCTTCAAGATCTCTGATATACACATATATTAACATACTTAGCATACATTTTACATGCATATTTCCATCCTATTGGCTCATTATTCTCATACATTTACATCCTCATATCTCTATTTATACATTGGCATCTTCATTAGGACTTGCATTGCATATACATTGCATTTTGAGTCCATATCAGGTACTTAATGGAGCTTTGGAGTCATTTGGGAGAAGGAGTGTTGGAGACGTCAGGACCAAGAGCAACCAGGATGCGAACCAGGATGAGGAACCCGTTTGTCACCTTTCCTTGACCAAGAAGAGAGTTGACCACATCCAAGTGAAACGCAGCGTTTTGGGGCTTAAATCTTGGGGAAGGAAAGAAGAAGGGTTTTAGAGAGTCTCCACTATAAAAACTTAAAAGTCCTAACTTTTTAGGCACCTTGTAATTTGTCTTTCATTTTGCAACCAAGAAATACTCTAAGTTGAGATCTAAACTTTGTAAGCTTTGGTCTCTTTCTCTTAATCAAATCACGTACTTGCATATTTCATTGATTGCATCTCACTCACTTGTTTGACAACTCTTACTTCTTTGGAATCGGTTTGTTCATCAAGCATGAGTGAGTAGTCTTTAGATTGTTTTAGGTGATGTGGGTTTGAGAGCCTAGAAGAGAGTTTTGAGTCTAAAGGCTGGACCTTTTGAGTCTCTCCTTCTCTTAGTATCCTTAAAGCCTTGCCATTTCTGATCATTCTGGCTCGGATCTCAAGCTCTCAACGCAACAAAAGTTGCTTTCGTTTTCCTTAGCCTAGAGGCTCGGTTTTGTGCCCTATGTCTTAAAGTCTCTTCCTTTAGCTCGATTTCCACCCGCATTCACCTAAAGCCATCGCCTTTCATCGTTTCTTTTCATAAAATTTCAAATCTTTTAGCTCAAAGTCGAAACCTTTGCCTTTGATTTCGGATTTGGACCGTTAGTCCACTGTTCTAAGTTCGTATTTTTATTGTTTAAAGTTCGGATTTAACAAAAAATTTAAATCTTTGTCCTTGGCTTGGGACTTTCTTGCATCTCGTTGAAGTCTAATCTCCTCCAAGATTTGGATTGATACCTTAACTATACTGCAATGATATGAGCAGAGATTTGAGGGTTTGATTCACTAAAAATCTTGTTTTCAATCTCCATGCAAAAATGCATTGTGGACATCCATTTGGTGAACTTCCCATCCTTTCACAGCAGAAATCTTAAGGAACATTCTCATTGTTGTCATCTTAACCACCGGAGCAAACGTTTCATCATAATCTATCCCTTCTTCTTGACGATTTCCATAAGCCACCAACCTAGCTTTATACCGTTCTACCTTGCCCGTAGACTTATATTTGATAGTGAAAATCCAGTGACACCCAATTGCTTTCTTGCCTGGCGGAAGCTCGGTGATATCCCATGTTCTGCTTCCCTCCAATGCACCTACTTCATTTGAAACTGCGTTTCTCCAACGTTTATCTTTCATTGCGTCTCTAAATGAAGTAGGTTCAGTCTCGGCCGTAATAGCAGCAAGAAAAGCTCTGTGAGAGGGTGAGAAACGATCACAATTAACATAATTTGATATGGGATACTGGACCATACCTGTTGCCAAAGATGCTGGTGGAGGCGAGCTGAGAGAGAGAGAGAGGGTCTTTAGAGCATTGTGTGGTATAAAGAATAAACCCATCAAGACGAGTGGATGTAGTCTTTTCTCTTTGACTTCGTCGTGTTGGAACAACCTCCTCAACCTCACTAATCTGTTCATTACTCTGTTCATTACTTTGTTCATTAGCCATCTCCTGTTCTGCTTCTATCCCATGATCACTATCACGATCACTCCCCCTGTCGTCCTGCAGCAACTTCTGTTTCCCATCTCTGATTTCAACAAAATCATCATCATACGTCACAACCTCTTGTTGTGTTGGTGCCTCAAGAACTGTGTTCTGTTTTGTCATCGAGGAAAATGGGAAGTCTTTCTCCTCGAATATAACATCTCTGGAAACAAAGAACTCTTGTTTCTCAATATCCCATACACGCCAACCCTTATGGCCAAATGGATAACCCATAAACACACCACGATGACTTCTCTCTCCAAATTTATCCTTATCACGCAGCACATTTCTCGCAAAACACAAGCAACCAAATACCTTGAGAGTGGTGTAGTTGGGAGCAACTCGGTGAAGCATCTCAAATGGCGTCTTGCCATTAAGATTGTTTGATGGGGTTCGGTTGATCAGATGACACGCCGTCAATACACACTCTCCCCAAAAGCGTACCGGTAAGTTTGCTTGGAACATCAATGAGCGAGAAACATTCAAAATGTGTCGATGCTTTCTCTCGACACGCCCATTCTGTTGTGGGGTATAGACACAACTCGTTTGATGCAAGATCCCTTCTGTAGCAAAGTAAGATTTCATCCCTATAAACTCTCCACCATTATCACTTCTCACTACACGAACCCTTCGATTAAATTGCCTTTCCACCATTTTAAAAAAATTTCTCATAGTCTCTGCTACCTCCTTCTTTTCTTGCAACAAATAGACCCAAACAGCTCTAGAATAATCATCAACAATAGTAAGAAAGTATGCAGCTCCTGATGAAGAAAGTGTTCGATATGCACCCCACACATCACAATGAATCAAATCAAAACTTCCAACTGCTTTATTAGAACTCTCATGAAAACACTCTCAGGTTTGTTTAGCCCTTAAACAGATCTCACAAATAGTTTTAGATTCAACTTGTTTGCCAACACCAAAATCACTAGATAAATAAGACAAAACATTATTCGAGGGATGACCCAATCGTTGATGCCATAAACCACACGAACCAGAACTCACAACCTTGTTTGCCTTTGCCCCCATAACTCCACGAAAGACATAGACTCCCCCTCTCTCTTCACCCGCTCCAATCAGCATCTTCGACGTACGGTCCTGCAACACACATAACTCATCAGTAAATGTAATCGATCCCTTGATGATTTTTAGTACTTTAGCAACAGAAATCAAAGAACATGTCAATTCTTTCGAATACAACATGCCTTTGAGCCACAAATCTCCTCCCAGACACAGATCGCCTTGCTTTGTTGCTATAGCTGAATCTCCATCAGGTAATCCAATTGCACATGGATGTATATCCGTAATGTTGTGCAAAAGGTCAAGATTCCACGTCATATGGTGTGAGGCACCTGTATCAATAATAAACTCTCCGCAATTAGTCTTACCATTCAACTTTTCATTACTCTCTTGTTTCTTTGAGGATAGAAACGTCAAGAGGGACGTCCATTGTTCATCGCTAAGCTGAGGAAGAGATGCTCGATCGTAATCTCCTTCTTGTCTCGTCAAGTTCGCTTGTGCTCCTCCAGCTGACTGGATTTGTGCTGAGTATGCACGTCCTGGTGATCCTCTGCCTCGACCAGAACGCCCTGCAACACCACCCTCTCTTCCAAACCTTCCACGAGTGCCTCCTCCTCTGCCTCGTTCACCAAAATCACGTCCTCTCTCACCCCACCAGTCTGGATATCTTTTGAGTTGGAAACAGTCAGATTGTGCATGCCCATACTTGCCACAATGCGTGCACGTCACGTCTTTCTCGCGATATTGAAAGGTAATTTATTCCCCATATTAGCATTCGCCGAGAACCCTACCACTTCAGCAGATGTATCCTTACTTCTGGTCATTGTTTGTTGCCTTTCTTCTCTCACAATGCAATTGATACACTTGTGACAACTTTGGAAGTGGCTCAATGCTTTGAATAGTTGAGCGCACGACTCCATATCTCTCTGAGTTCAAACCCGTTAAAAACGTGTTTGTTCTCTCTTCTTCACGATCTTCTTCTAGTTGCGCCTTAAGCTCTCCACACGTGCACGTTCGTATCGGCTTGTATATCGCCAACTCGTCCCACATCTTTTTGAGCTTGCCATAGTATACGACTACCATATCACCTCCTTGTCTACAGTTTGCAATCTCAGCTCGGAGCTCACTTATGCGTGGTCCGTTCCCTGCAGAGAACTGCAACTTCAAATCTTCCCATAGTTCATGGACTTCGTCCACCATCGAGATTGAATCTCTAAGACTAGGCTCAATCGTATTCATGATCCATGCAACAAGCATAGAGTTCACAACTCCCCACTGTTCAATCTCTCCGTCCGTGGTTGGTTTCACCATGGTTCCATCGACAAACCCTAATTTTCTCTTCGTACGCAAGGCATTCCGCACATGCTTAGCCCAATCTTCATAGTTCTCTCCCTTGAGTTGAACTGTTGTTATCAAGTTTCCCGGTCCATCCGATGGATGGAGATAAAACGGAGACAAGGTCATCTTGTCTGTTTCCCTTGCGCCGCCTTCCGCAGGCACTATGTTACTCTTGCCGCCTTCCGCATGCACGATGTCGCCGCTGCCGTCTCCCGCAACTATCCCATCTTTGTTGTTGCCCCCGGTCTTCACCATTATCTCTCAATCAACTTAGTTACTTTGAATTCTTTAGGATCTTTGCTCTGATACCATGTCAATCGATATAAGAGAATGTGTTGATCTTCTTATTCCATATGAATATGTTTATATACACAATACATAAGATGTGAAAACCCTAGAGCCTATTGTACGTTAAAGGAATATTAACATATTACAAGATATTCCCATATATTTACATATAATCCTCTAATATCTCTCTCCAATCATCGGCTACTTCATCATCTCCTTCATCTTCTCCTTCCTCCTCTCCTTGATCCTCCTCTCCTTGGTCCTCTTCTTCATCTCCGAGACAGAGAGAAGAGGGAATCCTCCTTCTAATAAACTTTCCCATAACCATACGGTGCAACTAGGTTTCACCTCTAATGGGCATTCGTCGTAGTCAGCAACTACTAAGAAAACATTGCAATTTCTTTTTTGCAACTCTTTAATAATCCTCACAACCTCCGTGCCCTCCTCTCCCATGCCTTTCATAATCAACATGATATTTGATTGAGGGAAGACGCGTGCAAAACTAAGCGCCTCCACTAACATGTGATTAACTCTCACAAATTTACTGTCTGGAAAATCATAAGAGAGATCAAGATCGCATCGCATAAGTAAAACAGAGAAGATGATCTTTAGAAAGAAAGAAAAGAGTAAAATAATTCACTTACGTAGTCGGACAAGTTGGATGCTCTGATGTATATAATCTGAATCTACTGGAGTAGAACCTTCTCTATGACCATAAGCTTTGATAGTAACTTCACTCGTGTAACCCTCTTCCCGGACAGATGATTCGACGTTTCTATAAAACGAACCAATCTCATCCTTAGGGAGTGGGAAATCCGCCATGTCCCATAAGACGAATGTTTCAGTAGCTGTAATAGTGATGATCATGCATAGATTAATCAGTCAGCTTTCACAAAACATGAACAAATATATATAAATTAAACAAACCATTACTAGCAAGAGATAGATTGATATCTTACATGCGACTTTCTGCTCGATATTCATGTTATCGACGGAGACTCGAGAAAACTGGAGAGAAAGAAACAAAAATCAAACAAATTTAGGGTTAGGGCTAGGGCTAGGGTTAGGGTTAGATCTGCGGCAAGTGTAAACAGTCAGTAGCTGTAATAGTGATGATCATGCATAGATTAATCAGTCAGCTTTCACAAAACATGAACAAATATATATAAATTAAACAAACCATTACTAGCAAGAGATAGATTGATATCTTACATGCGACTTTCTGCTCGATATTCATGTTATGACGGAGACTCGAGAAAACTGGAGAGAAAGAAACAAAAATCAAACAAATTTAGGGTTAGGGCTAGGGCTAGGGTTAGGGTTAGATCTGCGGCAAGTGTAAACAGTCAGACAGCTTTCTATTTACTCGCCTGAGGATAAAAAATGGATGCTATCACTTTTGGTCAACATAAATTTTGAGAGGTGTAAAGGGCTTTCCAGAGTGCAACATGCATATTTAAACTGTTATGGTTAAAGCATTGGTTGTGCTATATACATATATTCATGTGAATATTTTCCTTTTTTCTTAGGCCCATAGAAGTGCTACCGCCCAACAGAGTGAGATTGAATCACAACAAGTGGGTGAGTCTCCTTTGTTGCAGGAAGCTGCCACTGTTTTTTTACTTCTTTAAGCGGATTTATGTCACGTAATGATCTACATGTTCTTGAGCCCTATGGATGATTTTGGAGAGAATCAGAAAATAGTACAGGTTTGCATCAATACCTAAATATGCCCCTTCTTTGTATCAAAAAACATATGCTTTACTCTTGTCTCAATCCTTTCTCGTTGCAGCTCAATATTGTGTCTAAGCTCTCCTTATCCTTATACAACTCAATAAGGCTTCTTGAGCTTCAAGCTATCATAGCTTACACAACAGAAATATTGTCCAATATAGTTGAAATAACACAAACAAACACTGATATAATGATACAAAAGCAATAATAAATAAATAAATAAATAAACGCGCAGAGGCTACTTGCAGTAATTTATCGCTGTCCCTCCACTCATCCTATCCTCATCATCTCCTTGATCATCTCTTTCATCCTCTCCTTGATCCTCCTCTCCTTGACCCTCTTCTCCATCTCCGGGTTAGTGGGAATAGGGCATCCTCCTTGCAATAGACTTTCCCATAACCATACGGTGCAACTAGGCTTTAACTCTAATGGGCATTCGTCGTAGTCAGCAACTGCTAAGAAAACATTTCAATTTCTTTGTTGCAACTCTTTAATAATCCTCACAACCTCCATGTCCTCCTCTCTGATGCCTCTCATAATTAACATTAAATTTGATCGAGGGAAGACGCGTGCATAACTAAGCGCCTCCACTAGTATGTAATTAACTCTCGCGAATTTACTGCCTGGAGAGATCAAGATCGCATCGCATAAGTAAAACACAGAAACTGATATTTTAGAAAGAAAGAAGAGTAAAAAGATAATTCACTCACTTAGTCGGACAAGGTGGATGCTCTGATGTACAGACTCAATCTCTTTTGGAGTAGAACGTTCTCTATGACCATAAGCTGTGATAGAAACTTCACCCATATAACCCTCTTCCCGGAGAGTTGATTTGACGTTTGTATAAAACGAATCAATCTCATCATTAGGGAGTGGGAAATCCACCAAGTCCCAGCAGACGTATGTGCTAGTAGCTGTAATAGTGATGATCATGCATTGATTTTACATCAGTCAGCTTTCACAAAACATAAACAATTACGACGAAATCGATTTTAGATTGACCCGATTGATCATCGATGAGATTCAGATGGAATCTAATCCAAACATATATATTTATATATAGACAAACCATTACGAGCAAGAGGTATAGATAGATATCTTACAGGCGAATTTCCTCTCGATATTCATGCTGTCGACGGAGACTCGAGAAAACTAGATATTTTTTTGGAGAAGAAAGAAACAAAAATCAAACCAATTTAGGGTTAGGGTTAGGGTAAGATCTGCAGCAAGGGTAAACAGTCAGACAGCTTTCTATTTACTTGCCTGAGGAGAAAAATAGATATTTAAGGCTACTGTACTATATAGATCACTTTTGGTCAACATAAATTTTGAGAGGTGTGCTATATATATATTCATGTGAATATTTTCCTCATTTTCCTCTTTCTGGCTCTGGTTTCTGTTCCGTATATGCTGATATACCAAAGCCGTGAGTCCCTTCTCTCGTCAGTTTTACTTGAAAAATATTCAAATTGAATTTGTGCTTGACCATAACTAAAACTTGATTTCTGCTTTTCTCCAGAGACAACAAGGTCAGTCATACGCACAACTTGACGAGACAGACGAGAGTCTTCAAGTTGAAACAAGTGGAGGAGGACATGGTCATGGACACGAATTGAGAAATGTAAAAGCGAACATCAAAGACTTATACAAACACATAATGCAAACGCTTAAGAAGAAAGAAAACAAAGTACTTTCAGTAGAGAAACGTTATTGTCATGAGAGATTTGATAAAACATTAGTTTTTACAACCACAAATGACTTGGGATTCGGGTTGGGGTGGTTGTGGATTTTCGTTTCTTAGGTCGACTTCGTCTCTTAGACTTTTGACTAGGCTATCCTCCAGAGGATATCCTCCAGCACATAGGTCACTCCAACGCCATGATGTGAAGTTCAAATCAAACGGCATGTTTTCTGGTCGGTAGTCATCAGGCAATGCTAAGAGAACATTGTAGCATTCGAAATTCAAATCCCCAAGGAATATCACGAACCGAGTCTCGTCTTCATCATCGTCATCCGGCATTTTTGTGATTACCATCAAGTTTGTCGGTGCAGAACTAACATTGTCCAATGCCCACAAATTCATGTCCAATAACATGTTATGCATTCTATCACGTTTTGACGCTGAAATATGCAAATGCAAAATCAAACATGGTTATTACAAAAAGAGATGTCCAATTAAAAACAAAAAGTAAAAAGTAAAAAGTAAAGAAAAGGACCTCTGGATACAAAGGTGATTCCGGCAGACTCATCCGGTTTCTTGTCACCGTAATAAGCTCTAATTGTCACTTTACCATGATAACCAGCGTTACCAAGAGCTAATCTAATATTCTCATTAAACGAATCTATGTCGGTCACCGGGAAATCCACCACGTCCCAGTAGACGACTGTTTCAGAATCTAAAGGAAAAAAAGAGCACTTCTTAGATACGTTTCAGAGAAATCTAATCCAGAAAAGATAGATATCTTACTAGCGAAGTGTTCACCTATCTCCTCGTAAGTCAAGGAATGAGAGCATAATTCATCTCCCATGGTGGACTGGACGGAGACTCGAGAAAACTGGTGGTTTTTGGAGAAGAAAGGAAAAAATCTCACTCGAAAACCTAATTGAAAAACTCACTTGAATGATCTGTTGATTGCCCCACACGGTCTCAAATCCAATTTAAATTTTGGTGTCTTTTAAACGGGTTCGGATACAAAACTGATATACATAGCCCGTTTAGACTCGCGGGCCTAAAGGCCCATAATAACACTTTGGAGTCCAACATTTTCTCGATTAAACTGATGATGAAGGTTTAGCAAAACACATGTGATTCGTGTGCTTTCTGAGTGAATTTTCTCGATTAATGAGCAGCAATTATTCAAAATATTTTATCTTCATATGCTTAAAGTCTTACAAAATGTAATGTGACTGCATTTTTTTACCACATTTTCACATTTCAAATCTCATAAAGAGTGATTGAAAATTGACAAACACGTATCGCATACAAAGTAACGCACATGCATGCATTCATGTACATATAAAGCATATATGCTATTGGAAAGGAATGTAATAAAAAGTAGATTATATAAAGATCTCCAAATCAGAAGCGAAAGGAATGTATAGATAATTTCCCACTATGTCATCATCACACTAAAGCCACGACTTAATTAGTGACTAATTATGGAAATGTTAACTAATACAGAAACTTTTCCACAGTCACTATATAAACAAACCACCTTAACGTTAAACACAACCAAACCAACATTCACCGTTTCTTGTATTATATTATCAACAGAGAAAAGAAGATAAATTCTTTGCATCTTTTTCCCAAAATATTTAAGAAAATGGAGAGCAAAAGGGTAGTGATGTTGGTGACAATGATGATGATAATGGGAAACCTTTTGAATCAAATAGAGGCTCAGGATATCCCTTTCCGAATATGTTTTCCAGCTTGTCTTTTATCGTGTAAAAATGAGTCAACTTTTCCGGGATACTTGATGTGTCCATTAACATGTACCAAATCATGTCTTCAACAACCTTCACCAACATCTATTTCTTCAAACAAAATCAATGATGCCAATTATTTCTGCAAACTCGGTTGTGCTACGCATCATTGTGTTTCCCTTTCTTTGATTCAAACCCCGAGTAAGTCTTTACTTTTTGTATGCATTTTTTTTCAGTGTGTACAAATCCGAGTTAAGACTAAGGTCTCTTATCGATTTGGAATTCCGAACTTTATGCATCATTTGTTAATATTTAGTAGTGTGAAGGATTTCTTTTAATGGTTTTTGTTGGTGTTTATGTTATGGACAGATTTGGGGAGAGTATCTGCCTGTGTGGATTCATGCTCGAACAAGTGTACCAGCAAATATTAGAAGCATTAGTTATTCTTTTTCTCCAAAATGATGTTAAATTAGAAAGATCGATACAATCCATTATTTGTAACAATTCAATAATTAAATCAGGCGATTTTTTGTTTTTAATCATCTTGTGGTACCAAAAAGGTAATTCAATTGATTAAATTCAAACTGCGCAAATTGGGAAAAGTACATATTGGGGATAACGTTGTATCTATTAGGATTAGGATAAACTCCTGGTTTGTAGGAGTTTAGATTCTATCGTGAATAGCTAATCTCTTGTATAAATACACTTTAGTTGTCAATGAATAAAGCAAGTTAGTTCGGTACCACTCTACATGGTATCAGAGCAGAAGATCTCATACCTAAAAATTTCGTTTGATATTTCGTCCTTGTTCAGTATGGCCGGAGATGATGATACACCTCCGCCAGGTTCCAGTGGAGCCCTCGCTGTCCCTTCTTCAGGTGGAGAAGTAGCGACTGTCTCGCCGTACACGTTGGCGGCTTCCGACAACCCGGTGCCTTGATACTTCCGTTCAGTTGAATGGGAGAATTATAACGATGGGCATCAGAGTTGTACAATGCTTTGCAGGCTAAACGCAAAACCGGTTTCATTCAAGGTGTTCTTCCGAGACCGGCGAGCGATAGCCGATTTGGAGAATTGGTTGACTGCGAATTCCATGCTAGTTGGATGGATTCGTTCGTCGATCGAACCAAAGGTCCGTTCTACCGTATCGTATATCTCCGACGCTTACCTCCTGTGGACTGAGCTGAAGGAGAGGTTTTCCGTGGGCAACAAGGTTCGTGTCCATCAGATTAAAGCTCAACTCGCTTCGTGCAGGCAAGAGGGGCAAACCGTTCTTGAGTATTATGGACGGCTTTCTACGTTGTGGGAAGAGTTACAATCGTATCAACCTGTGATTTCGTGCTCCTGTGGAGCTGCGTCAGTGTTCGCAAAAGAAAAAGAAGAAGAACGTATCCATCAGTTTGTGATGGGTTTAGACGATGCTAGATTTGGTGGTCTCTGCACAGGGATCATTGCGGCGGATCCGTTGCCAAGTATTGGTGAAATCTACGCTAAGGTTGTCCGTGAAGAACAGCGTCTGTCTTCCGCTCGTCTCGGGAACAGCAGCATGAGGCTTTAGGGTTTTCTACACGTCGGAGGAAGCTCCATCCTCTGTTCGCCGTGATCAGAATCAGTCACCTGATTCTCGTCTTGAGTTGTCATCTTCTTCCATTCGTAACCGGAGTGCTTTGTGTAGTCATTGTGGCCGTACCGGACATGAGAAGAAAGATTGTTGGCAGATCGTTGGTTTTCCAGAGTGGTGGAATGAACGGAACACCAATAGTTCTGGCCGTGGTGGTCGTGGTGGAAGAGGTGGAAGAGGAGCTGGTATCAACAACGGTGGACGTGGTCGCGGTCAGGCGAATGCAGCTCACGCCACAAGCTCTAACGCTTAATCGTTTCCCGAGTTCACTCCGGATCAGTGGAAAGCTCTTTCCAAACTGATTCAAGACAAGACAGGGTAATCCAATTCTGACAAACTGTCTGGTAAGAAGGGTTATGGTGACGGAGCTTCTCACCACATGACGGGAAATCTCTCTTTGTTACACAACCTTGAGACGATTCTCCCTTGCTCTATTGGGTTTGCGGATGGCGGCAAAACAGTCTCTGTTCGCAAAGGAACTCTTACTCTGTCTTCCACGCTTACATTACCTAATGTTTTGTTCGTGCAAGATCTTAATTGCACATTGATTTCTGTATCCAAGTTACTCAAGCAAACCGGTGGTGTTGCTATGTTTACTGATACCCTTTGCGTGTTGCAGGACCGTTTTTCGAGGACTCTGATTGGAGCCGGTGAGGAACGTGATGGGGTTAACTATTTCAAGGATGTCATGGCTGCAAGGATTCATAGAGCAGTTGCGGATTCCGATTCTTCTTTGTGGCATCAGCGGCTGGGACATCCGTCGTTTTCTGTGCTTTCGTCTTTACCATTGTTTTCTGGTGTTTCGAAATCTGCTTGCTCGGGTCCGTGTGACGTTTGTTTTCGAGCTAAGCAGACTAGAGAGGTGTTTTCAGAGAGTTTTAATAAAACAAAGGAATGTTTTTCCCTTATTCATTGTGATGTATGGGGTCCATACCGTGTCCCGTCTTCTACTAGTGCTGTTTACTTTTTAACCATTGTTGACGATTACTCTAGAGCCGTTTGGACATTTTTGCTTCTTGAGAAGTCTGAAGTCAGTAAAGTATTGAAGAATTTCTTTGCTTATGCCGAGAAACAATTTGGCAAAACTGTAAAAGTGGTGAGGAGCGACAATGGAACAGAATTTATGTGTCTCTCTTCCTACTTTCGCGAACAAGGTATTGTACACCAAACGTCGTGCGTTGCAACACCTCAGCAGAATGGTCCGAGTGGAACGTAAGAACAGGCATATTTTGAATGTGGCGCCCGCTCTTCTTTTCCAAGGAAATTTACCTATCAAGTTTTGGGGAGAGGCTGTGCTTACTGCTGCTTACCTCATCAATCGTACACCTTCTGCTATCCATCTTGGGTGTTCCCCTTATGAGATGTTACACGGTCATAAGCCGTCTTATGATCAGTTGCGAGTGTTCGGAAGTGAATGTTATACGCATAGAGCTTCCAGAGATAAAGACAAGTTTGGTCAGCGCAGTTGTCGTTGTGTGTTTCTCGGTTATCTGTTTGGAAAAAAGGGGTGGAAAGTGTTTGATATAGAGCGCGAAGAGTTCATTGTTTCTCGCGATGTAGTCTTTAAGGAATCTGTCTTTCCTTACTCTGTCGTGTCTCCTTCTCTGCCTCAGTTTTCTCCTTCAGATTGTTTGGATGATGATTGGATCATTTCACCGGTGCCTTTTGTAGTAAGGGGGAGTGATTCAACGTTGGGAGAAAACAGAGAACCAAATGCTCTGCCTGTGATAGTGCCTACACAAGAACCTGAGTCAGTCAATCCACAAGAACCTGAGACAGAAAAACCACAAGAACCTCTCTCAGTAACTGTCACAGACTTAGAACAAGGTTCTCGTGATATGCAAGGCTCTGTTTCGTCTCAACCTGTTGTTTCTAATGCATCGTTGGGACGAGGTCTGCATCAGCGTTCTGCATCAGTCAAGCTTCGCGATTACGTTACGTACAATGTGGTCTGCAGTCAAGACCCCCATCACGCTCCTCCCGATCCCTCCTCTCATTCCTCGACGGTCCAAGGTACATCCCTCTATTCATTGTCTCATTATATATCCGACGACCGTTTTTCTCCAGGCCAGCGAGCTTTCTTTGCTGCCATCACCGCTGGAGATGAACCTAAACATTTCAAGGATGCTGTTGCCATCAAAGTTTGGAATGACGCAATGGGGATAGAGGTTGATGCGCTGGAGCAAAAACGTACTTGGGATATCTATGATCTCCCGCCTGGAAAAGAAGCTCTTGGTTGTCTTTGGGTTTACAAAACTAAGTACAAGTCGGATGGTACGGTTGAAAGATACAAGGTGAGGATTTTGATGAGACCTTTGCGCCGGTTGTGAAGATGAACACGGTTCGCTCAGTTCTCAAGCTAGTTGCTGCTAAACAATGGGAGGTTTATCAAATGGACGTCAACAACGCTTTTCTTCATGGCGATCTTGAAGAAGAAGTGTACATGAAGCTTCCGCCTGGTTTTCGTCACTCTCATCTTGGAAAGGTTTGCCGTTTGCGTAAGTCTCTGTATGGGCTCAAACAGGCTCCACGTTGTTGGTTTAAGAAGCTCTCTGACGCTTTGCTTCGTTTTGGCTTTGAGCAGTCTTACGATGACTATTCTCTGTTTTCGTATTCTTGCAAGAACATTGAGCTTCGGATGTTGGTTTATGTTGATGATCTCATTATCTGTGGTAATGATGGTTATATGCTCCAAAAATTCAAGGATTATTTGAGTAAGTGCTTCTCCATGAAGGATTTGGGGAAACTGAAATATTTTTTGGGAATCGAGGTCAGTCGAGGACCGGATGGGATCTTTCTCTCACAACGCAAATACGTTTTGGACATTGTCGCTGAAACCGGTAACCTTGGATCCAGGCCGGCTGAGACTCCTCTTGAGCAACATCAACAGCTTTCTACTGTCGTGAGTCCTCTGTTAGATGATCCTAAGAAGTATCGACGGTTAATGGGGCGTCTCATTTACCTTCTTAACACTCGTCCTGAGCTTAGTTACTCCGTGCATTTGTTGTCACAGTTTATGAAGGAGCCGACAGAAGCTCATTGGCAAGCTGCTTTACGTGTGGTTCGCTATTTAAAAGGATCTCCTGGTCAGGGAATTTTTCTCTCCTCAGACCCGGATCTCTCGCTTACAGTGTACTGTGACGCCGACTACAATTCATGTCCCCTCACACGTCGTTCTTTGAGTGCGTTTGTAGTTTTGCTTGGTGGCTCTCATGTTGCTTGGAAAACAAAGAAACAGGGCACCATGTCTTTCTCTTCCGCTGAAGCAGAGTATCGTGCCATGGCCTATACTCTCCGCAAAATAAAATGGTTTCGACGGGTTTTACAAGGCCTCGGCATTGATCAGTCTAAACCAACACGTCTGTTCTGTGATAATAAAGCTGCCATTCATATAGCTTCGAATCCAGTCTTCCATGAGCGTACCAAGCATATTGAGTCCGATTGTCATGATGTTCGTGATGCAGTTCAGGAAGGTGTCATTGTCACAGATCATGTTAGAACGGGGGAGCAGTTTGCAGACATTCTCACAAAGGCGTTAGGTCGTGCACCATTTCAGTACTTGTTGTCCAAGTTGGGCGTTCAAAATCTCCACGCTCCAACTTGAGGGGGAGTATTGGAGATAACGTTGTATCTATTAGGATTAGGATAAACTCCTGGTTTGTAGGAGTTTAGAGTCTATCGTGAATAGCTAATCTCTTGTATAAATACATTTTAGTTGTCAATGAATAAAGCAAGTTAGTTCGGTATCCATCTCTACAGTACTCAAATTATTTTCATTGTTTATTCAATAAATTCATTCGTATTTTCTGCTGACAAATTAATTATTTAATAAGAAGCAAAAAAATACTGTTAAAAAAAGTAATTATTTACATAAAGCAAAAAAAAATACTTAAATAAAAATATGCGTCACGTTGTCAAAAAAAAAAAAAATATATATATATATATATATATATATATATATTATATATATATATATATATATATATATATATACGTCTTAGAAAATTTGTTTTGAGTATTTAGCTGTTTCATGTAGGCTTCTCTTCTCTAACATGGAAATGTACCCATATCATAATAGATCTCGGAAGGAAAATCCAATGACGAACAAAAGGAACCTGTTAGTGCTGATTTAGTAAAGGAATCCGGTTCTGCGAATGGGGACAAGTAACTTCAAGCTGTTGCACTGATTTGTATACCGTTTTGGATTTTGCAGAGGTAAGAAAACATGGAATGTTGGAAAGATGAAGTTCTAGAGAAAAGTCAAAACCGGAGCAAGAAACAGAGGTACTGAACAAAGAAACGTATTGGTGTTTTGGTTTCCGTGGTATTGAACTTATATAGTACGTTGTAAGTTTTTGTTGTGTTTCAATTTTCGTAATTTCCTTGCTACTGAGTAGGTATTACAACAAGTAAAGAGAGACAAGGATGAGTGACTGAGTGACTGAAAAATGGGGTTGCTCTCTTGAAAACATTCATACATCTTACATGCATGCATATATTCATGTGTGCATCCATACATTCATGCGTACATGTACTCATGTACACATGCATATTTACTGTCTTGGTTAATTGCTTGCTTCTTTACTCAGTTGTTAGTCTGTTTACTTGCTTATTTGTTCTCTTCCTTATTTCATTGTTTGACTTGCTTGGTTTGTTGTTTGATGCATTGCTTAATTTCTTCTCTTCCTTGTTTAACTTGCTTGCGTTGCTTGCCAACATGCTTAACATGTTACTTGCGTTGTTATCTACTTGCTTGCTTTGTTGTTTCTTGCATTGCTTAATTTCTTCCCTTCCTGATTTCGTTGTTTAACTTGCTTGCATTGTTGTTTCTTGCACTGCTTGGCCAACTTGCTTAACTTGTTTACTTTAATCCTTCTATGATTATTTGCTTATTCCACTGTTTTGCTTGATTGACCTCTGTTCTTCTTTGATTTTCTTGTTTCCTTACTTCCTTCATTGTTTGCTTGTATGTTCCCTGACTTATTTACTCGCTTCATTCTTTGCTTGCTTCTTCTCTTTTCTGTTTGTCTTCTTTACATGCTTAATTTGTTAAATCAAGAATTAAAGATAATCCATATTTTGGCATAGTGATTCTAAAATATCTAAACTTCATAACATAGTGATTTTTTAAAATATTTTTAGAGTAACTTAGATGGCACTTGAATCGAGCTGTAAAAACAACATCATATTTTTTTGTACGTGTTTTAAGGTGTTCTCCACTAAAAAAATAACTAAATTTTTGTTAATTAGCTGGATAAAATTTGTAATTGAATAGTCAGAACTACTCTTTTTTTTTTTGAACGAACTAATGCTTTATAGATGATTACTCTCTATTTAAAAAGAAATTGTTTAAAGTAAAGGATAACAAACCCAAACCGGCTAGATACACCGCAAAGTGGGAACGAAATTGAAGACAACAAAGATAAGGGCTAACATAAGTACATAACACTTAAGACATCATAACCGAAGAGAACTCATCTAAGCTCCACGAAAATTGTAGGAAGAAGTGAAACGGTGCCTTGGACAATATAGGATAAATTCTGTAATCTTAAACCCGAGATTGAAAACGCATCGAATGCAAGTTTACCAATCATGAAAACGGCATTGAACTACTCTAACTATATTTATTTTCATTTTTCAGTATTAATGATATGATATTTTAATAATAATTAATATTTCACTAAATAATTAAATTAATATGCCAATTGATGAAAATTAAAAATACGTATAAAAGTTATCAACTGTAAAATGTAATTTACTGTTCACCGTGATTAATTGAAAACAATATTTTCCCCTTTTAAAATTTGTCGATTATGGTATTATATAGAACTTATAATTTGTTATCAACGCAAATATTCAAGCGTCTCCTTTATGTATTATTAAATTTAAACAATTAGATGGTTATCTACGCAAATATATTATATAAAGTTTGTAAGCTATTAGGAAAGGAATGTATTAAAAGTAGATTATATAAAGATCTCCAAATCGTAAACGAAAGGAATGGTATAAACAATTGCCAACTATGCCATCACTTAAACTACGACTTGATTAGTGACTGATTATGGATATGTTAACTAATACAGAAAATTTGCAGTCACTATATAAACAAACCCCCTTAAACACAACCAAAACCAGCATTGACATTTTCATCATACTTTTATTACATCATCTATTGAGAAAACTTGTAATTTTATTTGCATATCATTCTCTTTAAATAAAAAATGGAGAGCAAAAGAGTTATGATGTTGGTGACATTGATGATAATGGGAAACCTTCTGAATCAGATAGAGGCTCAAGAAAGTCTATTGTGTTTACCAGCTTGTCTTGTAACGTGTAAAGATGAGTCATTTCCAGAATCCTTAATGTGTCCATTCACATGTACCAAAACATGTCTTCAACAACCTTCACTAACATCTATTTCTTCAAACAAAATTGATGATGCCAATTATTTCTGCAAACTCGGTTGTGCTACGCATCATTGTGTTTCCCTTTCTTCCCTCCAATACCCGAGTAAGTCTTTACTTCTTGTATGCATTTTTTTTCTTTCTTTGTGTACATTTTCATGTCAAAATCCGAGTTAGACTAGCTATCGATGCGGAACTCCTAACCTAATGCATTATCTTGTTAATTTTTGATAGTATGAATTCTTTTAATGGTCTTTGTTGGTGTTTATGTTATGGACAGATTTGGGGAGAGTATCTGCCTGTGTGGATTCATGCTCGAACAAGTGTACCAGCAAATATTAGAAGCATTCATTATCTTTTTCTACGGAAAAAAAGTTGATGTTTAATTAGAAAGATATGAACCATTATTTGTATCAATTCAATAAATAAATGACGGAAAATTTTTTTTTAACCATCTTGTGTTACAAACAAAGAAATATATCAGTTGATAAAAGTAAAATTCAAATTGCGCAAATTTGGAAAAGTACTCAAATGATTTTCATTGATTTTTCAATAAAATCACTCTTATTTTCTGCTGACAAATTACAAATTTACAATAAAAAGTAAAAAAAAAAGGAAGGCATATGATTTTCTTATATCAAGTGAATTTACAAAATCATTGCAGAAAGCAAAATATTACACAAATACATATATGCATCATATAATGATATAAATAAGAGAATGTTTTAAACGGTCCGATGTGTGTAGGCTGTGCGCAATATTTTGAATTAATTAAAATAGGGTCCCTTTCTTTTTCTCATTCAAATTTGGTTTTCTATTCTAACGGAAACATAAAACGGAACCCGAATTTGAATTTTTTAAGCTTGTGAGAATTTGTTCATATCCCTTATTGTTGGTTCCATCGATTTCATTTTTTTTTTCTTTCTCTGCTTTGTGCTGTGTTTTTTTTTTTTTTCCTTTTCTCGTTATCTTCATCGTCTCTATAGTTTACTTCTTCTCTGCTTCCGTAAATCTTTATTTGATTTTGATGTTTCTGTGAATTTGTTAAAGGAAACGCTCATACCCTTTTCTGATTTCTATCGATTTTGAAAAATCTCTGTGTATTTCGCTTTCTTCTTCTTCGTCACTGTTGTTTCATTTCCGCGATTCTGGATCGTGATTGTTTTTTTTTCTTTATCTGGGTAGCGAATTCGATTCTAGAATTTTTACTCTAAACAGATTCGGCGAACCAAAATTGATTCTCCGCCTCAATTTCCCTGCCCAATCACTGCGAAAAATGGTACAATCTCCTTCTTTCTCATCAAATGTTATTCATTTGTTATCGTTCCGATCAATTTTACAGTTTCTTTTCTCATCGATTGTTACCGCTCCAAATCCAATCAATGTTTTGTTGGACAATCGCTATAATCTCTTCTCTTTTGTGGTAATTAGGGTTTTTGATGATCAGTTTTGGAAATTTAGTTTGATTCGACTCTCTATCTACTTTTGGATCGTCTTAGGTTAAAATTCCAATTATGCTCTCTTCAATCTTATTCTTCTGCTTCGTCTTTTGACTTTTTCTCTTGGAGATTGAGGTTGTGGAACTTTTCTTCTCCCGCAAGAAAATGCCTTAGCATATACTTATGTGTTGCTTGTTCGAATGCATACACATTCATACATATATGCTTATGCAAATGTGTATTTGCATACTTGCTTACTTGTACACATCCGTTGTTTAGTTTCATCACTTTTTTGTATCTTTGATTTGATGTTTACTATACTTTGCTTACTTTCTCTGTTTCATTGATTCCATGTTTACTTACTCTACTTCTCTGTTTCATGAATTCCTTGTCCGATTCTTTGTTTACTGACTTGTGTCCTCATTTTTCGCCTTTGTTCATTTCTTGCTTGCTTCCTTAGTTTCTTTCTTCGTTCCTTGCTTACGCAATAGATTTCTTGGTGTGTATTTTCACTTCTAAGCTTCTTTGCTCCTTGAATTTCCTGGCTTACATGTGTTACATTTCATGCATTCATACATACATACATTCATAATACCAACATACATCTATACATATGCAGTTAAACTCGCATGCTTACTTAATTGTTTCTCTCTGCTTTTATTCTTTTTCTCCCTTAATTCATTGCTTGCCTGTTTTCTTTTTGGGTTTCATTCGTTCCTTGTTTATTTACCAGCTTCCTTGTGTGCTTGTTTGCTTCGTTAATCTAATTAGCTTACGTACTTGCTTCTGTATGTCTATGTTGAATTCCTTATTAGTTTCATGCTTCCTTGCTTAATTTCTTACATTCTGTCTTTCTTCCTTAACTACTAAACTTTTTTTAACATCCTTATATTCTATCCTTATCATTCTTGCTTATTTGCTAACTAACGGTCTCACTTTATCTTCCAGTAAATATTCATTTTGCTTTAGACACTTCTAGGTTACTATGTAAATTATTACAAAGGGATAGCGTCTATGAAGACAAAGTCCTCATCATCATTAACGTCGCTACCACATGGACCATCCCTTTTGTGTATGTTGGAACAATGGTTTACCGGAAAGGATGTGAGAACGTGTATGCAGTTGGAGATTGTGCTTCCATAGCTCAACGCAATGTGAAATAAAACCATTCTTTGATATATGTTCACTTTGTTTCCGTGCTGAATCTTGTGATATGTTTTGTGATTGGTTTAGGAGGATATATCAGATATATTTAAAGCTGCAGATGTGGACAATTCAGGAACCTTGACCGTGGAAGAATTACATGATGTAGTTTGAGCTAGACCAGAAAAGCAATCATATGAGGAATATTGTAGATCTGCTGACAGATTCAGAAGGAAATGGAAAGAAAGAAGAGCCTCCGTGAAACTGCTCAGGTACTAAGTGGCTTCAGCACGTATAAATCATGGCTTTTTGTTGAGGGACTGAGGCTCAATTGTGTGTTTGTTTGTTAATGTATAGGTTGCTGCTCAGCAAGGTTCTTATCTTGCACAATGCTTCAACAAGATGGAGCATTGTAAAGAGCATCCTGAAGGTCCTAAGCGATTCAGGACTGGCGGGCATCACTAGTTTCGACAGTTCCAGTATGCGAAAAATCGAATAAACTCTGAACCTTGCATCCTCATAGGCCACTCCCTTAAAATACAGAGATGAAACCTCTTTTGTGGTTGATGGCAGGTACAAGCACTTTGGACCAAGCAGCTGCTGAACTACCAGGAGACTGGGTTTCAGCTGGAAGAAGCACCCAGTGGCTCTGGTACTCTGTTTATGCCAGGTAAATGCTGAGAAGCTCTACTATTTATAGTAGTTCAAATGCATAGAAGTTAAGAGTCTAAATGATGTGATGAATGCAGCAAGCAAGTTAGCTGGCGAACGAGCCTCACAGAACTTTACCGGAAAGACAAATGTGATGATTCTTCTCTCTTTACTTTTCTTTTTCAGTAGCTAACTGTAGGGTTTTTATATGATGTAAACCCTAATTTATGCAAAAAGTGATCCCGTTCGTATCTAACTAATTTGATTTTGTTGGTTTTAGTTGTTCAGGTGTTTACTTGCAACTAGCTTATGAACCGTGAGCCTTGTGGATAATATTCACCAGTTTGATGTGATGTCATAGTTACTAGACCACTTCAGGTAAGGTATAGCTGAGCAGCACGTATTCAGCCTTTATTCTTCTTACCTTTTCCCTGATTAATCATTTGGTAATTTCTCCAGGGATATGGGTTGGGTATGCAGCACGTCCTTATTCACTTTAGTTTAAGCCCTGCACAGTGGTGAATTGGTGATGGTGCTCAGAAGTACCAGTATCCTTCATACGTTTCTCTCTGAGCAAGCACTCTTCAAACAAAGCAGCCAATGTGAAGACGATCTGTGCAGAAAGACGCAAGAATTCTGCATCTGGTGGTCCTTCAAAGGGAGGTGGTATCCCTAAAGGATTAAAACTATTCAACCAGAGCTCGCTCAACACTTGGAGTAATCTGTATGGAAACGGTGCTCTTGCTTTGATTGGCATTACGCTCCTGTGTCATGGCATGATAGCTCTAGGTTCTTAGAGGTGCGTGCAGTTGCATCCTCATATTCAGAGGTCTGTTTCAGATTCGCGTTACACAGGTATGATATGTTTCTAAGTTAAGATTCTATTTTTTTTAAATAAGGATCAGTGTACTACCATCTATTAATCTAGATTTTCTTTTATGGAAGTCAGTTTTATAAGCTGAATATTGTTCTGATTGAATGAGTGTGTGAGGTCGACGGAGAAAGTTTTAAATCTCTATAACTGAAAGCTACAATCTACTCTCTGCAGAGTTTGCACCAGCCTGCATCCATGACAGGTTATGCAGCTCAAGGTTGCTACGACAGAGTGTACCCAAACAGGTTAAATTTGGATAATTTCTGATACATATGAGGATTGGTTTTTCGTAATGTCAGTACTAATGAACCATCTTGTATACATTTGCACTGATTTGTATCCCGTTTGTTTTGGATTTTGCAGAGGTAAGAAAACATGGAATGTTGGAAAGATGAAGTTCTAGAGAAAAGTCAAAACCGGAACAAGAAACAGAGGTACTGAACAAAGAAACGTATTGGTGTTTTGGTTTCCGTGGTATTGAACTTATATAGTACGTTGTAAGTTTTTGTTGTGTTCTCAAATCAGAACCACAAATTATGCTTATTTCAGGTCTATAGCAATGGAGCTTTAAAAGCTGTGCGTCATCTTCTTGTTTCTGAAGTTGACTCATTCTCCCTTCTCCCAAGTAAGTATCTTCAATCTTTGTTTCCTGGTTAGTCTTTCAATTTTCGTAATTTCTTTGCTACCGAGTAGGTCTTACAACAAGTAAAGAGAGACAAGGATGAGTGACTGAGTGACAGAAAATATGCGGTTGCTCTCTTGAAAACATTCATACATCATACATGCATGCATATATTCATGTGTGCATCCATACATTCATGCGCACATGTACTCATGTACACATGCATATTTGCTGTCTTGGTTCATTGCTTGCTTCTTTACTTAGTTGTTAGTCTGTTTACTTGCTTATTTTTTCGCTTCCTTATTTCACTGTTTAGCTTGCTTGCTTTCTTGTTTGATGCATTGCTTAATTTCTTCCCTTCCTTGTTTCATTGTTTAACTTGCTTGCGTTGTTTCTTCTTGCATCGCTTGCCAACATGCTTAACATGTTACTTGCGTTGTTGTTTCTTGCATTGCTTAATTTCTTCTCTTCCTGATTTCGTTGTTTAACTTGCTTGCATTGCTTGCCAACATGCTTAACTTGTTTACTTGATTCCTTCTTTGATTATATGCTTATTCCACTGCTTATCGTGTTTTGCTTGATTGACAACCTCTGTGCGTCTTTGATTTTCTTGTTTCCTTACTTCCTTCATTGATTGCTTGTATGTTCTCTAACTTATTTACACGCTTCATTCTTTGCTTACTTCTTCTCTTTTTTGTTTTGTCTTCTTTACATGCTTAATTTGTTAAATCAAGAATTAAAGATAATCCATATTTGGCTCTCGAACCAACCCTTAAAAAGGTTTGGATCGGGTTCATTACCTTAAAAAGTCTTCAGATTCTTCGAGTCGGGGTATTATTACCCCAGATTCGAATTGAGTATCCCGAACATACACTCTACTTTGAATCTCTTGCTTGTTTTAATCTTTGAATACTTAAAATTCTTTTTCTTTGTTTTACTTTATGTTCCGTACTTCTTTTTCTTTGAATCTCTTGCTTCTTTTAATCTTTCAAAACTTATAATTCTTTTTCTTTGTTCTACTTTATTGTTATGTTCTGTACTTCTGTACAAGAATGAAATGAAAGTTTCTTTCATAGTTTTTTGTTTTAAAAAATATATATATTCTTTCAGATATTTTTGAATAAAAATTAAGAGAACCGAACTGTAATCCTATAAATTTCGTATCCCATAATCCAAACTGATCCAAATTCAATGGCTATCGAACCAAAAATTTTAAAATATCAAAACTCCACAACATAGTGATTTTTTTAACATATAGAGTAACTCCAAATATCCGATAGTACATTAAATCTGCTGCCAAAACACCAAATTTTTTACTCTATTTATTACACCAAAATTTTCTTTTTGTTTTCCATTAAATAAAATAATTAAATTGTTGTTAATTTGTAATTGAATATTAAGAACTACTCCTACTATAACTATACTTATTTTCATTTTTCATTATTATGATATGAGATTTTAATAAAAAGTAATATTTCACTAAATAATTAAATTAATATGCCAATTGTGAAAATTAAAAATACATATAAAATTTATCAACGGTAAAGTGTAACTTATTTTTTTTTTAAATTCCCTTTTTTAATTTGTCGATTGTGATAATATATTTAACTTATAATTTACCTACGCAAATATGTTATAACTTTTTAGTCTATAAATATAAATTATTAGGAAAGGAATGTATTAAAAGTAGATAATATAAAGATCTCCAAATCGTAAACGAAAGGAATGGTATAAATAATTGCCAACTAGGCCATCATCCCACTTAAACTACGACTTGATTAGTAACTGATTAGGGAAATGTTAACTAATACAGAAAATTTGCAGTCACTACTATATAAACAAACCCCCTTAAACACAACCAAAACCAACATTGACATTTTCATCATACTTTTATTACATCATCTACTGAGAAAACTTGAAATTTTATTTGCATCATTTTCTTTAAATAAAAAATGGAGAGCAAAAGAGTTATGATGTTGGTGACATTGATGATAATGGGAAACCTTCTGAATCAGATAGAGGCTCAAGAAAGTCTAATGTGTTTACCAGCTTGTCTTGTAACGTGTAAAGATGAGTCATTTCCAGAATCCTTAATGTGTCCATTCACATGTACCAAAACATGTCTTCAACAACCTTCAGGAACATCTATTTTTTCGAACAAAATCGATGATGCCAACTATTTCTGCAAACTCGGTTGTGCTACGCATCATTGTGTTTCCCTTTCTTCCCTCCAAAACCCGAGTAAGTCTTTACTTCTTATATGCATTTTTTTTTCTCTGTGTTCATTTACATGTCAAAATTTGAGTTAAGACTAGGTCTCTTATCGATGAGGAAAATTCCTAACCTAATGCATTATTTTGTTAATCTTTGATAGTATGAATTTTACTTTTATCTAAGAATTTCTTTTAATGGTTTTTGTTGATGTTTATGTTATGGACAGATTTGGAGAGAGTATCTGCCTGTGTAGATTCATGCTCGAACAAGTGTACCAGCAAATATTAGAAGCATTATTCTTTTTCTACTACAAAAAAATGTTAAATTAGAAAGAGATGAACCATTATTTGTAACAATTCACTCAATAAATCGAGCGAAATTTTATTTTGACCATCTTGTGTTACAAAATGACCAGTTGGTAAAAATTGAAATTGCGCAAATTGTGAAAACTTCTCAAATGATTTTCAATGAAATCATTCTTACAAATTACAATTTTTCGATAAAAGTAATTATTTAATTCAAAATTAGAAGCGTAAGGTAAAAAAAAAAAGGGAAAGGTGTACAATAGAAACATTGCAAGAATTTGTTACTCACTTGGATTCCTTTCTCTGCGCCGCGTCTTCTCTCTCAATATTCCCTCAAGCTTCTTCTTCGATCGTCGTCCGATTCGTTGCTACTTCTCTTTTCTGTACAGTGTAATGGTTTTTGATTTCCATAGATGATTTGTGACGATCTCGAAGTAGATCGGAATCAATCCATCAATCTAATTGTTCCCGATCTTTTGCAATGTTAATGCGCGGCTCGTAGAAACATGACCTACATGAATCTGGATCTGTTCGTCAAATTGTTGATTGAAAAACCGAAATGTAGTAGAAATGAATCGCAATTTAGTTACATGGAATCTGAAATTGAATCTGTTCGGTGGTGATGTAGAAACCCTAACAATTTCGGGTCTAGTATGTATTGTACTCACTCAGAACTGGGTTTTTTTCTTCTGGGCAGGAATCAATGGCAACGATAAGAAACTTGAAGATCAAAACATCGACTTGTAATAGGATTGTGAAAGAGCTTCACTCGTATGAGAAAGAGGTCGAGAGAGAAGCTGCTAAGACTGCTGATATGAAGAACAAAGGAGCTGACCCTTACGACCTGAAACAGCAGGTAGCAAAATTCGAAACTATCACCATTATGCTGTTCTTGATTCTTCTTCCTTTTTTGATCTCTGTGTATTGAAAAGATTCAGAACAGTCTTTGTTTGTTAGATAGTTTACTAGAAATGCTCATTTTTCTGTGATTTTTTTTATGCGTTTGTGTTGTGTTCTTAGCGTCCTACTGGTTACAATAGATTTTCTTGTTATTTGCTCGTTGTAATATGTAAGCTAAATGGTTATTCTTTTCGTAATTGTCAATGTTGGTGGTGCAGGAAAATGTGTTGGGTGAGTCAAGGATGATGATTCCGGATTGCCACAAACGTCTTGAAGCTGCATTAGCTGATTTGAAGTCCACTTTGGTATTTACACTTTCTCTCCTTATTGCTTGCTAAAGCCTTAACAGTTTGTGAGTCTATAACAAACGTAGAGCGTGATCTGAAGTTTAGAAGAACACTTCATCCTCAAACTATAGAAGTTGTGTTTAAGTCCCTTTTTGAAGAGAAACGATGACTATGCACACAGAGGAACCGTGAAATTCCTAATTTGTGTTTGATCTCTAACTATACTGAATTTTGCAGGCGGGATTGGAAGAAACAGGTGAGAAGGAAGGTCCAGAGATTGAAGAGGCTAAGAAGACAGTCGCGGATGTGGAGAAGCAGTTTCCCACAGAAGAAGCCTGATTTAGCCCATCGGTGAGTGTTTGGTATGTGTTCTGAGAATATGGTAAAATGCAGAGTTTGACGATAATCCGTTTGTGAGAAACTTATTATTTCTCATTGCTATCTACTGTGTAATGCACTGAAATTGTTATCGTTTGCTTTTAATACATTTTGGTGACTGTTCTTTCTTTTTCAATATTTGTTTTTGAAACCACAACAGACCAGTTACTTTTGGTATCGCTGGAACAAAACGATTAAGACACAAATTGTATAATCAACATACAAAACTTAAATCTAACAGTTTAACATTGATTTGGTTTGGTGTTAAATTATACATTTTGGTTATGGTAAATAAATATTGCTGCAGATACAGCGATGTTAAAACCATAAACTTAAGAGTAAAAATTGAGAGCACTGAGTCACTCATATGTTGAGAAGAATTAACACTTGCAATACCCAAAAGTTAAAGCTTTTCTCGTCCATTAAAAAAAAGCTTGAGGAGAAAAATAAACATAGGGAGATTTGTGGAGAGATTGAAAAAGGCTCTGTTTGAAATAATCACAGTTTCTCATTATCATCTCTGTATCTCTTTTGCTTGTCTTCCTGCTATTAGTCCCACATGATATACTATGCAATCTGTTGCCAACAAGTTATAAGCCCTTTTTATGGCAACAAGGGTTCACAAGATAACATGTTATCAACTTATTAATTTGAGTTTTTTTTAAAGGATTTGTCATGTTTTAAAAACAAAGAACTCAATGCAACTTTTCCAATATCATTTCAGATTTTTCCCCCTAATTTTCTACTTCATACACTCGTTAAAAAGTGGACAAAGTCTTAAAACCCTATTAATTTTGTGTTGTAAGACAGATCCGTTGGGTCGTAATCGTACTTGTAGAGCCTAGCCAGTAGGCACATGCAGTGACCCACCAACGAAATTTCTGTTTTCTTGTAGCCTTCTTTTTTAGTTCATGATCTTTGACATTAATCTACATACACACTACATAAAACTCCTATTTATGTGTTCTTTTAACAACTTCTATTTATGTGTCTAGTATTTGTCTAGGTGATAATTAGTTAAGCTACTGTAAGACTTACGTATCAATTTACTTTCTGGTATCTCAAAGAAATCACTAGTTATATGAATATAACCTCTTTAGTCTCTAGCTAGGTACCAAGATTTAAAGAAAAAAAGGAAAAGAAACACAAAGAGAGAGAGAAGTTTATGTGCTTTTGCCATTGAGGCAGTTTAAAAGAACATTAAAAAGGCCGATGTTATTTGCCTAATTCACAAGGATCTTAGGTCAAAAGACCAAATTTATCAAAAATATATAATGAGAATAATAAACACACAAAATATTTAAAGCTTTTCTTGCCCATAACAAAAGAAATCAAGGAGGAGAAATAGGAAAACGGGGAGATTTGTAAAGAGAGTGGAGATGGCGTCGTTTGTGGGAGAAATAGTCACAGTTTCTCATGATCCAGTATCTCTCTATCTCCTTTGCCTCTCGTCCTGGCACTCTTCCTGCTATTAAATCCCACCTGATATTATCCAATTTATGGCCAACATATTATCAAATCTATTTCATTATAAATTTTTGAACTAATGGTAATACAACAATATTTTAAAATTCCTAAAATAAGAATTATTGTAACTTACTTCCATGTCACACTTAAATTTCATAGTAACATTTATCATAGTGTAGATAAAATAATCAATGAGTTAAACGTCAATTTATCTACACTACGATCAGGCTACAAAGAGTTACCATGTCAAAAAAGCAGTCAGCAACAGGGAAATTTATATAAAAAAACGCTCTCTAAATCGCATAAAGAACAAAAAGAATATTACTTCTGCTTTAGTTACGAGGAAATCATTTGAAAAGCTAGATTCTTAATTTGATATAAATGTGTATAATAAGATATCTTTAAATATAATATTGTGGACGCCTTTTCTACACGCAATAAATATCTTCACGTTATACATGCCTATATTCAGACACACATCCACACATGACACATATATAATTAGGTCATCAAGAATTTAAAAATTTACTTGGAACGAGATTATTATATTAGCAGAAGCAGAAGAAGAAAATGTTACCTACTACCGACAAGTTTGTACATTCGAAAGATGAGATCTTCTTCTTGTTCGGTCATATTGATAAACTCCCATTCGATACTACTCACTTCTGTATTTTAGTTAGTTATATTCAAGCACAAATCATTTAAATCATGAGAAAGAAGTTAAGGTTAGATAAGTTAAATTAATGGACGAGTATAGTCCAAGAGGACTAAATAAAGAGAGACCTTCTGAGTCATGTCGTCGAGTGAACTTGGTTTGCTTACGATTGCGAAGGCGACGAAGACGGTTGCTGTTATCCATGAGTATTGGAAAATGGAAGGAGAAGTATTATGGTGGAGAAGCTGAAAATTTGGAGTTTGGAGAAGGTAAGGAAAATAAAACATGTGAGACGTCGTGAAGAAGAGGGAAGAGTGATATAAAGAGAGGTCCAGCTTTTGCAAACTCGTAAAAATTACTGTTCTTAGGGTCCCGCATCGAAATTCGAAAAAATGACATTGAGTAACATATATAAAAGCTATATATGTATGGTTCCATTCATTGTTAAATGATTGATTTAAAAATCTATGGCTCTAAAGTGGGATTCGTTTCGCGATAGACAAGTTCTATTCATTATCACTTAAGGAAACGTGTTAGAATCACTTAACATTCACACTATAGTTAAGATCTCACATCAGAAATCAGAAAGAACATAAAGTAAATACGAAAGACAGTATAACAATAACCAATTCACTCGTTTTCAGTTGAAAACCTATAAATATGTATAGTGATCACAGTGAAAATGGTGGTTTTCACCAGTATACGTAGGACAGGTAGTATTTTACCACTAAAACGTCATGACTCAACCAAAATCTAACATCGTTTTTGAATCAAGTACTTCAAAAAAAGTGTTACCCTATGTTTTTCACTAGTAAGGACTAACGACTATAAATTTCGAGTGAAGGACATCACATATGATACTATAAGTACCTTCTTAGAGAATATTGTGAACAGCGTCCACTATCAATTACTATTACAGCTTTTGTTTTTGATACAATTTTGGAATATTTTGGAATGGAGATGGCTGTGGCCTGTGGACGTGTGGTCCTCTGGGTTTTAAATATAACTTTAATAAATATCTTCCAATATGATGTTAAAAAAAATTCACTAATACTACTTCGTGAAAATTTTGTGTGGTGACTGGTGAGTTATCAATCTGTAGGTCGTAATCGTACTAAAACTCGTAGATGGCTGTGGCCAGTGTGCCACACCAATGAAAACTTTATGTTTTTTTGGTGATTTTAATTCTTTTTTGGCATTCTACACAATACTTTTAATCATATAACAAGATAGAAATAGAAATATACCTGCACTACAGAATAATCATATATAATTGTCTAGTGAATTATTGCCTCAGTGTCAGTGATAAAATTTAGTGACCATATATAAGAAATTGACATATCAATTTTATTTCTATCGAGGGTTAAAGATGTCTCAGAGAAATAGCAAGCTTTTGGACCAGTAAGATTCGTCAAGTATAATTTCATTTCTCAGCGTGAAATTGTGAAGAACCATAGTTTTTGGACCATGCATATGATATATGTACATGCATGTTTCTAAGTACGTATAGAAAAAAAAACATATATGAAACGGAGTGCGGGAGACTGAAGAAGTTGATCCTTGTGATGCGTAGGATTTGATCCTAACTTATGGCTTCAGTCGAAACCTAGATTAATTAATCTTTCGAGACCTGTGGGAAAAGCGAGTTAATCTCTACAATAGTCAAATATCAAACTGAAATTGCAATAAAAAGACTGAACCATATGGTTCCTCATAAGTTCACAAGTTGGTTGTGGCCTAGCCTGTTTCCGGTCCCTTTCAACTAACTTTTGATCAGTCTTCCGTCTCGTTCCAACCTCTTGGACTATATTAATTGACAAAGACTGAAGGAATAAATTGTCCAGAAAAAAAAGATATTTTGATATCATTCTAAGTTTGATTATATTAATATTTAGTTTTTTTAAAGGGTTTATTAATATTTAGTTTCATTTCCTCAAAATACTATTGGTGTTGCCAAACGAAGATTTCTTAATTCTTATCTATGTTTTCTCCTGTTTGGGTTAATCATAAAACAGCAGATACTATAATAATAATAAAAAATGGTAAAAATAACAAGGAATTCATCAGGGCTTAGAAAAGGAATGAAACATCAAAACATGGTTGCAGTTAGCTCTGGGCACAGAGCAAATACCAGGGTAAAAACATGTATCCGTGATCCGATCCGAAAATTTTCGAATATCCGAAAATCCGGATATTTGTAACTTTGTTTAATATCCGCGGATTATCCGCTCCGATCCGTTTGATCCGGATATCCGTAACTTTGTTCAGTATCCGCGAATTATCCGCTCCGTAAATATTAAAAATATATTCTTATTTAAAAAAAAAATCAGAAAAATCAATTTCAACACAAATATATAATTTTAACTAAAAAACTATTAGTATTTTTTTTAGTGTTTAAATAATCAGTTTTAGATTTATAAAATTTAGATATAGATATAAAAATTATCCAATTTATATATGTAATTATATATATAGATATATCTATATGTATAACGAAGCGGATCGGATATCCGGCTTTTAAAATTTCAGTATTTGTGATTTGCTTCAGTTTTAACGGATATTAATTTTTAGTATTTGTTTTGCTTCGTAAAGTTACGGTTATCTGGATTTTTCAAATCGAATCGGAACGGATAACGAATCAAAGCAAATATAACAGATAATTTGCCCAAGCCTAGTTGCAGTAGGTCACTTCAAACTAACATTAACTATTAAAGCTTGTGGAGACAAAATCATACCTTATCTGTAACAATTCCTATGAATACATATGTACGAGTCATGCCAAATTTTAAAACCAGATCAATAAATATCAACTGAAAAAAGAAAAGAAATTTGATAGTTCGTTGAACGGTAGATGTTTGATTGATTTAAGTACTTGGTCGACAGAATATATCAAAAGTGGTCCAAAAATTATAAATGTCATGTAAGAAACGAGTTAATTCACACAAAGCCCATTAAACGAGTGAACAGAATAGGTTCATCCCACTATCTTAGCCTCCCCCCACTAAACATATATATTATGAATGTTTTGATTTGCTTAGCCGCCCTCGTTATGTTTAAAGTCAATATAGGAACTACTTTGTCTATAACTAGGAATATAAATAAAAATGCATGTAAGTGTGAATTCTTTTCGAAATCATTTTTTAGTTTTATTTAAAAAGATAGCTCAACTTTTCAAGAAATTCGAAACTACCTAAAAGAAGTAGAGGTCAAGGCAGACGTGATCACCAAAAGTTCCCTACTAGTAAACTAATTAGCCTCTAAATCCTCTCCTAATCTCTTTTCTTTTTGTTTCCCCTAAAAGGAGCTATATTAAAAAACGACATGTTTTTGGTGGACTGTTCTCGATTTTCTCGGCTGGACCTTTTTGTTCTCGATTTTCTCTCGTCGGCGGTTTACGACATGTTTCAAGGTGGTTTTTCTTTGGTTTGGTGGACTGTTGTGCTTTGTGAGCGAGTTCAGACTGCTGCTTTTGGTGGTCGGCTTTGGCTCATGGTGATGTTCTGTGTGTTCTGTGGGTGGTGGCGAGAGCTCCGTCTCTACCTCCGGTTAAGACTTCACCTGTTCTGCCTTTGCGCTAGTCTGGATTCAAAGTGCTTCTTAGTCCCTAGGCTTGCGTTGCTAGTGGGATGGGTAGTTGCTGTCGTTTTGGCTTGTTTGAGGATGGTCTCACTTTAGGTTGTGGTCCTCGAAATCTTTGCTTTAGGAGGAGGTAGTAACACTAGAGGATCGTGCGATTGTTGTTCTCTGTGCTAGCCGACATCGGGGAGAGATCTTGGTAGAGTGAGTAAGTAGATCCTGTTTCTTTGGTGCGTGTTGTTCCGTTTTAGTGATGGAGTCTAAGTTCTCGCTGAGCGTCGATACAGAGATTTTGAGGACGGTCTTGTTCGAGCCTCGTCTAGCAGCTTAGAGTTCTATTTCCCTCTTTGGGCATCCAGTGAAACAACTTCCTACTTGCTTAGAGATCGAGGTTCTTGCATTTTTGGAGTGGCGATTCCGATTTCGACTCAAGTTCGGGCCTCTACTTTCTCATGAGCTCCCAAGCGATTGATTTATCGCTACTGAGTCGACTCTATGCTTCTGCAAAAGACAAGATAAAGTACCGTTTGTTCTACGCTTCCATGTTTTTTTTCTTTTTTTGTCATGGGACCGTTTTAGTAGGTTTTCATTTTTGATTAATTCATCAATGTAATCCTAAACATTTTTATTTTCAATGAATATTTACATTCTTAGCAAAAAAAAAAAAAAAAAAAAAAAAAGGAGCTATATTGTATGCTTGAACATCTTTCTCAGGTTACTTCCTTGAACTCTATATATGACTTCCAAAGCCATATCCAATTATCCATGTTCTCTTTCTAGCATTTTAATAGAATACCATTTAACTAGTTACAATTTATATAAAAACATACTAAAAAACGGTTCTACTTAACTCGAGGGCATCGTCTATATGTTTAGTCGCTTTTCACACTTCATGTATATGAAAACTCTGATCGACATTGATTCAGATAAGATGCCTCGGTAGTAGGAGAAGGATGGTGATCGTCGGCCACGCATATGCCACTAGTTAGCTAGTTCTTTGATTCATAATATCTGATCTGCTCACCATTTTTACTTGGGAATAGAGACAATAACTGTTTTGGAAATATGTCATGTTTATAAGAAATAAAAACCGATGACATAGTCATATTCTTTTTATTGTGTCTTTTAATTCTCTTTGTTGTGACTTGTGAGACAAACGGGAAATGCATGTTCGTGTACTTGTGAAAAATATTCCCCTCCCGGCTCCCAGAACAACAAAAAAAGTGTTGTCGGTTTGAGCAAAAAAAAACTTGTAGGTTTCAAACAGATAACAACTTTTCTTTTCTGTGGGATAAAATCGACAAATGTTCATATATCGTAAGTCCTTTATTATTTAATGAAAAAAAAAACTTGACACATTCATGAAACTAATTAAGGACGGGTTTGCACAGGTTTAAAAGATCATTGATGATAATTTAGCATCAGAAACCAAAAATTTCAAAGCTACAAATTATTCTCTCTTGATGTTAACATCAAATAATAAGATTGTAAATAAGAAGTTATGATAAGTGATAGTAACATTTCACATCTCGTAAAAATAATTCTAAATGCTACCTGAATAACATATTTTCCAGGTTTACACAGTAGTTGGTTGACATAATTATTTTTCTTCCATGCTCACAAATATTATACAGACAAAGCTTAGTATCTAAATTTCTTTTGTTAATTAGGAGTTAAGACTAATTTGCTGATATGACACTCTAGTTAATGATCTAGAAGAACAAGTAAGCAAATTAGTAAGACAGGATCGTGTGGCCCATAAAGCACGCAGCCGCATTTGACTTATCTGCTTCTTCTTTTTTCACAAATTGACTTTTCTAAGGATTTGACTTTTCTACGTAAAATAAATAAAACGAATTAAAACCAAAATAAGTCCAGAGATTATCATTTCTCTGAACTCGGCAAGAAGTTTCCTTGATTGCAACCACCTCAATCTCCGAGATCTGCCCTTTAGGGATTTCCAGATCTTCTCCCTCTCTTTCCCCGTCTTTCGCGCGTTTGTTTGTCACCTGAAAGTAAGTTCCTTTCCTCTCCGGCGTCAACTATCTTCCCGATCATCTCGTCGGCGATAGTTCCGACCTTCTAAATTCGTCGATTCTGTTTCCAGTTAACCGATCGATTGATTAGAAATGGCTTACTTGTTCTTCTAGGTCTCTCCTTCGCCGAGACTTTGTTGCTCTACGACACTTCGATTTACCCTTACCTCTTCAAGTTCTTCTTCAAATTCGTACTAATGGCGATTAGAATTACTTTCACCTACTCCAGCTATGTTGCTCGCAATCTCTCTTCCTCCGCCGGAGCCCGTGTTGGCGCGGGCTCCGGCGATCTCCGCTCCTGCTATGAGTTATGGGTTCGTCCCAGATTCTACAGCCGGAAGCCCGATCCGGACAAATCTCCCGGATCCAATCCCTGGACCAGCCCCAAGATCCGACCCGCGTCGATGTACAGCAGCGTTGCGAGGGAGATCATCGGAGAAGGGAGCCAGAGTCCGCTCGTGATGGGGTTGATCTCGATTCTGAAGTCAACGACGTCTCCTCAGTCGTCGTCGGCGGCGATGAACGTCCTCGGGATCTCACCGTTCAAGGCCTCTTCTATCATTCCGTTTCTTCAAGGGTCGAAATGGATGAATCCGCCGGAAATTGATGACGTGGACAAGGGAGGAACGGCGTGTGATGATGATGACAAGGAGCTGAGTAAGCTGGAGGAGTTGAGTGATAAGGAGTCGAGTGGAGGAAGCGGATGGGTTAATAAGTTTCTGAACATCTGCTCGGAGGATGCAAAGGCTGCTTTCACGGCGGTCACCGTCTCTCTCCTTTTCCGATCGGCTCTTGCCGAGCCAAAGTCGATACCTTCCACGTCTATGTACCCTACTCTTGACGTGGGTGATCGCGTTATGGCTGAGAAGGTACCAATTCTGAGTCTACTTTTATGTAAATCGTTAGGTTTCTGCTTTGATCTTTGTATACAACCTGATATGAATCATACTGTTATGGTCTTGATTGTAATCACATGGTTTTTCAATGTGTACAAACTATTCTACTAAGCTTGATGGCACTGAGCTCTTAGTTGTTTGATTTGTGTTATTGAATGAGACTATTAAGCTTCTTATTAACTTTAAACTGACCATTTTGGAACAATCTTTGTGTGTGCTTTGGTTTTGGTTAGGTCTCATACTTCTTCAGAAAGCCGGAGGTTTCTGATATAGTAATCTTCAAGGCTCCTCCAATTTTGTTGGTAAGTCACTGTTTAAATTCAAAATTCTTGCTTTTTGAATGTTACTACTTACCTTATGTTTTAAAACTTATATTGATGTTACTCGTATGAATTTTGTAGGAACATGGTTACAGTTGCAACGATGTGTTCATAAAGAGGATAGTGGCAAGTGAAGGTGACTGGGTAGAAGTAAGCCCTTTTATCCAATCCACTTGTTGATTGATCCTATTGACCCATTGACGTCTCTTTGTTCACATCGGTCGGTATTGCTTCTCTTGAGGCTTCCTCGGACAACAAGTTTTCTCAGAAATGGACAACCCTTTCTCTGTTTGTTTGTTTTGAATCAAATTTGAGTCTAACCTGTGGTTGTTGTATCATGCAGGTTCGTGATGGGAAGCTCTTTGTGAATGACAATGTGCAAGAAGAAGATTTCGTGTTAGAGCCAATGGCCTATTTAATGGAACCAATGGTGAGCAACAACTTGTACTTAACACAACTGTTCATCTTTGTTAAACTACTGTATCAGACTATTTATAAAGTTTGCTCTTTCGCATGTTTATTTGCAGTTTATCCCCAAAGGTAATGTCTTTGTCCTCGGAGATAACCGCAACAAGAGCTTTGACTCTCACAACTGGTAAATTCTCTAAATGCAGTTGAATCAGCTTAGAAAATCAACAAGAGCATTCTTGTAATGATCAGTCATTGACAATTATGGTGCCTATGCAGGGGTCCACTTCCGATAGAGAACATCGTTGGAAGATCTGTGTTTCGTTATTGGCCACCGAGCAAAGTATCAGACACCATATACCACGACCAAGCTGTGCCAAAGGGAGCTGTTGCTGTTTCATGACAAAAGTAAAGTTGGATGCTTTCTTAAAAGATTGAAGCACAAGATTGTGCAAAAACCAGAACTGGACAGCCTTGGATGGAGATGAAAAACTCACAAGACGTTTTATGATATCTGCGGATACGTTTATGGATCGTTATGACATGTGGTTCTCGCTGATGATCGGGATGCCGGAGAAGTTATGTGTTCATAAAGGAATGGAAGGTACAAAGGAAAGAAAGTTTTACTGTAATTGTTGTGTGTGTGTTAGTAAAAACCCTGGAGCAATTACAGTGGTAAAGGTAATTGTCTAACAGAAGGGTATTTTTGTTGTTGTTCTGAATTTATGTAAAAGAATCCTGTAAACCTGTGTTGTTGTAAAAGAAAAATACTAATCCAATTTGGGAAAATAGTATGTCAGTGTTTGAATTTGGCAATCCTTAATTTCAGATAAATCAAGAAAAAACTTAAACCAACAACCGAAGAGTGAGCATGTTCAGGCATACACATTCAATTCAATAATCATAACCAAACTATTTATTGCAGCTATAAGAAAAGATTTAGAAACATATAATTCTCAGTCTTTCCCTTAGAATTCAATATTTCACTAGACAAAGTCAAAATACATGAACCGGATACACTCAGTACATTAGTAACTATTACATTACTCTACTAATTAATAAAACGTGATCTGATAAAGATCAGAATTGAACAAGAACAACAAATTAGGGTTTAGGTCTCGATAGTCTTGCCAGGCCTAACTTCAGTTACACGCATACTCCTCTTTTCCAAAAGCCCCTTAACAATATTCTTCAATCTCAACTCCATAGCAAGATCTCTCTGTTTCTCCTTCTTCACAATCACCGGAGGCTCTCTGATCTTGTTGACAAATCCGCGCAAGAAACTGTATCTCAACAACGTCAACGCGTCTTTTCTCTCTTCCGGCTCCGGCGCAAAGCATGTCATGAGAAAGAGCTTCGCATCACAAGGAAGATCGCTGGGGATCAATGGCTCGTAACAGTTCTTGAGATCTTCCAAGTCGTAGTTCTTGTGCCACCACGGCCTCTTCCCTGTATACATCTCTAAGACAACACAGCCCAGTGACCACAAATCAAGCCCTCTCCCTGTCTCGCCGTGAGAAACTGACTCGGGAGACATGTAAATTGGTGTTCCGGCGAACAGACGAGAAGGGCTCCACCAGTTACTGTCTCCATCTCTCTCCGACAATCCGAAATCCGAAATCTTTAACTCGTAAGACCGATTCCACGCGTCCTTCTTCGGGAAAACCAGAATGTTTTCCGGTTTAAGATCACAATGAACATATCCATGTTGGTGAATCGTTGCCAAACCCTGGAGTAGCATACAAGTAAACTTCCTGATCATCGGATCCGGTAACTTCCTGTCTTTGAATTTGTCGGAGAAACTCCTCAAACTTCCTTCGGACGCGTACTCCATGGGGATCTTGTACTCTCTATGACCTTCTTCGTTGAGACTCTGTTGCACTCTGGTCCCATAGCATTGGACGATCCCCGAGCATCCTTTGAATTGAGACAGGATTCGAAACTCTCTGTAGAGAGCTTCCGCGTGTTTTCCGTCGGAGGTTTTCACGGCGGCGTATCGTGTCTTGCCGTCATGTCTTCCGTCGAACTTGAAGAGACTCACCGAACCGAAGGAGCCTTTCCCCAGAAACTTCTCGAAGTGAAAATCTGTCCCCGACATCGCAATAGAAACGATTCTTGGACAACAAAGCTTAAGCAAAAAAAAAACCCTAGGTTTATACAAAGCTTCAACAATAGAAACGATGAAAGTGAAACTCTGTGAACGTGAAAGTGAATCTGAACTTGGCAACCTGATTATTTATAGGAAGGATTAAGGAACTAGTGTGCATCTACACCAACCCGATTTACAAAAGGAAATAGATTTCCTTTATTTTTTTTACATAGGAAATAGATTTCCTTTTTTAGTTTACACTGTTTCCTTTTTTTAATTTACGAAAAGGAAATAGTTTTCCATTTTTTTTCTCGCAAGGAAAGAAGAAAGAAAATAGTGTTTTATCGAAAATTCGAAATAATATCACGTAGAGCCTCTTATTGTTTGTCAAATATAAATATAACCAGCTGTAATTTAGGCAAGAGATACAAATCTGAAAAATGAAGTAAAACCCAAGCAAAAATAAAAGTTAAACCCAAGTAAAAGTCGAAATCCGAAAGAAAAATAAAATTTACATATAAATTGAATTTCCGATAAATCTCTAGATAGAAATAAATTGAGATATGAAACACCAGAGATTTGTGGAAACAAAAAAAAATTGAATATTACTGCTATTGAAGAAATGAAACATTAGCCATATGACCATATCTAATTATTGCACCAACCGAGAATCGAACCCGGGTCTGTACCGTGGCAGGGTACTATTCTACCACTAGACCACTGGTGCTCTGATGTGATGACCACAAGCGTCTATAGTTCTATACTAATTTAGGAAATCTATTTTTTTTTATCATAGCCATATCTTTCAACTTTGAATTAAAAGACGATTCAAATGTTAAAATTTCTCATAGATGTAGAAGTTGAAAACAAATATACATATACAACAGACGATTCACTTGCTTTCCTCATTTCTAAATTCTGGCTACCAAAATAGGCCTCTGAATATACAAATCTATAAAGCCAAAATGGGTACTAATATTGTATTGTATGGATCAACCAACAAAAAAGCTCCTCCTCTTCATCTTCCTATGAAACGGAAACTGTTGATTCTTTTTCTTTCTCATACTCCCTAAGAGACATTCTAAAAGTTGACAAGGGGAATTTTGTGAAACCTGATACAAAAAAAGTTGAGATAAACCATCTAATAAGCCACACATTTCAGAATGATTCAGCTCCAGCTTCTACGCTTTAAAGTCTTTGTTTGAGTTCCATACAGGATCCACCTTTGCCACTCCATTCTCCGATAACAATCCGCTCCCGTTTTCCACACTAATTAGCGGATCCTTCTCGTTCTCATTCATCTGAGACAAAAGGAGTCCCAATCCACAGCATCAATGAAGTTGAATCTTACTTTGAGCCAAAAAAGAGAAAAAGGTGAAGTTTTTGTTACCTGGGGCAATTGAGTCAATGCTTCGCTGGCCTTGAGTTGAGTTTCAAGTGTGCAGTAATAAGAGTAAAGCATCATTCCAACAACGGCGATAAGAATACCAAGAATGTTGTGCCAGTTGAATGCGTCTTTCAGCAAAAGATACCCAAACGCCAACACTAGGCATGTCTTTAAATGTCCCAGAACCTGGTAAGTGACTGGAGATGTCTTCCCAATGACGAGAAACGTGCTGAAGTTTACCGAGACAGATATGAGGCAGGACAGGACGATGAAGAACTGCATTCATTCAAACAAACGTATGCTTTGTAAAATTATGTAGAAGCAAGCAATAAAGGAAGATATTGATTTGGTTTCTCACCAGGACTTGAGAGGTGTAGTTGAAAGCAAACACGTTCTGGTTGGTCAAGAGACCATCAAGAAACGGTCCAGTCACGAAAAGAGTGATTGCTTGATATGGGCAAGACTGATACAGAAGTTGGGTTGATGAAACTTTGAATTTCTTCTGGATCGTATTAGTCATCTGTATATAACTGGTTAAAGATAACAGCAAGGACTACTATTTAGCTGAACTACTGGCTAATACAAGAAAGAGAAGTGTAAGCAATAGGATACAATCTGGGCAACACAAGTCGTAAGAACAGCCAGCAGAGACAAGACGGACCCAAGCATATTAAGCTGAAGATCTGTCACGGTTGCAATGCCAACACCAAGGAGAAGAATAATCAATGAAAACTGGATCTTTTTACTGCAAAATGAAATAAATAGTTGATCATTGTAACTTTTTGATCAGAGAATCGTTTGATGGAATCAATGTAACATAAGAAAAGGCTCTTAAGTTGCTCAAACATTCCACACTAAACAAAAACAAACTAGAGGAAGACACTTAGAAGTGAAGCCTTAGCAATTTCTAAACCAAATCATACTACAACTATCTCCAAGACTACTATTAGGCTAACCTGAATTTCTTTCTGAAGAAGATGGTCTCCAAAACAACAGTACAGGGGATGATTGCAAGTTTTGTCATCTGATATCAAAGGGAAGAGAGAACAATGAGATTCAAGAATCACATAAGACAGCTACAGGAATTGCCCAAAAAGGTTGTTACTTTACCTGGTAAAAGCCAACAGAGTTAAAACCCAAGCTGAGATTCAACAATCCAATTGATATTCCATTCAATATACCAAAACCCATCACAGCTCGTGGATCAAAAGGTTTGTGCTCAAAGAACTTCATCCATAACGCCACATGAAGTGAGCAAAACGTGACTAGGAGATGCCAGCTTGTCAAGGTTGTTGCTGTAAAGTTTCAATGATCACAAACAAAGTTATGAAATCAAAATGCATCCTAAGAGATGAAGCAAAGCAGAAAAATGCAAAGGGGATCTTTACCAAATGTGAAACCGAGGGTGCTCATAAGGGCCTTGTTACAGATTACGATCGATACAGACGACACAACGGATAAACTCAGAGCGCTGATTGTTCCCAATGGGAACTTCTGGGCGTCGCTCATGTTTGATTCCTCTTATTTTGATTTTCGATCGATTTACGAATACGATGATCTTAGAAACCACCAAAAAAATTTACATTGATTCAAACTCTCATTCATACGAAAATGCGAGAGAATCGAAGCAGGATAAGCTCGACTGCATCAATGGAGGAGATACACGAAATGTAAGTCGGAAAACTAAGGAAGAATTATGAAAAGGCAGAAACCATAAACCCTAGATCTAGCGATGGCAGATTAACGGAAATTGAGGAGAAGAAGAATGATTAGGAGAAGATAAGGAGGGAAAATGGAGAGAGAGAGAGAGAGAGACCTCAAGAGAATTAGAGAATTCAAAGGTTCGGCGGAGGAGAAGAGAATCAGAATAATTTCTGTGAATTTGAAATAGAGAAGCCTATTTTTGTAATTTGAAGGTCTGCACCATACACACACAGAAGAAGAAATAATAGCGATTAGCGAGTGAAGAAGAAGAAGAAGACAATGAAGAAGATAGTTTCTCGCGTTTTACGTTATTGGGGACCTACCTGTAATTAACATTAACAGTGGGGTTAAAAGTGTAAATACGAGAATACATTTATTTGCATTTATTGGATGCATCTTCTTGTCTTTCACATGTCATACTGTCATTGTCGTTTTCGTTTGAATTGCTTGTTTCATAGAATCTAAAAATTATGTGAATGTGAATCATGTGATTAACGTCTTAATTAATCTTTATATACACAACTGCATGCAGTCTTCAACAACAATTATGCATGAAAACTTCCTCACGTCTACCACATCTTCTTTAACACACTCTTGCATAAGATAAACACAATTTACACAATACTTGCATATTCTTCTTTCATAAACTTGAAAATCGAATATTAAACAATGATTTAAGAAGAAGATGGATCTTAAAACCTAATGCTTTCCATCTGAGATTGAAAATCAACAACAAAAATTCAACTGTTTCATCACCAACATCAATCCCCATTTTGCCTTCTACAATACCCCAAGATTAATGGAGACATACTAAAATCCCACCCAAACTCACCACAACCCATAAAAAAACAAAAAAAAAACAAAAACAAAGCAAAAAATGTTCTTTTTAAGCAAAAACAGAAGCTTATTTTTAAGCTAAAACTCTTGACAGAATCAAACACAAAACTGTACCCCTTTCTCTCTCTCTCTTTTTCTTCTCCTCTTGGTGAACATATTAAGACAAGTAGCTATGAGTTAAGCTTTTTGTCTTTCCTTTTTTCTCTTTTCCATGTTGTCAGTTTGAACCTTTAGGCTCTTCACTGATTTTGATTTTCTCAGCCTCTGTTGCTAACTCTGTTATTCCTACAACATCACCACCGCCTTGAGCCTCCCCCGAACTCTCCCCAACTTCTCTTCTTCTACTCTCACCTTTCTCCACCGCCACAGCCTCATTGTCTTCTCTGTTATAAGGATCACTGTTCAGATCTATCCTCCCTTCCTTCTCTCCCTTACTCTTATCAGTCTCCGCCTGCTTCCCTTCCACTTCCATGCTCTCCAGCTCTGCTGCTGCTGCCGCTGTTCCATCGCGCTCCAACTGCTTCTTCTTCCTCCTCATCATCAGCGTTTTGAACCTTCTCTTCACGGTGCTGCACACGTTGCACGCACAGCTTGGCTTGTGCCTGCCTTTCCCACTTGGCGGCTGAATGCACACAATGCAAGAGCACCCAACCCTGTGCCTTGGATGCCTGGTCGTGGTCGCAACCTCTGGCTCACCTAGAGCGTCTCCTAAGACTGCTGCACTCGCCGCACTCGCTAGCGCATCCAGACCCGACGGCTCTTGCACAGTTTTTGCTGCCTGGCTTCCCCCACTTCTTCTCTTCTTGTACTCTATATCAAATACACAAGACAGTTAGTGTTTTGACACTTGAGATTCACTATAAGCTGAGTATATGTATGATCTTGAAGGAAACATGAGAGACAAAGGCATAATAGATTTCATACCTTTCCCACCTCTAAGAGCATTTTCAAGTTCCTTTAGACTCTCCTCCGGTGCAGAACAAGAACACCTATCAATAGTATATATCAAATTACAGAAACAAGGACCTCAAGACGAAAAACAAAATTTTAAAATGGCCATGAAGAAACAGCTTGTGGAAGTTCTTACCTGGTTTCATCCCAAACATTGTCTACGCATGTCCACTTTAAGGAAAGAAGAGCGTCTACTGGTAACCTTCTCCACTTAGAGCACTCGTCGCAAGAAGCCCATCGTTCTTGTTCACTGGATCACAAAGACATTTGTTAGTAAACTGCTTGCAAGGTCAAGGTAAGTATCAAGAGCAAGTATGAAAAGTAAATCACAGAAGAAAAGAACTTACCCTGAAGGTCTTGAAGTGATAAACGTCCTCTTTCCAAAGACAGGAGGATCCTGTACATAACATTAACATGAACCATGACTTAGCTGAGGGCAGTGTTAACAACATGAAACTCACTCCAACAAGATCTACCACTTACGTCAAATTCTTCAAATTCATGATCCTCGACAAGGACGATGCTAGGCTTTGAACTAGGAGCGGGACGAAGCAACTCCTGAGTTTCCTCCCATGTGAATCTCAGCTCCATAGACTCTTCACTATGCAAAAGCAGTCTCTTGTTTTTTGTCCCAATGGTTCGGCTCCTCTTCCTTTCTTTGACCCGTGGCAGATCATCACACATCATAGCTCCGTTAGTCTCACTCTTCTTCAAGCCATTACCATCATAAGGCGATGAGGTCATATGCTCAGGCAGACCTCTCATTTCCTCAGGTATATGTGATGGACCCGAAGCAGCATTTACGGAGGACGGCGTCTCTGTCACACCAGAGGATGATGTGTCCTCGTTTGAAGTACCGTTGGTGACACCACCTCCCTGTTTAATAAAGATTGGATCCAGATAAGAATGGAGCACATTCCTAAAAAGACCATTTCATAGAAACCCGAACCTGAATGTCTCCAGCATTAGCTACCTTCCTAGAACCCATGATAAGTTTGCCACCAGGATCAACCCGACTGAAAGTCACTGTACAATACAACAAAAGGCAAAGAAGAACACCACACAGTAAGAGAATGCAGAAAACCAAACAAAATGTTCACCAAGGCATGAACAAAGCTTTAGAAACACTACCTGTATCACCAGCCTGTAGCATCATGGACTGTATGCAGGGAGTAACACCTTCCAAGACATACATTCTACTGTTGTTGTTAGGCCAGAACCTGAACTGGAACGTCCACTCCTTACCCCTCACATCTTGGATTTTCAAAGGAATGCCTTCCGATTGACTAATCGGAGGAAAGTAAGCCTACATAAACCATGCCGACATTAGTCTTAGCTCTCCAAGATATTTCAAGAACACCATAGAATTGGGAAAATTTTACCTCAGCACAGGCTTTTGGAAGAACTAGACGACCAATGCGACCAGCATCACTGGCACTAAGAGTTTTCTCAAAGAGAGGCACAATGTTCAAATTCAAACTAAAGATTGTTAAGGTAAGCATGGAGGAGTCACCAGAACTAAAATGTTAAGCAAAAATGTTAAGCAAAATGTTAAGTACAAAAAAAAAGGATACTTTCCGGAGATCTGCTGAACCTCTTTATCAGTATACTTCGGCCAATACCGAGGAAGTAAATGCCCTTTCCCTCTCCCTTCCACAGGAGGCCTCCCGATCCGCGCATGAGCAGATTTGCTACTCCCAACAGGAGTTCCAATAACAGTTTTTGAAGGTCTCTGCAGTACACTAGAGGCAGAGGATTGGACAATGTGGGACTGAGAAGCACCGTTCATGTCCTTCTTCCCATCGCCAGGGTTTGCAAAAGACGGGCTGTAAGGAAGTGAAGCCAAAGCCATGTTCAAAGATGGCTGCTGTGAAGGCGACGACTCATGCATTTCTGATTTCAGAAGGTGACCAAACCCACGGTGAGGCATAAAGTCTTCTCTTTTATCTCCTCCAGGGACCAGCGGCTGAGAATCGCACCTCAGGGACTGAGAAAAGAGATCAGCTTCGCTCATTCCGCTTTCGCCATTCATATGTGGCGTCTTCATTGGCAATCTGCTGAACACGTTTGGACTCTCACCCCTCTTGTTCTGCAAACAAGAAGAAACATTAGAACAACAGCTTCAAACAGAACCGTATCGAGTCTAGTCAAAAACTCACCAAATTGAGCTGATTGCAGTTAACACAGGTTGTACAACCAATACCACCATAGTCCATAAACTCGACCATGAGCTTAGAAGCAATGCATCCGCAGTGAAGTCTCTGTTAAAATTTCCAATCAGACCAACAACATTGCAGAGAGAGAGAGATAAAAGCTAAAAATAGAAAAGCATTTTGAAGTTTCGAAAAAAACTCACCTTGCTGCACAAATAGCATTCTCTCCAACCAGATTGGTCCATATGGAATGTTTCACAGAATAGAGAGCTCTCATAAGCGGATCTATAAAGACAATCATTTACAATGAGCAATTAAACACCAACCATCTTCACTTAAAGTATTGATTTTGTGCTATTTATAGATCAAAAGAGTCAGGATTGGTGAACGAATAAGCAAATTAGATATCGTCTACGTAGTAAACAAAAACAGAACGCAACACTACAAAGAGAGAATGACGAAGCCAAGAACAGGTCACAGAGAGATCGAGTCGTAATTCGTAAATGAGCAAACGAAATTGAGAAATTAGAGAGATTGAGAGATACCCGCAACGAAAACAGAGATCAGCGAGAGCGCCGGATCGAAGAGGCCAACCTTTCTTCCATTCGACAGTAGAGGTCGCGCCACAGGTTGCGTTCATGCACATCTTTGACCCCATTTTGACTTCAAACATCACCGAAGCAGTGAAAGCCACAGACTTTTTTCCCCCCAAAATCCGATTTTTCAAATCCCGAATTCGACAATCTTAAAACCCTAACAGAGCCGGAAGCACGAATCGGAGGTGAAATCGACGTGAATTGGAGGAGAGGCTAGTCATGAACCATGCATCGATTCGACGTGGTCAAAATCAAGTCGCGTTTGGAGATCAGGGGATGGTTGAAATCGAAGGCGGGAAGACGACGAAGAGAACAATTTGACGGCGAATTGAAAGAAAGAAGGGACTGTAACGGCGGAGAAGAAGGCGAGGGAGGTTTTGTTTTTTTTTGGTGATTTTTTTTTTTAGTTTTGTTTTTCGATGTAAAAAAAAATTATGGGTCAGATAGAGAGAGATGGATTAGAGAGAGAGCATGCAAGAGAGAAGAGAAAGAAACGCATAAAATGCATGCACGACACTTGAACACATGAACACACACACGCCGCTTAGACCAAAGTAACACACACAGATTAGAAGAAGAGAGAGAGATAGAAAGTGAAAGAAAGACTTTGACTTTTTTTTTTTTTTTTTGGGGTTGGGGTTAAGATTTTCATTTACATTTATAGGCATGATGGTTTAGGGTTGTTGTGATTCATCATAATATATTTTGGAAATAAAGATATTTGTATTGTCCATACTACTCAAATTAAGGGATGAATATGATGACGTATTATTTTCATATTTGATTGTATGTATTCAGCTCTAAATATTTTAGGTAATATTATTATCTGTCAAATTGGGGATATTTTCTATTTTAAAAAAAAACTTATTATTTGTTTATGTGTTGTACTTTTTCTTTTTTTGACAAAATCTTAAATGTGGAATGCATGCATGACATTTGAACATTGCATGAGCTTGAAAATCAAATATCCGAGTCAGTCCATAATATCAAAATATATGTAACCGTTCGGATACAAATCTTAATTTTGAATGTTATTATACAAAATCTTTAACTGTCAAATGTATGATGACACGAGTATTGCATGCACTCAAAATCAAAATATCCGAGTCAGCCAAGATATCATAATATGAAACCGTTCGAATACAAATTTTGAGTTTAACGATATTATACAAAATCTTAATTGTGTAATGCATGCATAACACTTGGATATTGCATGCACTTAAAAATCAAAATATCAGAGTCACTCAAGATATCAAAGTTTGAAATTATTCGGAGATAAATTTTGATTTTAACGATATTATACAAAATATTAACTGTGAAATCCATACATGACACTTGGATATTGTATGCACTTAAATTTTAAGCTTGTGAAATTAAAAATTAACAAGTGATGAATTTTTTTTGCCAATATACGTGCTTATATTTCTTCCATTAGAAAAAGATTTTGAGTCATTTTGATACCGAATTTGTGTCACTGTTGAAACAGTAAGATAGCGATACCAGGTGTGATATTTTTAGATAATTACCCAAAAAATATGTTATTATTTCTTTTTTTATCTATATATGAGATTTCCTTGTTGACAATAAATATTCATAAATTTTCCTCTTTTTTGCCATTTGTTTATAATGATAAAATTGTATCATGTGTTTTGAAAAAGAAAACTAGATATGGAATTTTTATTTATGTTATACCATGCATGCAGAAGAGATAATCAACCCGGGGCCAGTTTCCTGTTATCCTTCTATTCAATTGTTTTCCTCCACAATTAATTCATGAAAGTGACTTGGATAATCCCAACCACTAGATTATATTGCCATCATAAAATTACTGTAAAACTGAACTATAACAGTTTAAAAACAATTTTACATTTGCATCTAGATTTATTATACATCCAAGCCAATGATTATTTTGAATTACAGATATGATATTATGATCAAAGTACTAAATTCTCAAGTTTTAAATGATTAGGTGAAATTTTGAACATAGTTGTCATCACGCGATGTGTGCTAACGTAGCAAGTATCAATCTCGTACCAGACATGTTTGCACATGAGAAACAAACAGCCGCAATATTCTTGATTCACCCTAAATATGTATTTCTTATTCTTTTCTACTACTATTTATGTATTCTGGGAAATTAACAATTTAATTACGTTATTTTATTATTAAAGTAATTAAAACTCAAGGTCAATCTAGGACGGCATGTAAGAAACAGAATCAAGTCATCAAACTGATAGAAACTGCAATAATGCCTGATACACACACCCACACAGCTGTGATTGGGGCTCACGTTCCCAGCTTGCAATAGACATATTTTTTTGTTTCTTATTAATAAAAGGATAATTAAAATACTAACATCAAGGAATCTCATTATCCCGCGTATCATTAAAGTATGCAACATTGACGAAAAAACAATAACAAAGTAAGAAACATTTTTAAAGAAAAAGTAGCATTATGATTTTTGTTTTCTTTAACTCCAGTATGGCAATATCCAGTATGTGAATAAAATATATAAAATGTAAGCCATATAGGCTCATCAGAGTGTAGAAAAACAAAGGCAAGTCTTAGTTAAATTACTATAAGAACTGATTTGGAACTTTGGAAAAACTGAAAAGTTTTTAAACTTTCACAACACACGCACACGGCAAAAATCATGTCTATCTAAAATTTGGTCAAAAACATGTTTAATGTGATTGTATTTGCACTTATGAACTATAGACCCCACAAAAGCATCTCACACCCTATTACTAAAGACATAACGTGGCTAGTGACAAACACGGTTGCATGTAAAAGTAGGTGTGTGTGTGAACGCTAAACGCTATACGGACAACAAGATATGGAATCGAGTACATGAAAATATGCCAAACTTAAATTGCACATTCCCATTGGGAATTAGCTCATTTTATTCCTCAACTATTTGCAATGAGAATTTTTATTCCTCAACTATCACTTGCTCACTTTAATTCCTGAAGTGTAAGTTGACTGCGCAAACTTATGATTAAAAAGTCAAACTTTTAATAATAAACATATAATATTAAATAAAATAATAAATTCATCATAATTTTCATTGTTAAACATAAAAAATAAAAAAAAATCTATGAATCATTTGATGGTTTTAATAAAATAAAATTTTGATAGATTATTTGACAGAAATCTTAAAATTTGGATTATATTTAATCCCTAAAATCCACCAGATTCGAACTAAAGATCAATAAAAATCGCAAAAAAATATCTTAAACTATTTATTTAGAATTTTTTAAAGTATAATGGTGAAAATTATGATGTATTTACAAATTTATTTAACATTTTATGTCTATTATCAAAGATTGTTTTTATTTTCGAAAGTTTGACTTTTTAATCATAATTTTGCGCAGTCAACTCATACTTCAGGAATTAAAGTGAGCAAATGATAGTTGAGGAATAAAAATTCTCATTGCAAATAGTTGAGGAATAAAATGAGCTAATTCCCCATTCCCATTTGAATTTTTGGATTTCAGATTTGGTGATAACTTGACCCAAAGAGTACAAGATAATATGGATATGAATACATTATACGTACCTAAGTTTTTAAAGAGTCAAGGAGCAATGTCTTGTTTAAACAAACGAGTTGAAGCGTGCGTCTTTCCAGCAATATCATTTGTTGGAATGAGTCCCTACTTGCCATTTCTCCTGATTTCATCTCAAGATTCATGTGTTAGTTTACTGTAATAATAAACAAAGATATTAGTCTTTGATAATCTTTAGAGGAAACAACATTTCATTTACCTCTGTTTCCTTGATGCGGAGCTTCCATGACCTCCTTACATCTAAACAAGAATGAAACAAATTATCCATGTGTCAGGGACTTAGGGGCATTGGATTGAAGTATGGATGCAAGTGAAGAACACAGAGAAGAGCGTGACAAAATGTTCACCGTACATACTCATTTTCGTCTGAGAGGCTCTTTGCAACGGATGATGAGGTCTCATCTCCCTGGTTTTTTGGGTGATTCACTTCTTTGCTTTGCTCATTTTCGTTCTCTGATAACGTGTCACTCTCAAAACCGCACATGTCTCCTGCTAGTCTAGATTTCTGATTCGCTGATAAACAGTTTGCATAGTTCTGTTCATCATCCTCATCCTCACCATTGACTCCAGTGCCTCCTACTGAAAACTTGGGAGCCCATGTTTCCGGAATAGAATCAGGGGCACGAGATGGACGCCGGTGCGAGCTACCAAGCTCAGGGTTTAGGAAAGGATATGGCTTGTCTCTCTCTGTTGTAATACCTGTGACAGAGATTCAAACAGGAAGTTTCATGTGAGAGATCGTCAGCATAATGATTAACCAAATGATTAATCTATGATATAGAACTCTATGGCTAGGGACAAGATGATGGAAAGGCCATAAAAGAGAATAAGAGATTTCAGAAAGAAAAAAACGAGACAAACCTGAGCTTATGCCTGCAGACGTAAACCCTTCTGCAAACCAATTGTAAGACGGTTCCAAACCACCACGGAAAGAGGAGTCTCTGTGACTGGTAGATTTCAACTTTCCTGGGTTTGACAATCTGGCCTGCTTTCCATAGCCAGATTTTCTCTTCAAACGTTGATCATCCACATCCCAATCTTCCCATGTTTCTTGGAAAAGTTCGTTATTCAGATAATTCTTGTCTTCAAGGTTGAGAAACGAACTAATTTCCCTCTTACTCCTCTGTCTTGTGTTGTTTACAAACTGTGAAATGGGTGTTTCTTTGGCCCAAACTGAAATAATTCAGGGACAGTTAAGAACCTAGTAAGAAACCAAAAATCCTAACATGTGATAGAGAAGGATTTTTCAGAAAAATCAATACCTGCACTAGACGAGCAAGATTCTTCACTGTTAGAAATAGTGAGAGGTGTCAGTAGTATATATAAAGCATATGAAACACAATTAGAAAGAGAAATATTGTAGATGCTAACCTACGCAAACTATGGCTGTCTTTATCTTCATCCAGTACAACAGATGACCAAACTGGTTTGTCAAATACTTTGTCGAAATCAAAGTCAGGGTTTCTGAAATAAATGGATGATATTTATCAAAAAAAGTTCACTCCGCATGAGTTTAGAAATGGTTTGATGCATTTTAAGGACTTGACTTACAATTCATTAGCAAAACTTCGATGATCGATGGTCCTTTCTAGACGCTGTGGTCTTCGAACTGGTGAATCTGAAAGAAGGAAGAACGAATGATATTCTGAATAAATAGGCCCAAACCTGGTCAATCCAACTAATTTTCCAACTTTTCCAACTTCAAACACCAAAAACAGAGTAAGCTAAGAGATACTGAGAGAAAGTGCAGCCACTCAAAGAGATTGGATTTAGAAGTTCCAAACAATGATGTGAAACAATGAAACTTATAAAGGCATACGCGTAGACTAGTTATTCTATGAATACAACTTATTTGGTCAAATGAATGATCGTTGATAAAAACATATATGAAGGCATCTATTCTCCTTTCTCCATAGTTTACTTGAACTAAACCCACCTTCGAGATTGGACCTCCACGTCGTTTCCAGGTAATCCCTAGAGACACAAGACTGTCAATGTAAAAAGGTACGGGAACCACTATCCATAAACGGACCAAAATGAAAGATTTTGAAGAGCACCTCTTCTTTGTCCCATGGTGTTCTGCAGAAGAGCGACTCCCAGTGTAATCCTTTCCATAATTCATGAAATTAAGGTTAAAGCTCTCCTCTTCGCATGGCTGTTGGTCCCTCCAATAAAAACTGTCTTCCCCATCACCATGGAAGGCCAACTTAGCTGGTGATGTAAGAAAACCAAACCAAATTCATACATTTTCTTCTTTGATCTCACGAGGAAAGAAAGAAACAGATACACATATGATCTTGGACCATAAAAGATTTCCCATACTTCATGTCACACCACACGAAGTTGTGTTCACTGCATTTTACTAAGAAGTGATATCCTACTTTGATCAAGTCATGTTTTGTGTAGATCACATAAGGTGCAGGGTCGTGACTAACTAAGAGATGATTTTGTGAGAAAATAAGAGTTGCATATATGGTGAGTTGTGCGAGAAAATATATAGAAAAGGAACTCTTTGCATAAGAAACTACCGTTCCACTCGTTTTCATCAGAGACCCGCCTTTTGCTGTAATCTGCAGCGTCACAGAAGTAGCTTCTTGACTCGCTATTATATGGTTTGTGCAAGTGATCACTGAAAGTACGCATTTTTTGCTTTCTGCCCACATCTCTATCATCTATACCAACGGGCGACCTATAACAGCTGTCATCTTGGAACATTTTGCTACTTTCAATTATTGTGTCCTGCAAGAGGAAGATGAAAATATTGGCTCTGGCAAAACACTTAAAAATGAAAGGAATACAGCTAAAAGGTAAAATGACGAGACTTTGTTACCACTTCCTTCTCAAAGTCATTGAGCCTTTCCCTGACGTTTGATGTATCTGGCTGACCAGTATCCTTCCATGGAGAGGAGCACTGGTATGCAACGTTCCTTTCACACCACAAATTAAATACAATCACTGTTATGCATTCTCAATGGTTACATACTACTACCGCTAATGTAAGGCGAAACAGTATACATAATTAAAAGGGCATAATAAAAACAAGTGCCAATCCAAACAAAATGGTGAATGCAACTCACCTGTCTGATGAGTGTGGAGAATTAACCGGAGTTTCCGTGTTTATATTACCCAATCCTGGATGGAAAAAGTAAGTGTCACAAGATAAAGACAAAGAACGAAATTTCATCTTAAAGAGTGATCATGATCTAACTTTTCCCTCCACTCTCTGATCTCTAAGACCTATTACCTTCAACTGAAAATGCCATGTGAGCCTCAGATGGAGAACATTCTTCCAGGTTGGCTGTGGTCTGATCATCACCAACCAAATCAAAGACAGATAACTCTGAAAAATACATAATGTCCATATTAACTACAAAAACAGACTTGCAGATGGCTTGAATCTGAATAAGCATACTGTGAAAAGTGATTGGGAAGTCAAACAAGAATGAAACAAACAGAATACAGTAAAGTCTTCTAGTTTCCAAATGGTAGCTTCATGCTAAGATATGTGGTGATTACTTACTCCGCTCTGTGCCGTCCATCAGATCTGCTGTGGTATTATCTGTGGTGTTTGCTTTCTTGAAATCACTTGTCATGTTGTCAGGGAGACAAAACGAAGTCCTATAAGACAGTGAAGCATCGAAATTTATATAAGATATGCAGTTCCAGTAGGCAAAAAACAAGAGGATATACATGTTGAGAAACAAAACTTGGGCAGTGACATTAAACGAAAGCAAAATAAAGAAAAGTTGACTTGCCTATTTGAGGAAGAAGGTTCTGCTTTATGGTTTGATGAACTTCCTGCATCATAGACCATGGGTTGGGAGACCTTACTTACTCCGGAAATTCTGTCCTTGAGACTGTAGAAATCAGCATCTAGATCTTCCATTCCTTTTCTCGTTAACAAGTGACACAAACAACAAGAAGGCAAAACGTCATGATTCAGAGCAATAATGCAAGTAAACAGTCCATAAACTGACTCCAATTATGTTGGAAACTATAACACACACACTCAGAACGATAACTGGAAATCTTACCATGTTCTGGATAACAAGGTTTGCATTCAGGAGTTGCGGTTGACAAGTTGAGCAAATTAAGAATATCCAAAGATTGGTGTTCCCTTAGGTGTTGATTACTACTGTTTCTATCATTAGCACAGCCCTCAGGAGTGGCAGTGGCCTGATGCTGTTGCTGCCTCCTCTGCTCAAAGTAATGCTTTTGCCTTCAGGTTTTCAAAGATAAAAAAGTGTGAGCACCAAATGTCTACGACGACATCACATCATCAACGAGAAAAAAAATTAAAAGCTTACACACCTCTTTTTGACTGACGTGTGTGACTGAATGCCCCAAGAGATGCCAATAAAACAATCAACAAGTCAGAATCAACACAAATTTTATCATCTAAAGTTAATTTGGAAGAACATAAACTTTTTGTGCGTCTAAGAAAATTACGCTACCATCCCAAAGTCCCAACACCCAGAGGTTTCAACTTCGCAGTTATAATGGATCTCTGAATCTGAGCTAATCCCAAACCAAAAAATCGAATCACTAAAACGAAGAAGTAAAAGTCACTCACAGCGGCCACTTTCCGCCTAGATCCTCCCATCCATTGCAGCATTCGTAACAATTCTTAGCTGTTCGACTGCACAGAAATTTCGAAACTAGAATTTCAATCGTCACCACGAACAATTCGACGCATCAATTCCATAACTAGAAATTTCCAATCCAAAATCTAAGATTAGACCCCGACGAATCTAGGTGAAATTTCTACGAAAATCCTTTAATAAAACAAAAAATTGAGAGAGGAGAAAGAGAGATACTTAAGAAATTCGAGAGGATTCGACAGTAGCTGAATCGCCTGAATCGCGTCCCGGAAATGGAGTTTGGAGCATCGAAACGATTTGGGAAAACTGATAATGCTGCTACACAGCAACGACGAATTCCAATAACGATGAATCCGATGAGCTTTGTGGTGCGCGACTGATCAAAGACGATGCAGCGAGCGAACGGTCTTCTCAAAATTTTCGAAACTTTTCGTAATTTTTGTTTCCCGCTGCGAGTGAGTTAACCATTATTACTAAGCACGAAATCATGGGCCTTACGAAGCCCATTATCAATTCTAAATTGCAGTAAACTTGGAAGCCCATTATTCACCTGAATTTTAACAATCCGCATAGTGTAGTTTCAGCCGCTGCCTATATATATTTGCGTGCTTCACACACACACACACTCTCTCTCTATCTCTCTTCCATTCTCTCTCTCTTTGATCAGCAAGAAAGAAACAAAGCCGTCAAGTGTTGTATTTGGTTGCAGAATGATGAAAATTAGAGGAACAAAGCGAAAGATCCCAATCGAGAAACGCGAGACGAAGCAACAACGATCCTTGGCTTGCAATAGACGCCGTAAAACCGTCTTCTCCAAAGCGGCCAATCTTTGTCGTCTCTCCGGTGCCAGCATCGCCGTCTTCGTGACTTCTCCCGCCGAGAGTAACGACGCCGTCTACTCCTTCTCCGGCTACTCTTCTGCCTACGAGATCGCCGATCGCTACCTCAACGGCAAGCCTCCTCCCGAGATTAGTAACCCCCAATCCAAGGTAGGGTTTCTGTGGGAAGACCCTGATCTCTACCATAACTGTGACGATATCTCCGAATTGAATATCTTGGAGGATCGTCTTGAGCGAATGAAGGCAGATGTTATGGCTTGTCTTGAGAAGAAACAAAAACAACAACTTGTTTCTAATTCCGATCAAACCCCTGCTTCTTGTTCCGGGTCTTCTTCCCAACTCGTCTCTGATCTCGATCAAAACCCTAACTTGTCGCCTCCGTCTTTCTCGCAAATTGCTTCTTTTGATCGGAATTCCTCTTACTCTTGTCTTGACCAGATCGTTTCTTCTCAAGTAGCTGCTTTTGATCAAAACCCTAACTTCTCCTCTGTTACAGGGATACAAGGCGAGTCATCATCTAAGTGTCATGATGAGAGCTTTTGGGATCAATTCTTGAACGACGTCGACAACGTGTTCGGTTCTTATAGCGACTTCTGTAACAACCCTCAGGCGAACACCAACACTGAAGAGGAGGATTGCATGATCGATATTGGGATTATTTGAACGAAGAAGAGGAGGATTGCATGATCGATATTGGAGATTATTTGAACGAAGAAGAGATCCAGTTTAGTCAGTCACACTCACAGCTTGAAGTTCCTGTAGATTTGGTAATGAGAGTTTTAATCTTTAAACTCTAATTTGTATCTAATCCTTAGTAACACCATCTATTTTTTTGTATATGTATCTAGAAACATGTCAATTGTTTCGTATTGAAATGATATAAAACTATTTTCCATCTTATCTTGTTTCGTTGATTTTCTTGTTACAGCCATCAATCAAAACGCAAAATCTGTCTCCAGATCAGTATTAAAAATTTAAAACCAATGTAAATATAATCTGGACATGGGAAGAAGATCATCTTGCACAGTGGAATTTCAGAGTTATGGTTTGGAGTGATCATGATCGATAAAGGTTCCATAAAATTACTAGAATTACGAGAGAAACTATAAGCCCCACTGATACATTTCACTTAGAACAGAACAGATGGAAGTCCAGATAAATTCATCTCAAACTCTTATATTATACCTCTAACAAAGCAGATACTTACAACTTTCTGTACAAGAACGTAAACAAGTTCAGCAAATTGAAAATTTTCAGATAGCGGTGTACTATTGGGTGTTGATTACTATTGTTTATATCGTTAGTACGTTTCTCAGACCCAATTGTGAGCTGATGCTGTTGTTGTTGTCTCCTCTGTTCAAAGTAATGTTGTTGCCTACAGATTCAGCTATGGGCCTTTCAAAGCCCATTATTAATTCTGAACTGGAGACTGTGACTGTCCTTGAGTTATATCTTCCAGTTTTTATTTTCTTAACACAGATTGTGGTTCGAACATGATCCTATGAAAGTTAGTTACAAGTTTGAAATTATATTGTGACAACTTAGCAGGTAGGCAACAACTTACAAGTTTGAAATTATAACTATGGTTCAGCAATCAAACAAGGTTTTGATCGATATGATATCTCAATGTCCATTATTGTCCACCATTCAAAACAATGGACCACTAGTTTATTGCAATCGTGGAAACGTACCCGTTACGACATTTTACACAAAAACATCTCACAAAAGACAAAAACATGGAATATTAAACAGATTTCACAAAAACATCATTATAATACCATCCATAACAAAAGTCATTTCGCAGAAATTTACTTTGTATCCTTTCCTTTTTTTTATTGCAGAAGAAAAAAAACTTAAAACGCCCTTGGTTTCATAACGATCGTTGAGTGGTTAAGGATGTGCAAGCTGAATTGTCCACCTTTCTCAGAGGTATCAACTTTAGACTGTCCCGGAGGTGGAAGAAGCTCGAAGTTCTGCACCAACCTACCAATGGTGATCCCCAAAATGGGCAACGCCAAAATAATCCCTGGACAGCTTCTCCTTCCCACACCAAACGGCACATACCTGAAGTCATTACCGTTGGCTTCCACGTGGGCCTCTTCTTCAAAGAACCTCTCTGGTCTAAACTCTTCAGGTTTCTTCCAGCTCTCAGGATTGTTCGCTAGCCACCACGCATTGACCAAGATCTTGCTCTCTGCTGGGATGTCGTAGCCAGCGAGCTTAGCGTCGTTGAGGTTCATGTGTGGCACGAGGAGAGGAATCGCCATTCTTAGACGAAGCGTCTCCTTGATCACTGCTTGTAGGTATGGAAGCTTGTGAAGCTCAGGCTCTGTCACTTGTACTCCTGGTCCAAGCACCGTGTCGATCTCGTTCCTTAGCTTGCTCTGGATCTCAGGATGGTTCACTAGCTCCGCCACTCCCCACTCTATCGACCACAACGTCGTCTCAATCGCTGTTATAGTAGAAATGAAGAAATCAGTGAGATCCACAAGCCCCTTTAGGTGAGACACATAACTTTTTTGTATCAAATGGTTGCAAATTTTGACCAGAAAAGTGTATATAAAGTGAGCCTAATTTTCTTTGTTAACATTCCGAATTTACAGGATTCACCCAAAAGAGTAGTGTCCTCTTTAGTATGCAAGCAAGAGTCGTCTAGAGGATTGATTACGTATCCCACAAGGAAGAAATAGGAAGTTACCGGCGACGTTGATGTTCTCGACGATGTAAAGAACGTTGTCCTCGTTGATCTCTCCTTTCTGTTGAGCTTCAAGGATGTGATCAATGGCGCATTTCAGTCCTTCGCTACCTGTAGGCTTAGAACTCGCAATTTGCCTGTACGATTAGATTTCCCAAATGTCAATTTTTCAAAATCCCTAAATCGGAAAAACCAAAATCGAAAGAGACGACGACGAAGAAACTCACTTCCTCTCGTCAACAAAGTACTTTTTGAAGAGAGCGAGTCTCCGATCCTTCACATCCTGGCAGATCTTCAAGTAGCCTCTAAGGAAGGGCCTGAGGATAGGGATGAAATCGCCGTAGTTGTACTCGAAGCTCTGAGCCAATCGGCTTCTCTCTCCGTTCAAGGCCTTAAGCCGGAGGAAGAGAGGATCGTCCTCGCTGTCGAATCGTCTATCGAACATGATGCGGAACATATTGTTGTACATCATCAACTGCAAACGCTTCCTCAGCACGATTCCTTTCGTCGCGGAATCCGGATTCTTCTTCACGTCCTCGACGACGCTCGCGGCTTCCGATTCCCATCCTTCCCGGTTCTGCTGCACGACTTTGTTGGTGAAGAACGGCACCGTCATGATCCGCCGCATCTTCCTCCAGTGCTCGCCGTAGACGGTGAACACCATGTCCTGCCCTTTCCCGGTGAAAATGTCGAAGACGACGTTCCTCGTTCGAGATCCGAACTCGACGCCCTGCGTGTGGAGCACTTCCTTGGTCAGATTCGGCGAGGATACGACCACTAGGTTACGCTGACCCATCCGGAGGAGGAAGAGGTCGCCGAATTTTTTGGCGTAATCGACGAGATTGCGGTGGTTGAGATCGTCTCCGACCTGGAGCCAGTTTCCGAAGACCGGAATCGCCCTGGGACCAGGAGGGAGCTTCAATTTCTTGCCGCGGAGCTTGGAAATCACGGTGGCGAGGACCACCGCCACGAAGACGGCGATCAGAGACTTCTCCAACAAGAGGAGGTCCATTACAGTTTTCTCTCAGTTTTCAATTTTCTTTTGGCAGTGATTGAGATTCCGGTGAGTAAGTCGTCCGGCGAATGTAATAAGCAGAAGAAGCTGCTGGAGAAGAAATGAAGGTGAGAGAGACGATTTTATAAGAGGGAGAGGTTGGTTGGTTTGAGAATTGAGACCAACGGCAAAAAGGAAACGGCGTTAGGTGCGGGGGAGTTGGTGAACGCTGAAGTAATAAACGGCGTTAGAACTAACGGGACGGCTCTGTGTGTGTTGAGTGGGGTGTTGATGAATATGGGGGTAGGTAAGGACCGTAAAGTGAAAAGGGTTTGGTGAGGAAGGATGGTGCTTATTTTCCTTCTATTTGAATGTAATTGAGCAACTATTAAAAACATTGAAATAAAATCATGGAAATTTGATATAATAAGAATTATAGTCAGTTTTATCAAAGTAGAAAAACCTGAAAAAGTAATGACTGCATGTTATAGTATTCTCTTTATATAAACTATGTACGAATCAAGTGCTCTGAATAAATTCTATCATATTCTTAGTGTAACATCTATACGAGGAATCTGTCTATCTTTATGGGTTACTATTAATTGGTGTCATTTTGTAATATACCATTTGTGCGTAAGACTAACTGGAATACTGGATGATTTTTTTGTTAATATGTACAATTAACTATTAACATAAACTTTATATTACATGTTTTGGCAGTAATGTCGGAATTATCTGGTCCATCTAAATTGTTGTGTTCCCAACAACATATCACTATTGTATTCTCGTTGATCTCTTACCTAAAGTGCGCTTTTTGTTTCCATCTCTCACATGCACAAACATATGCATAAAACTGTAGGGAAAACAAAAATCACATAATCTATTTTACCAAAATTGTATACCTATGCATTAACTTGGTCATTTTAGCCAGCAGATGATAAACTAATTTTTTTTTAGCAAAAACACACAATTTTTATAAGGTTTGGAGTATACTATTTTCATCCATTAGTATTATTTATCGCCATGTATAATTTATTTTTAGTCTAATTATTTGGTGCTATGTATAGCTTAACTTAAGTTTAAACAAATTAGTTAGTATCATCGTATAGATTAATTTTAGTCTTTTAAGCTCTAAACAAATTAAAGGTAACTAGAGTTAATATCTAAATACTTTGATGGATAAATCATCTTTCATTTGGGCAATTTAGCATTACTGTGACTACGTTGCCCAAGTACAAAGAACACTTGCGGTTTTGTGGTTAGACAGCCAAAAATAGCGTACTCTCTCCAGCCCAATGTTCCTGTCTATGATCATGATTTAGGTTGCAATCACTTTTGGTTAATTAAAGGTTGTGTAAAGGGATTTAAAAACAAGTGACTTTCCTTTGACAAAAAATCAAGTGAACTTTCTGTTACATGTAGCCAATTGTTTTGGAATTATTTTATAGATTTTTAATATTTCAAGGTTTTCTGTTAAGTGATTTTGTAAAGACTGTTATAATTACAAAAGGCCTCTTTGGATTAGGAGAAACTTACAGTTGAACCATAAGCCCCAACCAAATCTTCCTAGTAATTAAAAAAAAAAAAAACATATAATACATCTGCCCAGATGTTTTGGAATCATGAATGTAGACGCGTGCATGACGTTTGTCGGTTTGTGTCAGTTGGCATTTAGCAATAAATCAAATATGAAAACAACGAAAAATGATTTACCAGCTTTTTTTCAGTTTATATTTTTAAATTTTTCAGAAAATCCGTTGGAAAATGTACAAAACTTAGATGATTTTCAATGGCTTTTTAAATCAAATAAATAAAATAACACTGTTTCTCATTGTTGTTATATGGTGGATATCAAACAAGAGTAAAACAACTAGCCTTGGTCAATGGTCGGTATTCATAGAGGGTAGAGAACATGAAGTAAGGCGAGAAAAAAAGGGTGTGAAACAGAACGTAAGTATTTGAGACGCCGTAAGAATTGACGCCGTTAAGTGCACATATATTATTATTTATTTATTTAATCAGAAAAGAAAAGAGAAACAAATAGTGGTGGTTAAAATAAACGCGAAGCAGAGTGAGGCTTTAACATTTGGCGCATACACATCCATGAAAGTCTCTCAAGAGTCAATTTGGCAACAACCACTCTATTGACTTCAAAGATAAATGCATACCCACATCTCTTCTTATACACTTGTCATGTATATATAATTTTTTTTTATTCTTTGTGGCGTATTTAGGATTGGGAAAATAAATTATAAACAAAACAAAAAATGGAACAGACCTACCACGAAAGACAGCGACATGGAGAAATGGTGTCACCTACCTCTCACCAAATCCACCATTGAGTTGACCATATTATTCCACACCAGCAGCATCTCGTTTGCAACCACGATCGTACACATGGGCTTTCTTACTCGGGCCCATTAGCCAGGACCATAATTATCACCCAAAAATGCTCTATACGTAGCATTTTTTTGTCACAAGATGTTGATATGTGTCTATATAAAATTGGATAGTAAGATAAATGTTAGTATGTTACTATATAGTTTATAAAAGAATATGTACATATAATTTAATGAAAATGTAACATCAACAAGACAAGTAGACAACTTGTTTGCTTTCATTTATTAGTTATACAAAATCTGAATCAATCTCATTTGTCTTTTGATACACGAGACAATTCTTACAAACATTGATTGGTTTTTACTTTTTACTTTCTACTAAAAAGTAATATCAACATTACATTATTCATCTTCAACCTGTTTACAACACCAACTAAACACAGTCATTGTCCTTACTCCAAAAGAACACAATACATTAATGGGATCAAAGACAAAACACACAAAGTCATTGTCATCAGTCCCTTACACTACTCTTACCCAAACCTTCAAGATGCTAAGACCACTCCTCTCTTATGTTCTGCAACAACCTTCCATAGCCTCTCGTACCCATCTCTGTAGTAGTCAAGTGACACACACAACTGCCTTATGGCTTCTCTTTTCTGCTCAGCTACTTCCGATGCAGCCACTTTAGTTTTCTCCACTTCTTCTCCAAGATCACTAGACCTTCTTCTCAACCTCACTTGCTCCATGTGAAGCTCCTTCATATGCTTTTCCATTTCTTTTACCTTCTCTTCTCTCTTCCCAATCTCTTCTCTTAGCACATTGCTCTCATCTTTCATTACACTAATCTTCTCGGAATATTCTCCTCTAAGCTTCTCCTCCATTTCAGTTTTCTCTTCTGTGATCAGCCTTATATGTGATTCCAGCTCTCTAACTTGCTCTCCAAGTTGCCTTCTTTCTTCAACGAGCTTTGACATCTCTCCCTTGATCTGTGCTTTCTCCGGGAATATCTTCTCTTCCGCGTCGGAGACCGCAGTTTTCAGCGACCTTATCTCCTTATCTCTGTCCTGTAAACTAGTTTTCACCATTGCTAACCTCTCTTGCAACTTCAAGACTTCTTTCTTCTCCGCGTTGAGCTTGCTAATGTGAGTATCAGTCTCTTTCTGAGCCAACTCAAGCTCACTCTGTAAGCTCTGCAGCTTCTCCTCTGCAGCTTTACCGATCTCAAGCTCGCTTTTCAGATAAGAAACCTCTTCCTCATAGTGCTGAAGCTTCTCTTTCGCCATACTCAGCTCTTCCTCCAAGGCCTTCACTTTTGTAGCTGCTTCTGCATCTTCAGTTTCCTCTTCAACCAAACCAAGACTCATTTGTTCAGCTTCTGTTTCAGAGGACATGCAACAGCTCTGAAGCTCAATCTTCAGCTTAGCGATCTCTTCTTCATGCATTCGTATCTTTTCATTAGCTTCTCTAAGCTCTCCCTCATAAACAGTAATCTTGTGAAGCAGATCAAGATTGTTGTCACCATTAACACTCTCCTGCTGGAGAAGAAGCTTCTGTTTCGTCTCTTGTAGCTCAAGCTCAAGATCAGCCATCCTACGGATCAAAGCCTCGTCACCATCTTCATCATTGACATCAGAATCAGAATCAGAACCGGAATCGGTCAAAGAAGATGAATCTTCCTCTTCCTTATGACCGCGACTCAACTTGTCTTTTGTAGTAGGAGATGATTGCTCAACAGAGCCCTGTGACTTGATCTCAGAGGTATGGTTCTTCTGAAGCTCACCACTGGCTTGATCATAACGCTCAGCTAAAGCGCGGTACATGCGGTAGAAGTCCTCAACACACTGGATCAACTCAGGACGTTTCTGGTAATACATCTGAGCTTTCTTGGCAAAAGAATCTGCGTCTTCTTCGATTAGCTTTAACATGTGATTCACACGGTCATCCATCTCTGACAAGAACAAGAAACAAGAACAAGAAAGAAAAGTTAGATTTCCTCTGTTTCTTTTTTGTGTGTGTGTGGTAATTTATAGATCTCAATGGTAAGTGAGGGAACATACTCTCTAGATTCTCTGCAAGCCATTTTGAGTTCTTGGGACAGTTGTGACTATCCCACCACCATGAGTGTGATTTCTTGGTCATAGACCTCTTAAACTGCTTCTTGCTAAGAGCCTGAGAACATCAGACAAAAAGTGAGTCAATGTTAGGACCAAGAGACCAAACACAAGAATATTTGATGAGTGTTTTCTTCTTACCGCAGAGGAGGCCATGACTTTAGGAGGAGGGTAGAGAAACTCAGAAACCCCTACAAGAAAATATCAAGAGAAATCAAGATTGTCAAATACACTAACCCTTTGCTTCACATTCGGAAAACTCATTAATGTTCAAAGACTCTAGACTTTCTTGAGTTTATCGAAACAGTTGAGACAAATTAGATGAGATAAGAGGAAGAAGAGAGGATTGCGCATGTGGCAAAGGAGACACGTGAAGCTTCAACAACCCATTTGGCATTTGTCACAAATCTCAAGAAATCCAAAGATAGAGTTTCAGCTTTTATCAGCATTTTATTTATTTAGCAGAGAAATCAATGAAACTAATAATAACATAATCACAAATTCTAAAACTAAAGAAGAAGAGACAAAAAGTGTAGGAAGAAAAAAGCTTACTTTACCAAGATGATGCAGAAAGAACAAAAGAGCTTGTGATTGAATATACTCAAGAGAATGGTCTCCTTAAGCCATTATCTCCTCAGCTTTTAAGATAATTAATTTTAATCAAAATATAATCATCTCTGTTCCACGTTCTCTAAAAACAAAATTAAAATAATCAAAGACTCAAGATATTACTAGTTTCTTGACATCTCACATGAATCTTGAAAAAATTGTAAACGCGGCCTTGAATGTGAATACGCTTTCTCTACACGTCTTTAACTCCACAGCTACTTACGACTCACCTGCTTTTTTTTTTTTTTTGTTATAAAAAGATTCAATAATTGTGTTATGATATGGGAGAGCATTAATGGCGGATCTGCAACCCCCAAGGTTTTTGCATGTGGCTTCATCGTGATTCGAACTTTAAGACACCCATTTCTTCTAACTTCACCAACCTTCCAAACAAACAAAAAAAAACCTTCAACAAACTTAAGTACATTTTTTTTTGTTCAAACAAACTTGAGCACATTTTCAAACAAACTTACGTACATTTCTTCCAATTTTTTTTAATTTTTTTGTTCAACAAACTTAAGTACATAATTAACTATTCCCCAAATTCAATTAAAAATTATAATCGCGATCAATTCATAAAATCACGTTTTAATATGCAGATGTAATTAGTCTAGGGGAATAGGTAGAGCTTATTGAGTTGGAGGTTGAGTGAACATCTAATACATAACATAACTACTATTTATATCCTCAAGGACCACACCATTTATTGGTATAGTAAAAAAACGTATATTGCTAAGAGAAAATAGTACCAGTGGCGATAACACAAACTGTTTGAAACAAAAAACAAAACTAGCATCGGTAGATTGTTTCACATACATAGACATATCATCCCAAGTCCATAGTAAAAGATATCCTTAATATTTAGAAAATAACAGAAACTATGATTAATGTAAAGTTGAGGAGAAAAACAAAAGTTAATAATTAACTTTGTGGATTCTTGATGTTAATCTTGGAGAAACAAAATTGAAACCAGTTTTCTGTTTCTATGTTTATTCCATCTACAACAACAAGAAAATATTTGGAAGAAAAAAAAAAGAAACAAACAAAACAAAAGTGTATTAAAAATCGCTTCTCATTGCTTTATTTTCAACGGGAAAAGATTCGAACATCACACGTAGGTTTGAGATCATTTAGCACATCACTCTGCTTCACATCTTCACACGCAATAACAATCGGTACACGAATCCTAAATCCCAACCAATCAAAACCCAATTTCCCACTCAAGAACACATTAACCACAGCTTCAAACTTCTTCTCTTTGCTTCTCAACAACGTAGCATCAACATCATAAACCTTAAATTTTCTGAGCCTAGTAACAATCTTCAAAGACGTTACGTTTCCAGGGCTTTGCGTGAATCCAAGAACCTTCTTCTGTCCGAGGTTTATGTTCTCAGAAGAGACATCAGCTTTCATGGGGCCGTAATACAGAACCGTCTTGTCGTCCTTGTTAGAAAGCTGAAGAACCGTGTTCATGTTCGCATTCAACAGAAAATCCGTCGAAGAGTTTGTGAAATCCAATCTTGAGAACTTGATATTTGTGACAAGAACCTGAGGAAGTCTAGATGTGATGGAAAAGTTCACAGACAATCCTGTCAACAAGAGGATGATAAGAACGACGGAGACAAGCATGCACGTGCATGCGCAGCATCTTTTGAAACATCCATAGCATCTTCTCTTCTCCTCTTGACCTACATGATCCACAAAGGAACCTGAGTTTCTACTGTGATAATCAATCTCATCTTCTTCTTGAAACCCTGAGAGTCTCAACGACGACGAGGACTCCTTAATTCCATATGGAGTCCTTTTAGGGGTTCCGAAACTGTGGTCGCTTCGTGAGACGGAAGGGCTTGAGAATCTGGAGCTCAGGTCAAAAGAGCCTCTACCATAGCTGCTGTCTTCTCCTTCTCCTTCTTCCTCTGTAACTCTCTCGAGCTTGCATTGTTTTGAAGCAAACTCAGGGAAGAACAATGCGGGATCACCGAAACAGGAAGTCCTCCTTTGAGGGGGAGGAGGAGGAGGAAGCAGCTCCGACATTGGAGCTCTGTTTTGGATTTCATCTAAAATCGGATTTGTGTCTCTCTCTCAAATCACACAAAGGCTTGTTGGAAGATAACTTCAAGGGTCGTAAATCTCTTAACGGTAGATCAAGGCTGGCTTCTTTCCCGAAATAAATATGATTCGTTAATCTATTGTTGGCTTGTTGTAATAAAAACAAATCAACCAAATTCAATATGACCTAAAAATAGAATAATTCCGATTTTCATGTAGCTGTTTTATTCAAGCAATATTCACAATTCACATTCTGTTTCTATTATTGTGATACGAATAATAACAAAAAAAATATGTAGTTACCTATTGTGTTAGTTTTTTTGAAACAATAGTCAATTTGTCACACAAAAGAAGGAAACGTGTATATATATATTTGCCTATTAGGACATGTCTTATCAAACTTGAGCGATGTCTTCCAAAATTAGGGCAAAGAAGGAAGAATCACCGTTTCTGGTTATGTTACTTCCCGAAGAAGTCATCTTTGACATCGTAGCGCGTGTACGGAGATGCGACTATCCAACACTCTCCCTCGTTTCTAAACACTTCAGGTCGCTTGTTGCGTCGCCTGAGATCTACACGAGACGATCATTGTTGGGATGCATTGAATACTGTCTCTACGTTTCCCTCTTAACCCCCGAGGATGGTCTCCGTTGTTATATTCTCTGCCGGAAAACTAACGGCAATCGTGCGCGCTTGGCCTTTATCCCTTCGCTTCCCGATATGCCTAGAATTGGAAAATTTGTGGCGGTGGGCTCGAAGATATATGTGTTTGGTTATAAGCATCAAAATATGACATCGATAGCCTTAAGCGTCGACTGTAGATCTCACAAGGTGCAAACCCTCCCCAACATGCCTATACCTTTGCTTGTTAGAGTCGCTGAATTCATCGATGGGAAAATATATGTCATTGGATATGGATCTAACAGGTGGAACAACGTCCTGATGGTGGTGTTCAATACAGAAACACAAATGTGGGAGCCAGAGATTATAAAGCCAGACGTGGAGATACGTCCCGTGCTATCTGGTCATGTGGTTGTGAAAGGTGATAAGATTTATACGAAGGATTATCGTAATGGTTTTGTTTACGGGCCAAAAGAAAATAAATGGAAAAAGGACGAGATGGTGAAATTTAGGAAGTGGGAGTATGCGTGCGTGGTCGATGACGTATTGTACTATTACGATTGTGTTGAGAAAAAGTTAAGAATGTATGATCCAAAGAAGAGGTGTTGGGGAGTGGTTAATGGTTTGGAAGTAATATTGTTGGCTAAGACAATATATCCACGGTGGTCAAAGACTGTGAGTTACGGTGGGAAACTTGCTTTGTTTTTTCATAAACTAGTAGAAGAAGGAAAACCATGTGAGATTTGGTGTGCGGAGATTTCGCTAGAAAGAAGACAAGGAGGGGAGACTTGGGGTAAAGTTGAGTGGTGTGATCATGTTATGACTACTCCTGGGGATTCTTCTTCAATCAAAGCTCTCTCTGTTTTGCTTTAATGCTGGAAACTCGGTTTCATATAAATTGTGCTTGATTTATGTTTTCATTTTTTTGAAATTTCTTTGTTGAGCTTTGCCCAAACGCCTAAATGAGAGTTCTCTTTGAGCTCTCTTCATCATTGCCACATTACCAAAGCTGCTTAGTACGTAAATCAAGCGGTTTTGAATTTTCTTTCATCAAATTTTTTCATTATTAAACAACAAAACACACACGGCAAAAAAAGAAAACACACAAAAATCACGATAATGACTTGAAGAAGGTTATGATGGTGGATTTTGAACCAAAAAAAAAAAGGTTATGATGGTGGTGTTCAATACAGAAACACAAAGGTGGGAGCCAGACACGGAGCCAGACACGGAGACACGGAGAAACACAATAGGTACCGCGCTACCTTGTCATGCGGTGGTGATGGGTGATAAGATTTATACGAGGAATTCTCAGAATAGTTTTGTTTACGAGCCAAAAGAAAGTAAATGGCAAAAGGACAAGATGCTGAATTCAAAGAAGTGGACGAATGCGTGTGTGGTAGATGGCGTATTGTACTATCACGATAGGGATGAGGATAGTTATGAGGAAGTTTTAAGAACGTATGATCCAAAGAAGAGGTGTTGGGGAGTGGTGAATGGTTTGGAAGATTTTCCGGCTGAGATGAGATGGTCATCAGAGACTGTGAGTTACGGTGGGAAACTGGCCTTGTTTTTCCTAAACTAGAACATATTTGGTGTGCGGAGATATCGCTGGAGAGAAGACAAGGAGGGGAGATTTGGGGTAAAGTTGAGTGGTGTGATCAGTTTATTATTCATGGGCATTTTTACTTAAAAAAACCCCTAGCTGTTATGCTTTAATGCTGACACTGTATTTTCTTAAAACTATGTATAAAAAAAAAAAAAAAAACTTCTTAGCTGAGCTTTACCCGGCCAAACGCCTAGATGAGAGTTTTCTTTGAGCTCTCTTGATCACTGCCACATTGCTAATTAAGCTGCTTAGTAAGTTAATCAAGTGGTTTTGAATTTTCATTCTCTTTTTCTTACTTGCAAGTTTTCTCATTATTGAAACAATCAAACACACATGCCAAAAAACCAAAAATCACGCATCAAGAGGAGGAAACAAAAAAAGCACATTAGACTAAATGGAGTTATGGACAAAACACACAAACACAGAGATCAAAACGCAAAAGTAGTTGATCAAACGTTTTTTCTAAGAGATTGAGAATCTTCGTCTTCTTGGTTTAGTAATATCAACACCAGCAAGATCTTCATCAATATGCGAAGTATCCTTAGACCCATGTCTAAAAGGATTAAACTTCCCAAGTTTCTTCGACACAGAAGAGAAAAATGTCTTCTTCTTGTTACTATTACTACCATTACCCACCAACGACGACGAGTTCGAACAAGAAGCTCCTCCACCATTCTTCTGCAGATCCGAAACATACATCTTCATCTTCATAAGCTCACTCCTCAAAGCTTCGTTCTCTTTAGCCAACGAAGTATCAGCTTTAACCTGTCCACGTGTCGCTAATGCCTCAGGGACTATAACCACTGCTCCTTCTTTCTCTTCGACTCCGCTTCTCAGCTTTAACTGGTCGTAGTAAAGCGCGTGAAGAACGATGTTCACTGGTAGTCTCTTGTTCTGCGAAGCGTGGAGACGTGCGTCGTAAGAAAGCTTGAGAGGGTCCATCGAGCTGCAAACTTTCTCTCTCTCGATCTCGTCAAGATTCGGATGAGCTTTTAAGAAGATGTCTATGGCTCTGTAGAGATCGTCGTCTGATTTTCTAGCGGATTTCGGGACGAGATTCGCGATCGCGTTGAACTTCGAGATCGTTAGCTCTCCGTACGTGGCGATCTCTGCTAAGTAAGAGTCGACCGTTTTCGCGACTCTTTGGAGCGAAACAGAGCATAGCCCTCTGTTGAAATCTCCGCCGTTGAAAACTCCGACGTTTTTCTCTTTCTCGACGAAGACGGAGATGATCCGTCTGACGCTGTCGAGGTCTAGTAACCGTTCTCCATCGTAGGTGAAAGACGGGATCAGAAGATCGTCGACGGAGACGTGCTCGAGGACGACGGAGATTCGTTTCTCGAGCTCGTTCTTGCATGTGAGTGAAGTGTCCAAGAAGATGGCGCAACGGAGGAGAGAGCAGAGGAAGTTAACAGGGAAGAGTCCTTTGTCTGAAGGCAAGAGAGAGACGATCGATACCACGAGGTCTCTCTGCTGAGACCTCTCGTCGGAGTCGTTGTTTCCAGGATCGGAGAACTTGATTCCTCTTCCGGAATGGTCTCTGACGAGATCTCTTAAGGATTTCTCGGTGTAGGTGATGATCGCAGAGGCTAAGGAAGATGGTTTTAGGCCTCTCTGCTTCATGGAAGCTACGACGTCGGCGAAGAAGTCAACGTCTAAGATACAGAGCTCCTCTGTCCACCAGTTCGGTGGTGATCGACACGGAAACATTGCCTCGTTGCATGCCTTTTCAAATCAAAATTTAAAAATTGGTATCAGAAATGCATTATAGATACTTGGGACTCACGGAACTAGGACAGAGTACATAGAAGTAACAGGAGTGTTCAATTTAAATAAATTGGACCGACTGAAAAATAATGTAAATCCTATTGCACCGAAGTCTGAACTAATCACAGAAACCATTCTTGCAAATTAAAACGTCAACAGAGAGTCAGAAACTAATATCTTAAAATTTAAACCTAAACCTAAACCTAAAACTAGTTAAAACCGTACTAATACGGTAATACGGTAATACCAGATTAAGTAGTATTTTGTTTATACTATTGTACTTTGTTAAAAATGGAAAATAAAACCTAAATCGGATTTGACAGCTAGACAGTAAGTGAGAATGAGTTATGAGATAAATACCTTAGCACCGACGACGTCGACACAACGGCGGACAATACCAAGATCACGAGAAATAGGAAGGAGAATCTCGCAGGACTTGAGGACGACGATGGCTCCAGAGAGGCTAGAGAGAGCGACCTGAGAGAGGAAGTCTTGTGTCCGACCAGCGAGGTTGTTGTCGCAGTACTTATCGGTCATCTGAAGAAACTCGGCGGCGCAGTGGAGAGCGGCAACGTTTTGGACCGTGATCTCGAAGTTAACGCCGTAACAGAATTTGGCAGCTTTCTCGAACATCTCAGGACCTCCGGGGATATCCGAGAGATCGATTCTCGTCACGTCACTGTCTTTTGATTCCATTATTAGCTTCCTTATGTAGTTGCTCTTCGCCACTAGCATGAACTATATATATGAGATCAAGAAATTAATAAGTAATTAATAAAAAATTATTTAATTAATCATTGTTTGATTAGAACATGTAACATATATAATAGTTTGTTCATCATGTTCACACTCGTTTATATACGTTTGTGAGTTATATCAAAAATTAGAATCAAGAACCAAGAATTGTTGTTACCTTATGAAGAGAGAAATTTGCTTCTCCGACTTCAACTACAACATCTGTCGGAATATCTTGTGAGAAAACCCTGCGTTAATACATATACATGTTAGAATTCGGGGTAAACCGACGGGGAAATATCTCCGGCCAATCAATAGGTGAAAATTGACCGGTTCGTACCATTGACCGGTTCTCTGAAGAGAAGAAGACATCGTGTTCATGTTGATGGGATTTTTTCCTTCTGTCGCCATTTTTATTGCTTTGTAGTGAAGGAGACGATGGAGGCATAATTGGAGAGTGACTATATATTGAGAAAATGAAAATTATTAAACGTGGGCCCTCCCCAATCCACCCAATTGCAATGTTAATATGTACTTTTGGCTTCTTCTAATGTCTATCTTCTTTTTTTCTAATGTTTTATTTGTCGTTTTGTTATGTTGTTCATTATCTCTTTTAGTTAACCATTTCTAAAAGTTGTGTTGGTCTTACGTCGTTTACTTTCCTTTTCACCATTTTTCTTAGTAACTTTTTTCTATTTGGATATATATATACTTGCATTGACGGCTGTCTTAAGTAATTGAAAACTTTATACCTTTCATTCATACACGTACGTTGATCCAACCTGTTGATAGCTGACTTTTAGAGATCTCGTGGTAATATTGATATGGAATTATGGATGGCTAGATAGAAATTTATATTTGGATATATAAATGTAATGTTATTAAATTTTAGTTCTCATATTTGCATTGTTTAGTAGATATTAAACATATAAATATACTCTATACCGTATAATATAGCTGTAATTAAACAAGTGATATGTAACTACATTTGAATATAGAACTTTTATGGTTTTTGTAAATGTTAAAAAGCAAAATGTTTGGGTGATATGCATGGACCATGCGAATGTGAAAACCACAACAAACATGCGAATCCAATGGCAGAGAATTAGTGTCAGAAGAAAGCTGGTATGAGTAAGCAACCTCATCCTCATGGCAGCTGAACATGAAAGTCAGGACAAAGTGTGACAGACAACGAACTGATTAATTGATGGTTATATTAACTAATCCATATATATAAGTCATAAGTCATAACATGTAACTGTCATATATGTATATTTTAATTAGCACTAGCTAGTTTTTTTATGTATTTACTATAAGTTCTTTAACAAAAAAAAATGTACATACTAAGATCCATTTGTTGTTGCCAGCAATTTGTAGAGTAAATCGGTCAAAGATTATAAGGAAAAAAAACTTACTTTAAGTTGTGGTTTAATGAGAAAGTGATAGCAAAAAAAAAGGGTTTCACATGTTGAAAGCCTAAAAATTCTGAATTAAAGGAAGAAAATGCTGCAAAAAAAAAAAAAAAAAAAAAAGCAAAGCATGTGAATCAATGACAGATAAGAAATGTAACCAACAATGAATTAAAAAGTGGATGTACGATTAGAGAGATGTGGGAGCCAAGGAAGTTAGGAAAAGTAGGAACATGTCATGGATAGGCCCAGTCCAAATATGTGGTGATCCTTCTTCCTAAACCTCATGGTGTATGGCTACGCTACGTCAACAAATCATCCCTCAGAATCCAGTTTCCCTCTTCTTCTCCAATAATTTTTATACACGTGTCCCTATCGCCTTTAAGATATCTCACCTCTCTACGTTGTTGCATAGTTGCTCAAATAATTGTCTGCCGGTGAGACTAGTTTTTAGACTACTTGTAGTTTGAATTTGAATTTTCAATGTGGGTCTACATACAAAGTTAAAAACCTTTACTAATTTACGTGACTTTCAACACTTTTTACAGTCCAACATGGCAACACATTAAAGGTTTTCAAAGCAATTTGATTTTGCATCCAAACACAACATATAAATGGATTTGCAGTAAACAAAACGAAGAATCGAACAAAACCATGGTTGTTGTTAAATATATACTTAAATTACATGGGCTTACACTTCCAACTCAAATTTATTGGTAACTTTTAACAACAACAAATAATTCATTGGTAACAAGTTGATTGCATGATTAAATTGTACTCTACAGGTCCATGTGTGATTTTTAACATGCTTCTTCGAGATAATGGTTGTAAATTGTAATCATCTCATCTTGAACAAAATTCCATTCGAGAACCAACAATAAACTCTACTTGCCCACACCAACAATAAATTAAGCCATATTTATATTGTGTAGAACAACAAACAACTCTGATCAGATATTAAGTTTTAACTTTTAAGGAATTTTAACTCAAAACAATAAATATAAGAGACAATATGTTCTACATATATATTACTTTAGCCTTTAGGTATTTTGTATAGTTTTGATGTGGGTTACCAACCATGACAATTGTGCTCCAGATCATGTGTAGGCGATAAACAGATAAATTTATTAATCCAGAGAGTGATTATTACATATTGTGTATTACAAAGTCTAATTTATTCAGAGGAAGCATTCATGTTCATAAATAGGTTGGACCAGGACCATAGAGAATGGTGCTATCATCTATCAACAAAAGTACAAACTCCCTGAGCTGTAATGCCGTCTAGTTTCAATCAACAATTTTGTTTCAAGGATAAACAATCCGGATTTTGTTTGAAACTGTTTATCCTTGAAACAGTTTTTGTTTAGACGGAAACAATTTTGTTTCCAAATATCCGGATTCATAAAACAGATTGTGGAGCAAATTCTAGATTAGATTCTTGGTAGTGAAAACTTAGCATCAAGAAATAGTTGGTGGGGTTATGTAATAATGAAGAACGGTCCCGACCCTTACGGGGGGCTAAACTGAAGAGACGTTAAACAAAACAAAGGGGTAAGGAAAAGAGATGCAACTAGAGAACAAAACGAAAACCACAAATGAACAATTTGGGCCAAAGTTGGTATTTGTCAAAAGGCCCAATGTCCACGTCAATTTCTTCATCCAATTCACACTCTAATGTCGTCTTCTTAGGAAACGCCAGACGAGTTTAGAACATTTCGCTTTCACTTAAGTAATCAGTCTTATCAGTTATCTATGGTTGGGGCCTGGGGGGTTTGCATGGATTCGGATAGAGTCAACGGTACGAGATAGTTACTCGAAAACAGTCAACACTCGACATTACGTAAACATATCTAGTTGTTGCAAAGCCCATTTTATTCCAATAAGCCCATTCGATTGTTATTGGTTTATTCGACTACCGTCTACCTCTTTCATTAATTTCATTTAAGTTTACATTTAAGGTTATGGAATACAGTTAAATTTGGTTTATTCTTTATATGCTACATTTAATGTTTGTTACATTGTTACTATAGATTTGTTGTGTGGATAAATGTTGGTTATTCAATTGTATTTGACTGCTAACCGCAAAATTTGTATTGGAAACTACATGAACAAACCGAACCAAACCTGAAAATCTACAAAATCAAAAACCAAGTGGGCCAGATCTATCAATCAATTTTCAAACCGGGATTTTTCCATCGCCACATGGCCCACATCCAAAACCGGTTACTACATACATTTGTAGAAAAACCAAGATTCAATAACCGAAATTAAATTCTGTACCTATTTGCGTCTGTGTGGAGTTTGATTGCCACCGTCGAGCGTTGACAAGACCAAAAATTGAAAATTTGGCATCATTTGCGAAGGAGATCGAAAGATGCTCACAGGAAAACCCTAAATCGAACCTCCCCACAAACCACGAAATCGGAGACTGTGATTCGTCGATGAGCGTGAGAGAAGTTGATGAAAGTTGAAGAATTTCAGATTTGAGGAACTCGAAGATCTAAAATATGGAGACGGAGAGAGATAAGGAAAGAATGATGACGAGGATGTCTTATTCATCTTCTTCGCCTCCGTCGTTTCCGTCTTCTGCTTCATCGTCTGCTGCGTCGTCCCTCGCCGCGAAGGCAATTCGAGCATCTTCTGCGCACAGAGACTCTTCTCTTTCCTCTGCCTACTCGTCTCCTTCTTCTGCTCCTGTTCCAACTCCTCCCAAGGTTTCGTCTTTCGAATCGCTTAATTGATTAGTTAAATCAGTTGGAATGATTCTGTTTTCGCTTGAATTGAAATGTCTCGATTTTGAATTTTCGAATGATATGAAACATTCTTCTCCATTTGAAATAGGAAGTGAAGCCTCATGAGTACACGTCCATGAAAAGCTTGAACGAACCAAAACGAAGCTTCTGGGGAAGTCTAGCTAGTAAAGCAAAGGCTCTTTTGGATGAGGACGATCCTCATCAACTGCCTCGAAGTCCCTCGAAAATGGAGCAGAACAACATGCCTTCTTCCACTTCAGGAACTAAGGTTAATGAGCAGTTTTTATCAAGTTTCATCTACGCATTTTCATTTGGCCCTCTGATTCTCTTGTAGGATGCGTTCTCATGGAGTCAAAATTCCATTTCCATGTTTCAGGAAGCTGGTCAGACGGGTAGGAGAACCGATAATCCTTCGTTACAAAGAAGCTTAGACGCCATCACTTCATCGTTGAATTACATTGGTGGCACCATTGGCACTGCAGTTGAGGTTAGTTTCTTACTCTCTATGCACACTATAAGAGAGAGACGTACATCTTTAGTGTTTTTGCTTTAGGTTATAAGAGGCATACATCTATAGTTAGGCATGTGTATGTGTTCCGATGCATCCTCTGCACCGAGTTTGTTGGGGCTGAGATTGTTATGTTGTCTGTGAATTTCCTTAGGAGGGTATTACAGCTGTGGAGACACGTACCGCAGGGATCATTCAAGAAACACGTAAAAAGATTAAAAAGAAGCCAAGTCTTACTCGGAACCAGCAGAATCCTGAGGCACAAGCAGATTTGGAGATTCAACTAAAGGCTTCTCGCGACGTAAGGTGGCTGCTCTGTATCATTTATTGGTTCACAGCAGCAAATACATATAAATATCTCTGCTTAACTCTGCTGTTGCTGTTGTTGTCTCTCTTCATTCAGTGATTGTTGAGTTTGAAGTTAGAAAAGATTGTAGAATGATAGTTTCTTCGAACTTTACACTTTGATGTTAAGATTCAGATATATATTTATCTCAACAGGTTGCAAATGCAATGGCTGCCAAGGCAAAGCTCCTACTCCGGGAGCTGAAGATGGTGAAATCTGATCTTGCCTTTGCAAAGCAACGATGCGCACAGCTTGAAGAAGAGAATAAAGTTCTGAGGGAGAATCGTAATGGTGATAGCAGCCACACAGATGACGATGATATGGTATCAAATTCCTTTTACTCTTTTTAACAAAGCCGTTGAAGTTCACAATTTTTCATGTAAATTTCTGATCTTTGGTTGTTATGTGTTTTAGGTGCGACTTCAACTCGAAACATTGTTGGCTGAGAAAGCTCGGTTGGCTCACGAGAACTCGATATATACACGCGAAAACCTCTACCTGAGAGGAGTAGTCGAATACCATCACCTCAAAATGCAGGATGTGGTCTACTTTGATGAGAAGACTGAAGAAGTTACTGAGGTTTACCCCATTAACCTCACTTCAATGTCTTCTTCATCAGATGGCTCTCTCACTCCTCCAAACCCAAAGTTCTTGGAGCTCAAGTGAAACAACAACAACATCTCTCAGATTCTTCTGTTGTAGTGAATCAGACAACATGACAGAATCGTTGTCTGTAATCGCTCTGTATCTGTAGAAATATATATATAGATACTTTGTACTCTTCTCTTTTGTGGGGTTTTGCAAAAAAAAATTAGCAATGAATGTTATTTATTAACCTCATTGAAATAATAAAAAGAATGTGGCAAGAATGTTATTTGTTGTACCATGAAGTGAGTAGAAATTAGTCCATTATTATTATCGTCTTTTCTGGAAATTACAAAACCAACAAATATTTATGAAGCTACATTACAAAGGTTGCATAGGCTATAAAACGATTGTGTTTGTTGTCTGTTTCTTATTGAAATATATATTTTTCGTAGTTTAGGAAGTTAGAACACCTTTTTGTCTTTTTAACAAAGATTGGCCTGAAATGGCTTAACCAGTGGAACTAGCGTGCCGCTTAGGTGCATGGACATGACTTCATTGGTCGAACCCACAAGCTTCCCGTTGACAAAGATGGCTGGGACCGGCGTGGAACACCCTAGCCTCATTAGAGCTTTCTCGATCTCACGACATTCAGGGTCCTTGTCGATCTCATGGACCGTCGGGTGAACCCCGAGGTCTTGGAAGAGGACTTGGACGGCATAGGACATGCAACACGAGCTCTTGCTGATTATAACCACTCCTTTCTCTGAAGACATTCTCACAACTTTGTCCATGGTTGGTTTCGTGAAGGAAGTCTCAATCAATCTAGGGCTTGTTTCTTGAAGAAGAAGAAGAAACAACACTTTTCTTTGTTTCTCCTCTAGTAGTTGAAAGAGATTTAAAACTGAAAACCCATGATTCAACCTCGCTTTTGGGTGAAGGAAATGTTTTTTTGTTGTTGTTGTTGTTGTGGTGTATACTATTAAGCTCGGTGTTGCATGAGACTTGGGTTTCTTGAATCATAGGCTATTTATAACCAAACAAAGGAAGAAGACAAGAATGTTGCGACCAAAAAGAGAGAAAGAGATCACAGAAGATCGTCCGAAAGGTTCCAAGTTCGTTAAAGTGACTTTTTTGTGAACAAAATTAATATTTTTTTTTTTTTATTTCTTTAATGATATTAGTGAAGGAAGTAGCAACAAAAGTTGCATAATCATAATTCACCTAGCCTTTTTTCCTCCTAGATACTAATATGAGCATTTTGATTGAACAGGACCATATGTTCTTTGTTTGCAGATGCTAAAGGATATGTGGCACATGTTAATATATAAAATTTGCAAGAGAATTAGAATCTTATATTTTATATGGACCAAGCTCCCACTTTTTCAATCTAAGAATATTGTTTTGTTTCAAGAATCATGCTCAGATATATGAAGGGTTGGAGATAGCCCAAAGTGGTGGGGAATAAGCCAAGAGATATGCCTATATTCTTCTCTGGATTGACGGTGTTTTTGGCAGCCACGAAAAGAGGATCAGGATCGTTTTGGTGGATCGGACCGTGTGTGTGTCAACAGTAGAAAGAAAAAAACTCAGTTCTTGAAACATGTCACTGTAGAACAAGATATGATTTGGCTTTGTGAGATTCTCTCAATCTCACTCCAATAGTGATCATGAAGGAATAATAAGTCTTATGGGTTTATCTTGTGTGCCACTTCCCATTCAACAATTTGCCAGGATTCGTGCCCTCTTGACTCATTTGATTAAACGTGGATCAAAGAATATATTAAGAATCTCTCATCCAAAATAGATGAGATTTAGAGTTATATATGTTAGGAATCACACAAGAAATAATTATATGAGACTTACAGTAATATAAGAGAGATGTGCCAATCTAATCTCATTGTAAAACTATTTTGAGTTATAAGTCCGTGATGGTATGTATCCAAACAGGATATGTTACTTCGTAAAATGAGTTTCAACTCTCAACATAATCTAATATTGTTTCTTTCCTGATTATAATAAACTTTGATGTTTATTTCAATCCATAGAGGTATGAAGTCCCAATATATGATATTTCAACCAAAACGAACTCCACTCAATTAGAGTCCCAATTAGCTAGACTCTAATTGTTAAAAGCTAATCCACGTTCTCTTTTTAAAAAATGTTAGGGGTTTTTTCCCGGCTACGATAAATTTGGGCCTTTCAGGACTTTGGACATTGTTGGGCCAAACTGTCGTTTCAGTTTAAGCAATTTAAAAGACTATGCAGGATTTCGTTCTTGCTAAGTTTTCTTACAGGAAAAATGGTGATGGAGATTGGAACATGTAACCTTCTAAACGCGATGTAAGTTATAATAATAAAACCGAGGGAAATGAATAACAACATGTGGAGATGGATATTGTAAGAAAATGTTCATCTTCTATCTAATCTACCACTAAACGTTGATTCGTTGACCGTACGATCGGATATTTACCCTTGAGATAAGTTTTTATTTATTTTGGTTTTGGTAAAAAGATTTTGTTTTCAATCATACTAATGATTGGAAAAGGCGAGTGCGTTATATATATGAAAAGATTTCGAAATATAATGAAATTCATACAAAAACATGAATGTCCACGATAGTATAATGTTGTAAAGATAAAATGGTACGCACAGCTACGCATTGTCTCAACTATAACACTGAGAAGACAAAATGAGCGTGTAACTTTGAAGCTAGTGACATTAATAACTTGTACTATCATATGTTTGATAAATCTTACTATAACACTAATAAAAACGAATGGGTCGATACTGGCGCTTTACTATTTTACGGCATAGAAAACTTCTTCGAATTAGAAAAGAAAATAAAATATGTGTGAGTTTGGATGTCACGATACATACTCTCCACGTACAAAAGCGTGTACTCTATGGGAATAGATGACATTCATTGACCTAATATTATTTTCTGATTTGAGATCTTTCCAAAATCTTAAAATTCCAGTAGGGACCTCATCATTCTGTTATGTGTTAGCTTATAAAATTAGTAGTCTGCGATAAAGAACGTTATTTTGTTTTGAAATGTAATATGATTACAATTTGAGAGGTGTTTTTTAATTGTAGATGAACCACCAACAAAACACATGTTGAGTTGTATCTTTACATTCGATTTTTCTCTCCAGATATTTTTAATTCATATTTTATTAATTAAATCACATGTCCAAATATTTTATGATGAAAAATAAAAGTAAGTAGTGACGAAGGATGGACACCTCATGCCAGAATGTGATGAGATTGAGCTGTCTTTTTGTTGCAAGGATATTGTCGGGGTCAACTACTCATATGCATTTTATGCCATTTATTAAGTAAAGACCATTAAAAGTCTTTACGATTTCTATAAACAAAAAAAAACAAAAAAATACTATCATCATAAGCATCTATATATGGATTCACATTATAGTCCTTTCCTTCTTCTTTTTTATCATTATATTATATAGCCGTGCCTGGGTTAACAGAGGCCGGAAGCAAATATACAAATTTAGTAACGTTTATGAATAAAAAATGGTAACTAAACTTACAGTAAATCATAGAATTAAACAACAACTTATTGTATTATAGATAACGCAACAAAGTAGTAGACTAATAGTGGTACCAATGGAACAAAAATTGAAAACAGAATATCCGTATAATAAATAAGTGAGGGAAAAGTATAAGACAAAGTAAAGCATTCTCATTTTGTGTATGTATTTGTTAATGCATGTAACTGGAGTACTGGACAATATGAATTATGGAGAGTAGTTATTTTAAAAACATGTATAAAAAGTTCACTTAATTACTTCTTCAAAATTTGGCCGTAGGCCAATGTTTCTAAATTTGTAAGGAAGGCACGGCTTTGTATATGTTGTACATTTGCGATAAATCACATAAAAATGTTATTTGAATCAATGTTAAATAATGACGTTGTTCTGTTGACACTGGAACATGACCTTTTCTACAAACCATACGTACAATATAACTTGAGTCATTCATTTCTCTTTGTGACGGCAAGTGGAGTAATTATTTGCTGTTTATGAAGTTACTCTTAAAATGTAAAAGTCGACGCTATGTGTTTAGGAAGTGCAATAAAAAACTAATCAATATATATATAGTCTTTGTTGACGGCAAGTTGAGTAATTTAATTTGTCTTGTCAATAACTGCTGATTTTGAAGTTACTCTTATAGTTAATTTGATTAATTATAAAATACTAAAACAATGTAAAAGTCGTCCCTACATTTTTAGAAGTGCAAACAAATCAAACAATTAAGTCCTTTTGTTTAAGAAAAGGCAGTAACAGAGAACTATATTTTAGTAATCAACTTAAGTTAACAAAAAGTAGAACGAATACTGTATATAGAACTTAAAATAAAAACTTAGTTTTGGTTCATTATTTAAATTCCTAACAAAATTAACAATCAACTGTATTAGTTAGATTATTAACAACTACAACTTATAAATGTAATCAAGACTAAAAACATGTAGACTAAAAATATAAGATCATTAACTAATTCAGGGGGATTGAACATATTACCTTGAATATTTTAGTGAGTACGTAGTAATCTAAACGCTGATTCATCAAATTAACTAAAATCTGTAAAATGTTATTTTTTTTCCACTGAATTTAAATTGATTATGAAAGCTCACCCAGAGCAAAGAGGCATATAGGGTTCACAAAGTTTAGAACCAGAAGTTGGCTTAAACACAAACAAAACAAAATCTTCCAAGGTTCTCAATATATATTTGCTTGGCGTTAATCTATATATATTTCTTCTGTCTCAAGCAGCTCTCCTTCGTATATTAACATAAGGGACTGCTTATATTTTGGGATCGAGAAATTACTGTATTAGAAACTACTACATTTTCCATGTACTTTACTAAGAAGTGCATTAACCTTGAAAGCTGATCCAAATCTTAAAACGAACCCCATTACTTAAGCCTTGATTGATAGAGCATTTAGAAGAGCATTAAGCTTTTTCTAATCCAATCAAGTTTTTTTAAAAGAGCATTTAGTAGAGCATTTAGAAACTGCTCCTGCTCCCAAACTGCTCCTTCCCTCCCTGCTCTGAAATGAGCATTTCCAAAGCATTGAGCTCAATAATATTTAAAAAATCTTAAATAAATTATAATAAATTATATATAATTTATTTATTTTGGTAAAAAAATGAAAACTATATTTATATTAAATTTACAATTTTATAATTTCGTAATTGATGTATCATTAATGTATTATTCATAAAATAAATATTTAATGTCATAAAAATTTAATAAATATAATTTAAATATGAAATAATTACTAAATATTTAAAAAATAAAAAAAATCTTATATTATTAATGAATATATATATGATGCATTAAAATAAATATCAATATACATATTAAATATTTTCACAAACAAATTATAATAAAAAGGCTCACAGCTCTACCAATCATATTTTTTTTGAACATACAACTTAAAGAGCTTACTGCTCTTCTAAATACTCACCCTGCTTATGCTCCTTAAGTTAATGCTCTTCTAACTACTTTGCTAATCAAGGCCTTAATTCTAATCTACTCCAATTAAGCCACGTCGTCCCCCAGCTGTACAACAACATTTTATTTAATGATCAAGTTCCCCACAACATATATGATATTGGAGTATATGATATACTTTCTCTTTGTTAAAAATAAATTTTCTAGCTAATTTTTATTATTTTATAAAAATAAATGTTTTAGCTTTTTATACATATTTCAAGAAATATTTATTATGCTTTTTGAATTCTTATTAGTTTGAATTTATAGAAAATTGTTTAATTACAAAAATTTATATATTTATGATTATAAAGTACTGTCTCCATTTATTATTAGTTGGAGTTTTTGACGAAGATTAAGAAACTTATTAAAGTTATTGTTTTACCCCTAGTTAATATTTTGTTTGTAGGGATAACTCCGGAAAACTTGTATTAAATCCGCATTGAAAATAGAAAACGACAACTAATAAAAAACGAGGGAATATATAAAATAACTTTTATATAATCTTAAAATAACCTTTTCTTAATATATATGTGTTCAAATCTCAGAAAACTTATTAAAAAACAGAGGGAATATATAAAATAACTTTGTTTGAAACATTTCATAATCATACAACAATTTTGTGTATTTTTAGTTAATCATTTATTTTTAATAATCCTAAAAATCTTTTGGAAAATCGTATCTTCTTCTAAATTTTATATTGTATATTTTCACATATTACAACACTCCATAAAATCATTTTTGAAATTTTGTATTGTATCTCTTTCCCTTTTTGATAAAGGATTGTCTCTTAACTCTTGTTGTATATCTTTCTCATAATTCTTTTTTTTTCTTGATCTCATACCTAATCTATCAATATAAAAATTTAGAAGAAAAAGATTTTACAAGATTGCATCCCTTTTATCGTAAATCTTCGTCATTTTTTTTTAATAATAATTACTTTTTTTTGTTAAAAACCCTAAAATTGCAAAACGCCACGTATATATATATATATAAGTACTTGCTGGGGTTATCCTCATTTTCATGTGCTCCTGCCTCAACGACAAGATGTCTCTCTCACCAACCAAAAACCGAGTGCATGAAAATAAGCTTTCATCACCGCCATCCTCGTTAACATTATCATCGTTGCCCAATGACGCGATCTTGAAGTGCTTGCTCGGAGTCCCGAGAAGCTCTCACTTCAACGTATCTCATGTCAACAAGACTTTCAGGTCTCTTGTTCGCTCGCACGAGTTTGAAAAACACCATTTCCGATCCCTCCTCCTTCGCAAGGACTCCGTTTATGTCTCCTTCTCATACGGAGACATTGACGGCCTCTTCCAATGGTTCACTCTCCGTCCCATTGAGATTGAGACTGAAAAGAAGAAGACCATTGAGTATCGACTTGTCCCATTCTCAATTCCGCGTCCTAGTAATGGTTATGCATTTTTTCCTACACGTGTCGTCGCCGTTGGGTCAGAGATCTACTTCGTTGGCTGCGACTCCAAAGAAGACATCCACTCCTCCAAGGATCTCTGGATTTTCGACACTCGGTCCGGGAACTTAACTTAAGGACCAAGCATGAAGTATCACCGCGGGGCGGAATGCGCCGTGGGAGTGGTCGACGGGAAGATATACGTGATCGGAGAAGGGAAAAAGGAAGATGTGGAGATGCAAGTGGAGGTTTTTGATCCGAAGACGCGGATTTGGAGTTTCGCAGGGGAGGAGAAAGTCCCATGGCTATTGTCGCCGTTTCACGCCTCTCTGGAGGGGAAGGTTTTGACGGTGGATCGTTACGGTGAAGAAATGGTGGTGTATAATCCAAGACAAGGTAACATAGAAAGAACAATTGTTGATGTTGATGCTGATGATGATGATGATAATGATGATGATGATGATGATGCTGATGCTGATGCTGATGATGATGATGACGATGATGATGATGATGATGATGATGATGAAAAGCTGATTTGTGTGTGTGCGGTTGAGAATGTGCTCTATGGTTGTTTTAATCGGGATGGGTTTATGTGGTTTGACAAGAAGCTTAGTGTTTGGACAAGATTGGTTATGTCTGAATCTGATTATGTCATGGATGTCAAGGGGTTCACTAATCACTCTTCTGTGGAGGCAATGGTGGAATACCATGGAAAGCTTGCGGTTTTCTGGCGTGGGTCATGTTGTGAGGAGACGAAGTACAACAGTAGTATGTGTGGACTGATGGCTTTGGATAGGGTTGGAGAAAGGATTCGTGGGAAGATCGAATGGTCTGGTGTTGTGGCCACTGTCCCTAATGACTATATATTTGAGCACTGTTTTGCTGTTTCTCATTGATCCATAAGTTGTTTTGTAGGCTGTTTATTTCAAACAAAGTTTTATACATCTCTCTCACTGTTTTATTTGTAAACGTTTTTGTTTGTTTGTTTGATGATTACATGTGTTTGGAGATAAATTCTAAGGATTGGTTCTCGTAGATTTATATGAACTTTGTAAACAATTTATCAGTAGCTTCTCTTTTAAAAAATTGATATGATTTTATTTAGCTATATAGCAGCAGATGATTAGCGAGAAGAAAAGTTTCGACATTCGGAAATGTGAATCTAACATATATATACATTACCATTTTTCTTTTTCTTAAATCTTAAGCATCTTCATGGGTGTGAGCAGATGGTTAATACTAAATACTCCATTCTTTCAAATTATACTTGTTATTTGCAGAAATGTATTTAAATAACTTTTATTTTGAAATGGAGGGAGTAGCACTAATAAATAACATTTAATTAAATAGTTAAACTTTAAATCATAAAAAGAGATTGGACCAGTAATAGCATGACTGCTTCACACTTCTCTGGTAATCAACAAGCTTAAGTTGCATTTCTTCATCATTGTTCTTGTTCAATACATCTTCAGTTAGCATCGTTTTTGATGAGCTTATAACTTTTTAGCTAAAATCGTGTGGTTTTTCGTTTGCAACTTTTAGTAATCATGGTAACCCCAAACATTTTTTGGAGAGTTGCATCTTTATCATATTTCTTCAATTTTTTTTTTAACACAATAATATTAATAAAATGAGTCAATGTAATTAATTTCTGCGTAGATCGTATTCTGTTTTTTTTGGTAAAATGTAAAAATTTGATACTAATTTTCAGTTTTTGACAGAATTACAGAGAACAAAGAAATTTGAAAGACCAAAATCTAAAGACAAACAAAGTTACTTAAAAGGAATAAAAAGACAGGAGATCATATTCTTAACTACAAAAGGAACATAATCATGAAAAGTTTAATAATCTGGTAATAGTTATTCCAAAACATATTCGTAGATAACATTCTTCTATTGGGTAGATCATATTCGTAAATCAATATAATTAATTACAAGTGTAGATCATTTTCTTAGGTCAATGCAATTAATTACAATGTAGATCAATGAAAGTAATTACAGTGTAGACAACAGTCTTCTATTTTATTCGAAAAAAAGGTTACCCCTCCATAAAAAACAAAAACTATCTGGGTCGTCATGTATATAATTACAAGACTACAAGCTAGGGTTAAACATCTTCGTGTGTTGCTGTCTCAACTGTTTTAAATTTGTATAGTGGACCTACACGATAAGGTAATATCGCCGTATATATAAGCCACGTCGCCCCCCAGATGTGCAGTGTGCACCTACAAGTGTAAACACCACTTAATTCATCTAGTTATATACTTATCTCGTGTTTTGCGTGTTACATGGGTATAATTAAAAATACACATGAAACTGATTGTCACATAGTTTACAATACGGCACAAGGCAAGATCATCTTACAGCACAGGTGTCTTCTTCTCCATAGTTCACCTCGTTGATCTACTTATTTATAAGGTTTGAGAAGTTTTTGGTCGCTCCTTTGTCCAAAAAAAATAATAATCATTGTAACACGTCTGTTTTTAATGGTATTGGCTAGGAAATTTCTATTACGTTTAACGTTAATCTAATCTCTTCTATAGATACTCTTGTGACCTTCTCTATACATCAATAAACTTAGACTTTGGATACATAATATTGTTACCATGGTTACATAAGTTGAACAAAAGGGCTCATATATTTCATTAAATTAATTTTGTGACTTCTTCCTTCCAAAACTTCAAACTAATTATTTGCGCGCGCAAACTTACAATGTTTTTTTTACAACCATGATATTATGACACTTTAAAAACTTATTCCCATGCCTGCTTATTGCCTTCAGCAAATTTTCTATGACACTTTAAAAACTCCCAACAGCCAAAAAAAAATATATATATATATATGACTAGTCTTATTTTAATTTTAATATGATCATAACGTATCAAGAAAAGAAAAGAAAATATATCAATACCAAGTGTATATTAAATTGAGGGCTGTTGATAGAAGTAGACATTTAAATATATCTATGTGTGTATATATAAGCCGTGTCGTAACTCGTAAGTAACATTACGAAATCAAGCTCTCATCAGCATCTCAACAATGGCGACCATTCCTTCTCCTCACAACCTTCTTACGATCAACAAGAATAACTCCATAATCAGCCACTCTTCTTCTCCGTTCAATACCAGTTCGTCTATCAATCTTCCGGCAAGAGGACTCGGAGTAGGCACGAGAGCTTTGTCGAGAACCAACGATGCTTCATTATCCGCCGTGATATCGAGGCTCGAGCGGGAAAGGCAAGGATTGGTCGACGAAACGGAAGGAGATGGAGTCATCTGCGATGGTGTTGAACAGTGGATTACGGCTGAGGATTTCCGCCGGCGTGATAAGAAAGCCGAGGAAGAGAGGAGTCTGAGAGACACGTGGCGTGATATCCAAGGAGAATACGATTGGGCAGGGTTACTTGATCCGATGGACCCGGTTCTTAGATCGGAGCTGATCCGTTACGGCGAAATGGCTCAGGCCTGTTACGACGGTTTCGATTTCGATCCTGCCTCGAGATACTGCGGCAGCTCCAGATTCTCGCGCCACGATTTCTTCGATTCTCTGGGGATGACCGATTCCGGCTACGAGGTGGCGCGTTATCTCTACGCGACGTCGAACATCAATCTCCCAAACTTCTTCTCGAGATCGAGATGGTCTAAAGTCTGGAGCAAAAACGCTAACTGGATGGGATACGTCGCCGTTTCCGACGACGAAGCCACGCGTAACCGTCTCGGTCGCCGTGATATCGCGATCGCGTGGAGAGGCACCGTGACGAACCTCGAGTGGATCGCGGATCTCAAGGATTATTTAAAACCGGTATCCGGAAACAATATCCGGTGCCCCGACCCGGCCGTTAAGGTCGAATCCGGGTTTCTGGACCTGTACACGGACAAAGACGATACCTGCAACTTCTCGAAATTCTCGGCGCGTGAGCAGATTTTAGCGGAGGTGAAGCATCTGGTGGAGCTATACGGCGACGACGAAGACGAGGAGCTGAGCATCACCGTGACGGGACACAGCCTCGGCGGCGCGTTGGCGGTACTGAGCGCGTACGACGTGGCGGAGATGGGGTTGAATCGGAGTCGGAGCGGGAAGGTGATTCCGGTGACGGTGTTTACGTACGGAGGGCCGCGCGTGGGGAACGTGAGGTTCAAGGAGAGGATGGATGAGCTGGGAGTGAAGGTGATGAGGGTGGTGAACGTGCATGACGTTGTTCCGAAATCGCCGGGACTGTTTCTGAACGAGAGTGCGCCTCACGCGCTGATGAAGATCGCGGAGGGGTTGCCGTGGTGTTACTGCCACGTCGGGGAGGAGCTGGCGCTTGATCACCAGAACTCGCCGTTCCTTAAATCTTCCGTTGATCTTTCTAACGCTCATAACCTTGAGGCGATGCTCCATCTTCTTGACGGGTCAGTCCTCTATTTTTATCTTTTACAGTAGCATTTTTATATATTTTCATGTTCATATTTTCTCCAAGTTTTGTTTTCTAAACATTTATTTCTATTTAGATGTGTTTTTTCACAGAAATGAGAAATCTTTGAAAAAAAATAAAGTTAAATTTGGAAAGCAAAGTAAAACTGGCAAAATGATTAAAGCTTTGCTTGGTGATCATTAGAGAAACAAAGATGAAAATGGATAAAATGAACAACGAAAATGAAATAGATGTGTATTGGGGAATGAATATGAGAAGCTTCATAAATAAAATGAATATAGGATTACAAATTTGTGAGGATAAAAGAATAAGACAAAAGAAAAACATGATAGTGACTATGATTAGATGATGTGATTTATAGATGGTAAGACTTTACAGAACTAATAATTTAATTGGTAAGTAAAGAAAAGTCGTGTAGATATGTCTATTTTGTTTTTTACTCTGGAACTTAAAAACAACAAAACTAAAGCCGTGGGATATGTAGATTGGACAAGATTTGAAATCCTATTCTTTGTCTACGATTACGATACGCACGTAAAATATTTGAGAAGATCAAACTAGTTTGAATACTATATTAGGATATTCTAGATTACGTCTAGGCCGGATCTCATAAACACGTTTTTGTGTTTAATAATATGTAATTGCACTTAAACACTATTATTGATGTAGCTTCTTAAATCAACATACCTATATGAATTCGTTAATGTTTTTTTATAAAATAGGTATCATGGAAAAGGGGAAAGATTTGTGTTGTCGAGTGGGAGAGACCCAGCGTTAGTGAACAAAGCATCGGACTTTCTAAAAGAACACTTTATGGTTCCACCGTTTTGGCGTCAAGACGCGAACAAAGGAATGGTGAGGAACAGTGAAGGTCGTTGGTATCAAGCCGAGAGACTCCGTTCTGAGGATCATCATTCTCCTGACATCCACCACCATCTCTCCCAGCTCCGTATTCTCCCTTCTTGATCAAACAGTTTTACACATTTTCCTCTGTAAATATCATGTAATATATCCATGTTTTTGAATAAAAAGGTTTCTCTCGTATTTAAAGGATCAAAACGCAACACATATATAACGACCTATCCATGGTTGTGTCATCGTTATAGTTACATGTTTGTTATATCAAATAATATTCTATCTATGAACCCATTTTAGCAATGGATTACCAGAAACATATTACATATGGTATCTGTTTAAAAAAACAAATCAAAGATGATCACTTCTCCCTATCATTGCAAGTAAGTTTTATCTACTTAAAAAAAAAGTATCCTCGATTGCAAGTAAGATTTTTATCATCACCATCATGTTTGGCAAAACTAGTGTGTCGGTGTGTGTCCTATAGCACGCTGGTTTTACTAGTTCATTATCAATTCATCATTACCATATACTGTATCTATAAGACTATAAGGAATGATGCTTGTTTTCGTTTCTAATAGTAATCAGTAACTATGGATCACTGAGATGAATGCATGGATTGTTTGATCTTCTCAGGCTGAGTCTTTTTTCATTTACGGGTAGATACTACTTAATTTTACGAGGCGATTGGGTTTGGTCAATTCAATTCACAATGCAACGACTAAAATAAATCGTTTTGTTGGGAAAGAATGGTTTTGACCAACCATTTGAAAATTTAATCTACTATAAATCCCCCAATCTTTCCACTTCATTTTTTCATTCACACAAAATCTTATAAATCTCTTAAGAGTCTAACTAAGAATTAAAGAATGGGAGGTAAAGGTGGTAGCGGTGGAGGAGGAAAGGGTGGTGGTGGTGGTGGTAGTAGTGGTGGAGGAAGGAGTGGTGGTGGTGGAGGAGGAGGAGGCAAAGGTGGTGGCGGTGGTGGAGGAGGAAGCAAAGGTGGTGGCGGTGGAGGAGGAGGAGGCTACATGGTGGCTCCAGGGAGCAATGGGTCTTCTTACATTGCAAGAGATAACTTCGAGAGTGACCCTAAAGGTTACTTTGATAATCTCCATGGTAGCAAGTGACTTTGGCCTGTGTATTCAATATCTATGAAGTGAAGGTGGTTATTATTACCAAATGTATTATCATCTAATGATCAAATAAAAAATGGGGGCTGTCTTACTTTGTTGTTAAACTTCCTTGTTCATTTCATTATACGAACCATAGCTTTCTTGAATTTCAGTTGCAATAGCACTATCGAATCAACTAAGAGAATAAATGAAAGAAACTAAAGAGTATGATCAATATCATGCAATAAGTTCATCAGGAGACTTTGGATACTACATTGTGGTGTATAAATGTTCAGTGATTATACTTCCAAAGCTAAAACAGTTTGATACTCAACTACTTTCATGGTTCTCTAATTAATCCATTTCAATCGTAGGATCTGTTGAACTTTTAATGATACTTAACCATCATCAGAATCAGTTAAAATCACCATCTACCAGAGGGTGATAAACATTTGAAACAAGATTTACACAGGAAAATAGTCTTTTTGATGGTGTTTACTTAAAATTACAAGAAACCAGAAGAACATTGTTGATTCATCATGTCCTCACATGAAACCGGAAACGGATAAGAGAGATGAACACTGAAGCTAAGGACATATTTCAAGTTTTTTAAAGCGAAAGACCAGATTCTTCATCCTCCTCGAGAGAAGAAGTGTAGACAAAGTAGAAAGTCCAGATCAAACCAAACACTCCAAACAGAATCCAACCCAAGAGGTTGTTGCTGAGCCCAAATGGCAATCCTGTTCCTTCCGTTGACATCCTGTCATCCACCAAAGCCATAGCCGGGCTACTCATCACCGCCGTCAAAGCTGCCGTTGCCGCCGCTGAAACTCCAGCACCCACGGCTGTGCCGTTTCCTTGCTTTGTCTCCATAGAACATATCACTCCTCCCTTCCTCTTACTCAATTGAGGCAAACCTGAGAAACAATAATCATATTCATCAACTCTAAACCAGTGAGTTCCAAATCCAGTCAAGCAAATATTAGTTCTCCACCACATACTCTTCATTCAGACAACACTTAATCAGCAATACTTCCAAATACTCTCGTGACTGATTCCGACCACAATCCAATCTTAAGATCAAAATGGTTTTCTCAAATCACTCAACGAATATAAAGCAACCAAAGATCTTCACAAATTACTACTATACTAGTATAAAGATGAGATCGGAGCAAGAATGTAAGAAGAAGAGAAAAGAAAAGGGCTTTACCAAGAACAGGAGCAGAGACGGCGACGGTGGGCTTGAGAAGAAGAGCAGGACGAGCCACGGAGATGGTGGAAGCAGAGGCAGTGAAGCTAGCCATTTCTCAAATCTTTTTGGCTTCCACAACTATAAACTTTCTTCAATTTGAGTTTTTAGTTTTCTCTCTTTCTCTATAGCAACAACACACAACCTTTAATTTCTCTGCTTGTGTTGGCTTTTGAATCGAACATAGCGACTAAATTTGTGGTGGAAAAAATCTGTACAAACCAATACAAGCCATTTAACTTGGATATGATTCTATCCATATTCCACCAATAAGCTCTGTCCACGTGTCATATTTCATCTCTTTCCCTCCAACACAATCTTTTTCTCTCTTCTCATTTATAAACTGTATCAAAGATTGCATGTAACAACCAAAAGGAAGCCGAGACCAACACTATGTTGCTGTTAAACTAAATCTCTGAGAAATTTTGGTGTGTTTTTGTATTGTATCAAAAGAAGAAGAACCATTTACACAAAGAGATCGTTCAAAGAATGAATCTAATCATAAACCAATGACAAAGAAGAAAAGAATGGAATTGAAAAACCTAAATTTTGAAAGAAAAAAAAATATCAATCGTGGATGTTGCACCGTTGTAAGTATGGGTGATGGTAAGCTACATGTATGTTCCAGTACCGCTTGTACTTGTCTATACCGATATCGAGCCACGGTTTCATGATCCCGTCGTAGTGTATAACCGCTGCTTCTTCGATGTCCCTTTCTCTGACTCCTGATTCGTGACCTAACCCAACCACATTCCATCTCTTCTCCAATGGTAACATTTGCCCGGAAAATGTCAACCAACCTATTGGCAAGCTCCCTGCTTTCCACAGATCTCTTTTCACTCCCTGAAAACCAAAAAAAAAAACATTCACAACCCACACACATACATGGAAGATGTTCTATTGATAGACAGAGTCGTTCAAAGATGGTTTGGCAAGTTAAGAGGTAACACAGAGTGAATCTTAATGCAGAGAAGACTTGAAAGGGAATGATGAAATGATGTACCAGTTTGAAGTATTTGAGGTATTTAGAAGTCAAATCCTGTCTTCTCCATTCTTTAAGATCAAATACATTCATCCCGAATGCCCAAGTGCAAGCCTTAGGATCGAATTTCTGAGCAACCCATGCATCTGAGAAGTTAATGAATGTGTCCATGGAACGATATGAAGGTTCACCTTCGAGACAAGTCTCTACAGCTCCAACAACTTTCCCATTCATGTCAAGGCTCCATAGTCTGCTTAGATCTTTTTGAACTACTACATCGTGGTCAAAGAGTACGATCTTGTCCAGACCTGGGAATATATCTGGGAGATAGAAACGTGCGTGGTTGAGCGGTGAAATGAATCGCGGGTCGCTTGAGTTTTGCTTTATCAGCAACTGAGCATGGTCTAAAGGCAGGACATTCATGTCGTCGATGTTTAGGATTTGGATTGTAGCTCTGTTATCTGGGTTTAATATAAACCACATGGAGATCGATGGGTAGTTGAGTGAATCCGTCACCACATGGATTACTATTTTCCCCGGTTCCTGCAAGCAGCAATGTAAACTGTTAACATACGTGTGGCTTCACCAGAAACTTGGAAATATTCTCTTATGTGCATAAAGTAAACAACAAGTTTTGGTCAAAAGACGGATCATGCATTAACAAGTGGCTCAAGTAAACAATACGAAATAGCGTAAGATGCTCGAAAGATGATTCACAATGATAACTGAGTAAACAATATGGGTCACAAGTCAACATAGAACAACACCAGGTTTCGCAACATCAATCAGAAAAGACGAAGTTGATTACTGAACAAAGAGCAGGCAAAATGTAACTTCCTATTCCTAGTTCCATAGTAGACAAACTCCTATGTTATTAACAAAGAGCAGAAGCCTAAAAGCATTTGTCTAGATATCAAAGAGAATGAAAGTGAAGCATCTACCTTTGATGAGGAAATTGTAGAGTTTACAACAACCGCACAGGCCAAAATATTGTCAGAGAAGACAACGTAATGGTAGAGATCAGGATTGTTATAACTTTCTTGAAAAGGCTTGCTTTTTTCATGATCCAGGGTAAAGTATTCTGTTGTCAAACGCATTGAGAGGCAGTGAAGCCCTTTTGGAGTAGTCCTTGCTGCAAGCTGCATTAAATATGCTGCTTGCTTCTTCTGCCCCCGAGCTTGTTCTTCTGTTTTATAAGTCATGCCATGGAGTTTGGTAGCCATGGCAGGGCAGTTGTGAAAGACACAACTGACCTTGTATAAAGCAACTTCCATGGCCTTCAATCTTTGTGGAGAGCTGAAAGAAACAAAACATTTCTGAATGACTCTTAACAAATCAGCCAAGGCTTTTTACTAGATGGAAAAGGAATGAATTCCTTTATATCAATCACATGTGCTTACCTCTTTGACAAATGTTTATCTTTGGTGGCATCACCGACAGCTCGTTCCAGCTCTTTTGTTCGAAGTCTCAACTCCTTCACTATTTGAGAGTTATTCCCAGGTAAGGCCAAATTCAGATAGGCTTTCGCTTGGATGATTTTGTCTCTGATATCCTTTATCCTCACATCTGTTGCTTTTTCAAGCTGAATCTTTGTATTCTTTTCACTCTTAGCTAAAGGGGGTTGGAATTCGGTTGTATGATTAAGCTGAATATCTTTTGCTGAAAATTTCTCCTGAGACAAAGGAAAATGGAAAAAAAAAAGCATATGAACTGACTATCTTGATGCAATATCTGATGGAAGGCTAATGGAAGAAAGTATACTGTGATCTGATTCACGAAACTAGGACTGTCATTGTGAATTGCTTCAAAACCTAATCACTACTTAAGTTCGTTTTATCTTCAAATCAACTGAACAAAAATACGCACCCCTGCATCAGAGCTTACTGTGGTTTGCTGTGAAACTACTGCTTGTTCCTCCTTGGTTTTGTGATTGCTTCCTGAAACCCATGGTCGCTACAGATAAGAAAGCTTCCACAATAATGACAACAAAGAAAAATAACACAAGATCGGAAATTTATAATCCCCACCAGTTTCTGAAAGGAAAGTTGTTTTCTCTCCCTTATTAGACTGTGAAGCGTCATGACTTTTATCAGAGGAACCAGATGAAACCACAGGTTTAAACTCCTGATCCTGCAGAATTCGTTTAGGCTCCGTGAAGCCTTCTTCTCCCTAAGTTACAAAACAGAACAATTCAACAAAATGAATGGTCAAACAAGGCTTACGGAGATGAGTGGCAGCGAACATAACCTGCTCACTAGTGGTAAGTTTAAGATCATTCGTCTTATATCTCTGCAGAACAAAGGTAAGCATCTAAGTTATTCATTTCTCGTGAAAATCAAACAAAAAATACCGAAGAGTTCGTGGAGAAGATTAGCTCAGGATATACGTACAATGTCGGATAACTCTTCAATGAATTCTCCTCTATCTGCCATTAAACAAAATCAAAAAGAGCTTTCAGATACGTAATCCAAAAACTGAGACTACATCAAACAATGGTATCCATATAGCGATTCCAGAGATTCAATCAGCGCAATCGAGTGGCTCTACACAATGCTTTACTATACTATGGCCATAATCCATCAATCTAACATTCGCGAGAGAAAAAAATAGAAAAAGACGGCGAATCAAAGAATCAGAACAAGAAGAAGCTCACCAACGGAAGTGATGCTCTTGAGCCGATTCGAAACGAAAACAATTGGAGCGAACACGGTTAACAATAGCAGCGAGAGGATCAAAATCCTCCGCCAGCGACGAAATTGATTCATCAATGTGCGAAGATTCCGAGAGACCTCTTCATATATTATCTCCGTTTCATTCAATCGTTCTCCACGAAGAAGAAGAAGCGCATCCCAGAGGGAGAACACACAGATCTCGGAGATTCCCTGCTTGATTAACAAGCAATCGATGAGACGACGAACAGATTAGGGTTTCGGGATTCTTCTGCAAATTGGTTTCCTTATAATGCGGGAGTCTGTTCTACGCTTTCAGCTCCGGTGATTCAGAGCTTCCTCGTGCTTGTTCGGCGACTTCTCTGCTCTTTAATTTCACTTAATACTAAGGAAAACAAAATTATCAACAATTAAATTGAATTATAATTTAGTTATATAGTTTTTGGGAAGGGGATTTCATGTAGAGGTGATGCGGATCTGGTGCGACGCGGTGTACATGTGGCATGTGAAAGTAATGTCGTTGATGACGGTGCAAAGTTTCTACAATTTGTCCTCTTTTGATTGGTTCCACTGAAAGTTTAGTCTAGCTACCATTTATATTTTGACACGTAGATAGATAGATATTCACGAATTGAGAAGTTCGCAACTAGCGTACTTTGCAGGAACGATTTGACTGTTTTAGGTCGGACTAGACAGGAATTATATTATTCATCAATGCAGCATCTAATTAAACCAAGAACTGTCGACTATGTGAACGATTTTTATTGGTTCATTACGATATAATTACGGTGGCAAAATAATTATTAATTAATTAAATTTAAATTTTGATCAAAATGAGGTAGAATCTAGAATATTAGTAGTTGATAAATCGTTAAAAACATTTTAAAATCTCTTCATAAAATGTTAAAAAACTGACATATATCCTTATTTATAAAAAAAAAAACATTTTAATATCTCTAATATTTTATTTTTAGTTAAACTACATGGGGGAGTCTATATAAGATGTCAGCTACACAAAAATTTGAACTAACTAGACCATTTTTTTGGGTCAATAACTAGAGACCTGATTTATTTATAAAAATAACATTTATAAAAAATCAAATTCAAAAAGAGAAACTATTATGTGGCACATAAGACAAATTTGAATGTTGTAACGCATGAACACATTCAAAAAATGTACGACTAATTGTCGTTTTCTACACTGTAACGTAAATAAGTTGTGTATGCATGACTAATTGTCGTGTATGCATGATATATTTTTAAAAATAACATTTATAAAAACTCAAAATCAAAAAGAGTAACTATTATGTGGCACATAAGACAAATTTGAATGTTGTAACGCATGAACACATTCAAAAAATGCACGACTAATTGTCGTTTTCTACAATGTAACGTAAACAAATTGTGTATGCATGATTAATTGTCGTTTTCTCAACAATGTAACATAAACAAGTTGTGTATGCATGACTAATTGTCGTTTTCTCTACAATATAACGTAAACAAGTTATGTCAAACAATACAAATCTACTATGAAAACAAAGTTCATAGATAAACACGCTAATTTTTTAATATAAATTTATTTTTCTTTTTGTTCAAATATAAAATATATATCTAAAAGTTATAAAACTCTTGATCCTCCAAACTCAAATTTTCAGCAATAACAAAATTTATTCTTTTTTGGTTAAAGAAAATAAAAAAGTATATAGTCTCTTGTAGAGTATGTACTAGCTTTTTGTGTTTTTATAGTGACCACAACCTTAAATTAAACACCAGAAATCTTGTGTGTTACCTAATGGCTAATGTAATCAAGAGACTATCTTTCACCCTATTTATAAGTAGCATTAAAGATTAAAAAAAAAAACACATTGTGGTAAATTAATCATCTTAACTTCACCAATCACCATGGCTTTATTATTAGCAAACATTTTTGTGTCTTTCAGAGCCACGCATTCTCAAAGCAAATTGAAGTTTTGGTCTCCATATTTATCAAATGGTTTACCACAATATAGAAAGTTTTAACGCTATTTTTATATTTCTAGATGTATTCAATCATTGAACCATATACTCTGTCAACTTATTTGGTTCCTCCTCTATTTATTTATATTTTCTCTAATTTTCTTTAACTTTGTTAATCACATTATACCTTCTTTTTTTTCTATCTCTAATAGTCGAAGTTTAATTTTTTTCAAACAAAAAGGGTAAAAATCGTTGCTGGACTTTGCAACCCCTCAAACGCACACACATCAGACAATTTTTCTCCTCGGTAAAGCCCATTCCCCCAAAAAATAAATAAATAAAAGCAAAAAAAAAAAATGAGGAGGAAACGTCTTTTTACTCTTTGCGGGATTGTTTCTCATCTCCACAGACCCTTTTTATTATAGAGAGCCTTAAGCTTAACCCTTTCATCGTCTTCTCCTTCTTCTTCTTCTTCTTCGATTTTCAGATCGTCTCCTCAATTTGATACTCACCCTATTCTCCCCCCAAATATCTCACCATTAACAATCTCTCGATTTACTTTCCTCACAAATCACCAACCACCTCTTTTCTCCGTCTTCTTCATCACTCTATTTCGTCCGATTCAGACTTTTTTTAATTTCCCCCTTCCTTTTCAGCTAAATTCACTGTGTAGATTCCATCGGATTTGGATTTGAATGTGCGTATCGTTGAAGAGAGTAAGGTGAACGTAAATCTGAGGGGCTTCTTTTTCTTTTTCTCTGAGTCGTCGTCGTTTTTTTCCATCTACATGCAGTTTTGGGGATAGTACGTGCGATTAAGCGACGAATCTTCGTTTAGATTTACGGAAAGGAGATAAACGAGTCGTGGGAGAGCAATGGAAGGAGACATGGCGGTTAAGGTGAAGAGAGCAACGGTGGCGGCATGCATGACTTGTCCTCTCTGCGACAAGCTCCTCCGTGACGCCTCCACTATTTCCGAGTGCCTTCATACGTGTTAGTCTTCCTTCCCTCTTTCGATTTACGTTTGAATTCGCATTTCCTTTGGTGAGAATTTTCCTCTGCAATTGGGTTTTCTCGTGTCCGTCGTTGTTCGATTGATTTTCTGCGCTTTATCTCGTTTGGGTTGCTCTTATTCATTGAAAATTCGTGTGACTAACATTGTTAGTCTCGTCTCTTTCACTGATAATTATGTCTCTCCTCCATCTCTGAATCAATTTTGGTGAAACTGGTTTTCGGGGTCAACGAATCGTTTTTTTTTCTTTTCTCAATTGTTGACCAAAATCTGCAATTGCTGTTTACATGTAGCCTTCAAGAGTCGTCCTTCTTTTGTTCGTCTGTTTAGGTTAGTTCTCTTTGAAATTTTGTGAGTCTTCTCTTCGCCAGTGATGGCGATGGCATGTGAGTCAACTCATGCCGTCCAATTCAATTCAGACTTATTCTCGAATTTTGGTTCTGGCCAATCATGTCATGTAGCTGCATGTTGTTAGTTAGGTGCCAGCTGCTTTGTCATATACATCATGTAAGTTTTGTGTTGGGAAATTCAAGAAACAATGGACCATACTAGTAATTTGTGATATCATCTTCTCTTTATCAGTTTAATATCTGTTGATATTTGTGTGAAATGGCGTTTATCAGCCTCTCACTTCTTCAAAATACTATACAGTTTTGATATAATTATGCTTGGATCGATTCACTGGCTTTAGTTTAGTTTATTTATTTTCTAGTCAAGTGTGTCAGTGATTTTTTTCTGCATGTTGAATCTACAATTCCAAACTATAAACAAGCAGCTCTCTGTTACACTTGACCGAGAAATTTACCATAATGCAGAGCATCATTCTGTACTTGTGGAGGTTGACTAAGTGACACATGTAAAATAAATATGATTGATATGCTCATTCCATCTGATCCAAGAAAAGTAAATGTTCGTAGTGCGGTTTCATTGCAAAGCTAAGCAACTTAAATATGAATTTAGCAGTTTTTTTTTCAATAGTAGAATCTTCAGAACGCCCCCTACAATCTGTTTACTGCAGTGCCAATATTGTGTTCTCGTTTGAGTTGCGTTTTGGTATAATGCAATTTCGGTTTCTTAGGTTGTTTACTATCTAACATCATAAAACTGGATGATCTCTATTCACCACTTCTCTAGCCATGACGATTGGTATTACTTGATGCTGTAGAATCCATGCCTTGCTATAATCTGAAAATCTAACCTTCCATCTAATAATATTCAAACTTGGCAGCTAGCCAGCGTGCTTTAAACCTCAAAAAGTTATGCTATTCGTTCTTGAGTTGAACTTTTGATCTGAGAAATTGCTTGTTTTATTTTTCAAGTAATTTGGTCGCTATTGATATAAACCAATTTGTTCTTAATTGAGTTACTATCTACTGAAATGAGATCAGTTCTTCGCTCACTTTTATGCAGTTTGTCGAAAATGCATATATGAGAAAATCACAGAGGATGAGATAGAGTCCTGTCCAGTATGCGATATTGACCTCGGGAGTACCCCACTGGAGAAACTAAGGTAGCTTCTTCTACTCCTCTATTACTGTTACACAATTTTATCATGAGGCTTGTTTTAGCAGTGGATCATTCTTTCTATATCATATTTGTACCGTAGACTGTTAGAAGCCTTTTTTTTTTTTTTTTTTCTCATGGACTGTTGAGGAGCTGAATAACATAATGCCGAATAGTTGTACACGATTATGCTGGAATGTGTCAGATATGGAGGGTTTCTATAGTTTTTATCATTTGATTTAGAAGCTCACCAATAATACTTTTGCTGATATTAACTAAATTTGGTTAGAACCAGAATTCAGTCTCTTTAGTACTATCTCTTCTACTAGTTAATTACCAGTACGAGCTTTCTTGGTGGTGAACTCATGCATTCGCTAAGGGACCATTCTTATGCATGTATTTTAGGCCTGACCATATATTGCAAGATTTGAGAGCCAAATTATTTCCTCTAAAACGAAAAAGAGAGAGGGCGCCTGAGGTTGTCTCCTCAATCACATTACCTGCAAGGAGGAAAGAGAGGTCCATCTCGTCTTTGGTGGTAAGCACACCTAGGGTTTCAGCACAAACTGGTACAACAGGAAAAAGAACAAAAGCTGGAAGAGGTAGTGGTTCGTTCACTAAGAGAACTGTGAAGAAGGAAGAAGAATTCGGAGATGGTCATACAGACAGCGCAAGCTCGCCTGAAACACTTAAAAAAATCACCCAGTATAAAAGGCAGGTAAAGAAGGTGATTCTTCTCTTTAGCTTTGTGTTTCTTTTATTTTGCTACACTATGGAAAGTAGTTTGTACATTTTAAGCTTCAGAGTCACTGCCCCCTAGAAAATGTCACCGTCACTGTCATCATGTTAAGTTAATACTTTGGAATTGTAAAGTCTAGCTAGAGAGACAGAGCGATGGATAGAAAGAGTTTTGTATCACAAGCAGATACCATGGTGTGTTTTGGACGTCCAAATCCAAATACAACCTTTTGACTGGTTTGATCTTCAAACATTTATTTACTTGATTCTTTTTTTTGCAGTCTTCCTATGCAGAGCCTAACCAGTCCCTCTCTAATCGAAGAAACAAGGATGCTGGTGAACCTTGGGATTCCAAGTTACATCTTTGGAAACCTCTAAATTTTCTTGTGGATGTGGCAAATGGAACAAAGCCTTCTCAAGGGTCGGATCCAAAATCTGAGCTTGGAAATGCATCTCACAATGATGTTCAGGGGAGTAAAGCCAAAACAAAGGATCAAAAAAGAAAATGTAAACTCGAGGAAGAGATCACCAATAACGGTGATCCTACAGCGTCAGAAACTGCTACGCTTAAAAGAACGCGTAGGACTCGCCGGAAAAGGTCATCAACTTTTGGTGATTCAAGAATCCCACCGCTACTGGATGCAGCAAGCCAGAAACAGGAGAGGAGAAACGGTCCTGTTTGGTTCTCACTTGTGGCGTCAAATAATCAGTGAGATTCTTACTCTGTTTCTGAGTTGTACTGTTTTTTTTCTTTCATTTCTTTGTATTGTTATCTTGATAAGGACTTACTGGTTTCAGGGAAGGACAAACATCCTTGCCTCAGATTCCATCAAACTACTTGAGGATAAAGTAAGTTTTATTTTCTCGCCTCTGTTTTCTTGCCACTAAGTTTTATTTTTCAACTCTGATTAAGTATCACTTTTTTGCATTTATGGTTCCGGAATTGTTTATTGTTTTACCCTGAGTTTCCTCGTTATTTTTTTCTCTCTGTGGTATATTTTTCTTAATAAAGCCTTCTGTCTTGGCCACATCTCACACCTAATTATGGTCTGGGAGTGGCTAATTTTTTGTTTTTGAAGGATTATATTGTATCAGCATTGATCCTCTGTCTTATTTTATGGTAGAGATGGAAGCATTCCAGTTTCTTACATCCAAAAGTACCTCATGAGGAAGCTTGATCTCAAGAGTGAAACTGAGGTAAGCAACTTTCTTTAGGCAGTTGCTACTTCTCTGTTTCTAGCTTGTGTCCACGCTTTGATTCTTTTAATCGTGGAAACGCCTTAATTGTGCCTTAACAAGAAATTGAGGATCTAGTGGATTAAAAGTTCACTCGTTTATGTTTTTTTCTTTTCTTTCTTTTAACAGGTTGAGATAAGTTGTATGGGAGAACCAGTGATCCCAACATTGCAGCTTCACAGCTTAGTGGAGCTATGGTTGCAAACAACTTCTAAGCAACAAAGAGTAGCTGCATCGATCGGTTCCTCCGCAAAGGAATTTGTAATGGTGCTGGTTTATGCTCGGAAGGTCCCTGAAGACAACAACTAAAGAACTGGTTAAGACTCTTCTGCAGAACAAACCAAAATAAGCTTCTTCTTCGTTGAATCTTCTCCAAGGCCGAGAAGTAGAAGAAGAGAAGAAGAAGTGAAGTGCAGGAGATGTTGAATTTGTTGTGTGTAGTTTAGTAATAAATATAAATTTTTCTTATAATCTTAAAATGAATGATTGGTGAGACAGGCACTTTGGTTTCAAAGAGAATTATAATTTGCTTTTTATAGGAGATTTTGTCCTTTGTGGACATTTGAATGTATGATAGGATAATGTTGTCATTTCATTGAGCATTTGTTTCCTTGTTTGGACTAAATGAGAAGTGCACGGAATTCTTGTGAACCATATGACTTGGGTATTATTGAAAAGTCAAAAAAGAAAAGAGAAAAAGGCTAATTTTGAGCTATTTAAGATGTTTAATTTATGATGAAACATAAATGTTCTCCTAACTAGTATTTCTCAAGAATATTAAAATTCAGTTTTGAAAGTTTGATTGATATATGGGAAAAGGTTTGTTGATATGTTGATGTTTATTTAGTTTGGAATCGAAATCGGAAGTTTTTAGAAGAATCGTTTCCATGTCGCTTCCTAAAATACCCTATAATTTTTTTTAAAGCTTGCGATTTCGAAACTTACGTTTCCTTCTTAAATAATGATGAATATTTTTATATGTTTATAATTTTATAAGTTATATAAAATGAAAAATAAATGTAGCATGCAGTCAATTTGGCATTCACAAAAATTAATTTTCATCTATTAGCTAAAAAATGTTTAGAAAGATTGATTAAATTATAAATAAAATGAGAATGATTCTTCCGATTAAAAAAAATGTCATTTCAATTTAGTGATCTTTCTTTAATAATATAAATATAATATTATTTTATATGAAGTTGAGAATAATGAATTAAAAATTAAAATTGGCTTTTGATTTGAATTATTTTTAATTATTGTTAATTAAGTTATATAAAATTATAATATGCTATATCACGCTTCCAACATGTACCTGTTTCTTTTTTTATTTTTAAATATTAGCTTTCGCGCTATACGCTTTTGCTTCCGCGTATTCGCTTCCGCTTCCACGTATCCGCTTCTAAATCCATACAATTTAGTTTAGCAATAATCCGTCTAAGAGGAAACAAGTTTTTAGAAATTTATAGTAAAAGTAACCGTTAGAAACTCCAAAAAGCTTTGGTTCCACTTTTTTTTTTTGGTTTTACACTTTTACTTACCAAAAAGTAAACTCAAATACTTGGAACTAAACGAAGTGCTTTTTTATTTAACCTCGTGGATAACGATGATACATGATTGAATTAGAGTCGAATGCATGAAGGGATATTTCATGAACCCTAGTTTTTAATGCATGAAGTTAAAGTCGAATCGATAGTGTCTATAGTTTCTGTCAGGAGTATAGAGAAGCTTAATTGCTTGTTGCGGTTAATTAAATACGGAGATAATTAATTAGGACCCGACCCGAGTCCGAGTTACTTTACCCAAATGAAGGTCTTCGAGTGGGACCCACCCTCTGACGCCGGTTTCGTTCCTTCTCCTTTTTCTCTCTGCTTTTCCAAAAATAAAGTTTCTTTTTTTACTTTGCTTTATCTTTAAAAATGATTTGTTCACTGTGTTATTTGAGGTAAAATCATAGAAAAACCGGAAGGATGCTTTCAATTTTTGTTTTCTTTCGGTTGAGTGATTGCAGAAGCGAAGAACTGTAGAGAGAGAGAAGGAGAGAGAGAGAGTGTGTGTGCAAGAAAGTCTTCTCTTTCACACCTTTCGTTTTCTCGAACCTCTTTAAAGAGAAGGTGGAGGAATCTTGGGTTTGACAACTCATTTACAGCTTCTTTTAAGCTCCAAAGCATCCAAGGAAGAACGTCCGTTTAATTTGCTTTTGCTTCCTCATCATTCTCTCTCTCTCTCTCCCTCTTTCTTCCCCAATTCCTCCTCTTTTTATTCTCGTTTCGGTCTATCAACTTTGATTTTCCATACCCTTTATAAACCTTGATCTTCTCATGACAAATTAAGAAGTTTGCTTCTTTAAGCTTAAGAAAGAGAGCTTCTTTATTGAGAGTCCTGTGGAGATGGGATTGTGCAAAAATGGAAATTTGACCTTCTGGGTCTTTCCCATTTTTGCTTCCATGATAGATTAGTGGGAGAGAGTGAATTTTTTTCTTTTGTTTTGGGGGGAAAATTAGGGTTCTTGTTTAGTTAATTTAAGGGTTGTTTTTAAGACATGGAGGAGATAGAAGGAACCAACAGAGCAGCTGTAGAGAGTTGTCATAGAGTTCTCAACCTCTTAAGCAGACCACAGCAACAGCAGCAAGATCATGGGTATGACAAGAGTTTAGTGTCTGAAACTAGAGAAGCTCTGTTTAGGTTTAAGAGAGTGGCGAGTATGCTAAGCAAAACTGTGGGTCATGCTAGGTTTAGAAGAGCTAAGAAACCTCAGACCCATTTGTCACATTCCATCTTCCTTGATCCTAGTCATCACCAAAGAACAGAACTCCCATCACCACCATCCTCCTTGTCTCTGAAAACACCTTTGCTCCGGTCTGGTTTCCATGAGTTGTGCTTGAGACCCTCTGATTCCCTCACTTTAGGGACCCGGTCTTTCACTCTAAACCCAAATGCAAATGCAAAAGCCCCTCTCCTTCAGCTTAACCACCAGCCAAATGCAATGCCCTTTCGAGAACAACAACAGCAACAGCAACAACAGCAGTTACATGAGCGGTTTCAAGCTCATCATCACCATCAGCAGCAGCTGATACTACAGCAACAGAAACATCAAGCTGAGATTTTGCTGAGGAAGTGCAATGGTGGGATAAGTTTGAGTTTCGATAACTCGAGCTGTACACCAACCATGTCATCCACTAGGTCCTTTGTCTCGTCGCTTAGCATAGATGGAAGTGTGGCTAACATGGAAGGCAAAAACTCCTTCCATTTGCTCGGGGTTCCGAGCTCAACGGATCAGAGCTCACAGCATTCTAAGAGGAAATGCCTTTTGAAAGGAGACGAACATGGAAGTGTGAAATGCGGGAGCTCTAGCAGATGCCACTGCGCTAAGAAAAGGTCAGTTGCATATTTTTGTTTTCCTTTTCACAAGCCTCTCTTAATGAAGATTGTGTCTTGATATCTGGTTTGGAAACTTGACAGGAAACATCGTGTTAGGAGATCGATTAGAGTGCCTGCGATAAGTAACAAGGTTGCAGATATTCCTCCTGATGATTATTCATGGAGGAAATATGGTCAGAAACCCATCAAGGGCTCTCCTTATCCCAGGTATACTGTACAACACTTCTTGATCACTCTCTAGACAGTAAAAGAACAAACTTTTATGAGTCTTTTCATAGGTTTAAAGGGAATTGAGTCCTGATGAGTTGAGAGACAGAGTTATGTAAAAAGTATGAGTCTTTCTTAAGAAGTGTATATGTGTTGTGTGCAGGGGATATTACAAATGCAGTAGCATGAGAGGTTGTCCAGCGAGGAAGCACGTTGAGAGGTGTTTGGAAGATCCGGCGATGCTAATTGTGACATATGAAGCAGAGCATAACCACCCGAAACTGCCATCTCAAACCGTAACAACTTAACTCTCCATTTGTCTTGTGTGGTCCAACAAGCAGTGCTTTTATTGGGGGTGGATTTGCAGCAATTGTTGAATTTGGGTTATGGGGGGTAAATGTAGGATATTGTCAAACTCTTTTGTTTCTTAAGGTTTATATGTTATGAAGTTTTCTTCTACCTATGTATTTTTCTTCTCAAGTTGGGCTTTTTTTTTTTATATATAATATGGTTGGTGTTGTTAGGATTTGGAGATTTGTGTTGTGATTTTTGCATTATGGTGCTAAGTAACTTAATAGGTCTAGGAAGCATGTGAATAAATCTTAGATATGATTAGAGATAAACAATCTTTAATATACAAGCAAATCTCTGTTCACAACAGCAAACTATCACACCATAATCAGAATCATGATCATTATTGCTAGTCATCAGTTACCATCATAAACTATTGTGTCACGTCAAAGATGTGTGTTCGACTTAATGATTAGTAAGATTCAAGCGAAAAAGATACCAAATTGTAGTTCGATTGTACTTCATTTCTATTTACAAAACGAAATAATACTTCAAAAACATACTACGGTAGTTGTGGACTTGTTGGATTAGTAACCTGTTGAGCAATTGCTAATTACTCGGCTGTACTTGCTAATTGCTCTATATGTTAAAAGTTTCTAAATTTGCGAAGTAGTATAATGGGGCCTTTAAACTGATTTTTTCCTGGCCCATTTATCTACAAGTGACATGAAACCACCAACTCTGACAGAAAAAAACAAAATAATATCTCATGACTCAGCAATCATGTCTTCTTCTTCGTTTTCGGGTCTATTTGTGACACTTTTCTCTTTTAATATCTTAAAGGATTAGATCTCTTACACGATCATGAGTCACGGAACTTCGTAAGGTAAGGCTTATCCACCACACCTCTAAGGGATTTGATCGAAAGTCGATGCAATTTGCTTCTGATATTTTCAAAAAAAAAAAAAGCAAAGTTTTATTTTTGGTTTTTTTGGTTCCCACCGTCGTTTTTCTCGTGTTTAATTAACACGTTGTGGTGGAGATTTGACGGCGGAAGCTCATGGTGGGGTACGTCGCAAGTTGTATGCTATAAATTGATTCAGATATCTTCTGCCAAGTTGTTGGTTTCTCTTGTAAATTCTGGGTTTTATGACTTTATCTTCTCTCTCGACCAAAAAAAAAAAAAAAATCTTCTTTCTCGAAAATGACGTTTCTTTCAAAAAGAAAAACTCAAATTTCTCTGATCTTACTAAAACCCAACTAGAAAAAAAAAGAAAGAAAAAACTGATTTTGTGATCTTGGTTTTTTCGCAAGTTTTGATTTTGATCTATGTGTTTGTTGAAATGCCTGAATGAGTGGTTTCTGTTTTCGCTCCTTGATTTTTTCTTGGTCATATATAGAGATTGATAGCTTCTGGGTTTGGGAATATCATTAGGTACAAGCAAGAAATTTAAAGAAGTAAAGATGGTAATGGCGAAAGAGAAGAACTTTCTAACGGTGGCACCGTTCGAGTGTGCTTGGAGTGATGATCTCAAGTTCCGGGAAGCAGGAAGAGGCTGTGTTGCGTTTGATGCGTTCGCTCACAACGACGTCACGGTGGTGTTCAGGGAGAATGTAGGGAGTCAACATTACCACTACAAGAAAGACAACAGTCCTCACTACATTGTCATCATTGGCAGCAATAGGAACCGTAGGCTCAAGATTCAGGTCGATGGCAAATCTGTGGTTGATGAGGAAGCTTCTGGTCTCTGTCGTTGCTCTCTGGAGTTCGAGAGTTACTGGATAAGTATCTACGATGGGTTGATTAGCATAGGGAAAGGTCGGTATCCGTTTCAGAACCTGGTGTTTCAGTGGCAAGACTCTGAGCCTAATTGTCATGTCCAGTACGTTGGTCTCAGCAGCTGGGACAAACATGTTGGATATAGGAACGTGAGTGTGTTCCCTGTGACGCACAATCATATCTCGCTGTGGAAGCAAGTGGATTGCCGTGAGGTTAGAGGAGATGATGAGAAGTTTGTGGAGGAAGAAGGGAACGGTTATGGTTATGAGCATTGGGGGCTTGGGAATTTTCTGGAGAGCTGGGAGTTGTCTGACACAATGTTTCTTGTTAGTGAAGAGGAAATGGATGTACCTGCTCACAAGGTTATCTTACAAGCTTCTGGTAGTTTTCCTTTGAGCTCATCAGATGGAGATGATGTCATTCAACTCCGTGGAGTGTCGTATCCGATTCTTCATGCACTTCTTCAGTATATCTATACTGGACGCACTCAGGTACTTGTTCTTGTATCATCTTCCCTTGTTGTCTTTGTTTCCGTTGTGATGTATTCTTCTGCTAGGTGAAATACTTTGTTAGTAACCTTTTGTGTTTTGATCTAGATTTTGGAATCAGAACTTGTTCCATTGCGAGATTTAAGTTCTGATTTTGAAGTGATGCCATTGGTGAGACAGTGTGAAGAGAATATAGACCGTTTAAAACTAAGCAGCGGAGCATCTGACACCTGCAAAAGAGTCAAACTCTCGTGTCCTGTTTCACACCCTCTATCTGGTTTTATGTTCCCAACGGCTTTCCCTGCTGATGTGGGTAAGCTGAAAATGCTGTACTCAACCGGCGAGTATAGTGACGTGAAGATCTATCTCAGTGACCATGGTCTCACTTTCCAGTCTCACAGAGTCATTCTAAGTCTTTGGAGTGTCGCATTTGCAAAGGTGAGAAATTCTCTTTTGTGGTTTCAGTTTCTGATGTGCAGGAAAGTTTTTGGTTCTTAGTTTTCATTTTGTTCTCAATGAAAAATCCAGATGTTTACAAATGGGATGAGTGAAAGCCATTCGTCGACGATTTACTTAACCGATGTGTCACCAGAAGCATTCAAGGCTATGATCAGTTTCATGTATAGCGGGGAGTTGGACATGGAAGACACGATGAATTTTGGTACCGATTTGATCCATCTACTCTTTCTAGCTGACCGGTTTGGAGTTGTTCCACTTCATCAAGAATGCTGCAAAATGCTCCTGGAGTGCCTCTCTGAGGTAGAATTTTTCTTCACAACCCTCTGGAGTAAATGATATGTCTCTGTGTCATTATCATGTTTCTCTTCTTTTCCAGTGCATCTGTTACAAAATGGTTTCTGTATGATAGAGAGGTTAACGAGCCGTGCAGTGAGTTGCGAGTTTCAGCCTTCTGAAAAAATGAAAGAGAAAAAGAAACGAAGCAAATGCTTTTAGAACATACAAAGTTCAAGAAATATTAATATTGTTCCGTGTATATATTACATGCAGGGACGGCGTTCTCGTTTTGGAAGAAGGTCATACACAACAAGATTAATTCTTTTATGCGAGTTTATTGGGCGCTGAAGCAGACAAATTTGGAAAAATAGTAGGGACTTATCCTCAAGCTAACCTCTGAACTTTGTTGCAGGATTCTGTATGCTCAGTCCTCCAAGTGGTTTCGTCCATCTCATCGTGTAAACTCATCGAGGAGATGTGCAAGAGGAAGTTCTCAATGCACTTCGACTATTGTACCACTGCCAGTTTGGACTTTGTCTTGTTAGATCAGACCACTTTCAGTGATATTCTTGAGGTATGTTTTCTCATTTTCTTAGAAGAAACTCTCAATCCGCTTGGGGACTTATTAACTAAAACTGTTTTGTTTAGTTATTGAGGAGAACCATTGTTGCTCATGCACTGATCATTGTTAATTATCATGGAAATAAATGTTTACACAACGTTTAGCTATGAAAGTGTAATGGAAGTTACCAAAAGTGATGAATGGCGTCTCTTTCTGTATGGCATGTGAAAACCATTCCAGCCAGTATTAAATAATGGATTTACAGTCTGCAGATCTGACTGTGACATCTGAGGAAAAGATTCTCGATGCTGTTCTCATGTGGTGCATGAAAGCTGAAGAGTCTCAGGGTTGGGAAGTTATAGATGAGCTACTGAACTATTCTAATCCAGAAATTTTGTTCAAAGAAAGGCTTCAGTCACTTGATGACCTGTTGCCTCATGTACGCTTCTCTTTGTTGCCATACGAGTTGCTTGAGAAGGTAAAGTAGATCCTGATCCTTCTTATGCTAGATGAGCTTTATCATTTTCTGCCAAATTGATTATGCTGATGCCATCTATGCTTAATGATGATCTTGCAGTTAGAAAACAGCAACCTAAGCAGATTAGTCCCAGTATTCAACCGTCTTGTAAGTTTTAAACATTTATGTCCATCTTATATTTGTTTCACATTTCCAGACTTTTCTCCTCTCCGAGCCCTCTCTTATTCTGTCTTCTGTACAGGTGAAGGAGGCAACTAGCTTTCTGGCTTCCAGATTTACATTCCCAGGAAATGAATCGATGTAAGAATTACCAAGTCATGTATCTTGTTATTGTAAACTTCTCCAGTTTTAAAAGCTCTCACATCTGGTTCAAGGTTCCAACACCGGAGATCGAGTTTCAAGGAGCTTCAGTACATACGTGATGGGGATAGCAATGGGGTGCTGCACTTTGTGGGTACGTCTTATGGGAGTCATCAATGGGTCAACCCCGTTCTCGCAAAGGTTAATCTCATTTGTTATTTTATCTTTCTTTCTTCATGTTGTTGAAGTCGTCTTCTAAGAGCCATTGACAAAGAATTTTACTGGAGCACTAGAGTTGCTTATGCTTTGAATTCTCTCATGTTTCCAGAAAATCATCATTACATCCAGCAGCCCCACTTCCAGATTCACTGATCCAAAGGCTTTAGCTTCAAAAACCTACGTGGTATGGTCCACTAAAGTTGGTTCTTCTCATATGATTGGGATTTGGCTTGAATAATAAAATGATCTCATGCTTTCAATATCCATTTCTTTCTAGAAACTTAAATTTTAGCTATAGTACGAACTTCTTTGCATGTGCTCTGTAAGTATAGGAAACTATACAGTTTTGTCTCTTGAAGTAACTTACCGGTGATTTTGTTCCGACATGTTAAGAACAACCATATAAAAGTAACTGCAGCAAGTCTTTTTTTCATTTTGGATACAGAATTCAACCA